AAGATTTTCTTCCTGCACGGCAGAGATACGTTCTTCAACCTCAGGGATAACGCTACTGCCAACTTTTATCAGATCAAAGGAGGTTTGGTTAAGTAGTTGTATGGAGTGATTTTATTGCTATTTTTTAAAATAGGAATGGCTGATATATTTAATACATTTGATCGTCACTGGAAGTCACTGGAATTGAACCAACTGGAATTTATGTCTATTTAATAGATGAAAGAATAAAGCCGGAAGTAATAGGTTTTATTCATATTTGAATTTGTTTTACTATTTCAAGCTTTTTCAAGCGCTTGAACTTGCCAATGTTTATAAAATATTCTAAATTGTATTATGCATCGGTTACTCAATTACCTCTGATTCAAATTTGGTGTGAAACGTAGCTGCACCTTATGTGAAGAATTACAAAATTTGTACTGATTCTTGAATTTTAGCGAAAAGTAAAATTAAAACCTTAAAATTTTTGTCGGATCTTTCCAGAAATCTGGCTTGAAAAGCTGAGACCGGCGTTCGCTGCGCGCTGGAACTTCATGTTGCTGAAAAATAAACTTCAGACCCTGAGGTGAGCCAAACTTCAGACTCTGAGGTGAGCCAAACTTCAGACTCTGAGGTGAGCCAAACTTCAGACCCTGAGGTCAGCCAAACTTCAGACTCTGAGGTGAGCCAAACTTCAGACTCTGAGGTGAGCCAAACTTCAGACTCTGAGGTGAGCCAAACAAACCTTTGGATTATGATCACATTTATGCGTCACGTGAGCTCACACTTACATAATTACGCTTGAATATTAAATAGAAATGAAACTTAGCGAAAATGTTTAAAAACACTCCTTGAAAGTTCAGGCTTCCACCCAGCTTTATTCGGTCTATTATAGGTTAGCTGTTTTCGATGTTTTATTATTTTTTTCGGAAATAATCGCATTTTTAGTGACTTAGCTATATGAAACAGGCGACGATGATCCATACGAGACTTTCATTTCGCGGCGGGGAGAGAAATGTTTAGATAAATATAGCATATTCCCAATATAAAGCCTGGGATCAGCAATGAATTCACTATTATTAAATTAATTTGAGTTAATCGGAGAACATTCATCGGTATAGCTTTCGAAAAAGCAGTTCTGGTCCCTACCTATAATAATTCATGTTAAGTTAAGATAAGTTAGGCAAGAAGTTAATAAGAGTTATCACATGTTTCAGCGAACTATATAAGGACCAAAATAGGCAAATATGGTAATAGAATATTTCATTTTTCCCTGACACAATTATGGAAACGATCGGAGTGAAATAATCCGTGAAATTTGCCGAGAAAATTTCTGTATAATTAAAAAAATTCATTGTGAAAAATCAGACATGACAAAATTAAATAACCATGTAAAATCCGAGTTATTTCTGGTCTAAAATAGAAAGAAAACGTTCACATACTATCCATATGGTCTTATGGAAAAGAAATCAACGTGAGAGATTAATATTGGATGACGCGACTGCCCCGGTGCACTAGAAAGCTGGCGTGTAATGAATCTACTACTTACCTTAATTTGTTTAATTAGAGGTAAGAAATGTACGAACTTTAGCGAATGAAGCGCCTTGAAGCCTGAAGGATGCTCAGTATAAATAAAGAGGAATAATTGCCGTGACATAGATGAATGCGCATGTAATGTTTATTGATGGGTGCAGTCATCCTAAGAGTTTTCTCAGATGTCGAAAGCGTGTATTTATGTAACGCAGAGAAAATTGCTTTCTAATTGCTGCCAATTACCGGTCTTTCCTATGAAGCTAGCTCATGAAATTTTCAGATTCATTACCTTAGTCAGTAGCAACAAGTGATTAACATCCCCTTCAAAGGCGATAGCTCAGTTTCAAGCAGTAGGAGTTTGAATTGCAATTTGACTTGCAATTTGTCAGTCAGTGTCAGCCGCCGCTTTGCAGAAGCTACGCGAGACTTGCCAATTATTCTTTGAAGACAGAATCTAATGTACTCANACTAGAACACAGTAAGGGAGAATCTAATATACTCAGAGTCCGTGGCAACCTAGTAACAACTAGAACACAGTAAGGGAGAATCTAATATACTCAGAGTCCGTGGCAACCTAGTAACAACTAGAACACAGTAAGGGAGAATCTAATATACTCAGAGTCCGTGGCAACCTAGTAACAACTAGAACACAGTAAGGGAGAATCTAATATACTCAGAGTCCGTGGCAACCTAGTAACAACTAGAACACAGTAAGGGAGAATCTAATATACTCAGAGTCCGTGGCAACCTAGTAACAACTAGAACACAGTAAGGGAGAATCTAATATACTCAGAGTCCGTGGCAACCTAGTAACAACTAGAACACAGTAAGGGAGAATCTAATATACTCAGAGTCCGTGGCAACCTAGTAACAACTAGAACACAGTAAGGGAGAATCTAATATACTCAGAGTCCGTGGCAACCTAAATACAAACAGAACACAGTAACCACTCTGAGGAAATTACCGAGTGATTGCCATGCAGTCGATTGGAATTCATACGCCCCATAAAAAGATATAAGTATCTGAGAAATTCTAACATCACTATACTGCTCTCGATACCCGGATGTATTTTGTCTATGTTTTGTATCCGTGAAAGCTGATTGTTCATGTCTGGTTGAAGTGGCTAATTCATGCGCATTACTATAGGTTCAATTCGATGCACAAATAATAAAATTAGGCAAAGTAGGAGCACACATTACTTTTGATTATCCGATTATATATTTTTACTGATCATCCAATGCAAAGAAAATTTATTGCTCTATTGACAATAATGAAGAATCTATTCATCTACTGACGATAGATCGCTACTCATTCGCACCAATTTTGATTAACCTGAATGAATCACACCTTAATGAGTATTCATAGGCTCAAAATCCTTTCAGAAATTTCCATGTTATTTATGTTGCTATATTTCGATTTATTATTGAATAAGTATTGAAAGTGTATAGATGTAGGAAAGCAAAAATTATTCAATATATGTTATTTTTTACTGATCGTGTGGATTGAACAATTTCATATTTTTAATTTTAGCGTGAAATGATAGTTATTAATTCAAGCCCAAATAACTCTTTAATAGTAGTTTTGCTAGTTAACACCACAATTTTCTCCTACCATAAATTTTACCGCAATAAAACATTATAAAAAATGACTATGACATAAAAATTTAAGTAAACTGTAGATGGTGCCACGCAATTCGAGTCTTCTGTTAGTAGTTAGTTCTAGTTAGTAACACAACTCTCACCCGCCATCAATTTTTTCGCAAAGAAACACTAAAATTACAACAATGATTTATTTAAAAAATTCAAACTATTATTGAAACCTTGAAATATTACTATAAACTACAATTTTGTTTAGATGGTACCACGCCTGCTTTGCTTACGACTCGAGTCTGAAGCGCTACACGACCTGGCTGGACGGGGAGCTGGTGAGCCATCTGAGCTACGACATCGGCCGCGACGTGTTCGGTGACTTCGCCATGATCGGTCAGGGCGGCGAGCTGACCGAGAGCTTCAGCGGGGAGTTGTCGCAGGTCATAGCAATACATGGAGGCTTGGTATAACTTTTATAAATGATAAGTGTCTGTAATTTATTTCTTTATTGTGTATGTGCTGCATCGCAGGTCTCAGTAATACATGGAGACTTTGAATAACTTTTAGAAATTATAAGTGTCTGTAATTTATTTCTTTATTGTATGTGCTGCATCGCGGGTCACAGTAATGCATGGAGATTTTGTGTAACTTTTATAAATGATAAATGTCTGTAATTTATTTCTGTAATGTGTATGTGCTGCATCGTGGGTCACAGTAATGCATGGAGACTTTGTCTAACTTTTATAAATTATAAGTGTCTGTAATTTATTTCTGCAATGTGCATGTGCTGCAAAGAATCGCAGAGGAGTGAAAAGAAGCAGAGGTGATAATGTAACATTAAAATTTGTATCACGTTTTACAGTTTATTATCGATTGTATTTCATGCGATTGATACAAGGCCCACGCAGTATCAAGGCAGCCTGAGACGTAGACTGTAATTAAAAATATACAAATATCTTGTAAATAATTCTCTATTGAGACCAAATATCTCTTTGTCACAACTCGACGTTGATAAAACGTTTAATTTTGGTTGATCAACATTTCAACATGAAATCAACGTTGTTTCAACGTTTTTTCAACGTTAAATGTTTTCTGATATTGCACTATGCAGACACAATATTGTTATTATCGTACATGAACTTTTAAAACAATTCAGCGATTAAAGTATGATTTAAAGTATGATTAAAGGTAGCCTATAATCAATACGTAGGGTACAGGGAGAATCAATTTCGATGTAAGCACTGAATTCTTTGGAGTTCGTGCAGCCAATTCGCATGATCGATTTAATTAATCTCCAGGCTACGATGGAAATACATCAAAGTAGTAGACCGCTATCTTTGTCTATTCCAGCATAGTCATACAACTTCGCATTTGCATCATTACCAAAAATAAATATTAGGGACCCGATGAAACTTTTTTTTTCAAAATTATCTATTTCAGAAAATCTCTTTAGTCGACGTGAAACTATCATCTGGAAGAAATCTTTTATTCTGCTTTCAAACATGCTATATTCGAAAAAATGCTGAATATAGCGCCAGAAATGCTGGTAATGTTTCATATCATCTATTACTTGTCAAATTCATCTATTAATTGTAGAATTCATTCATATTACTGGTCACCTAATTCAAAATTAGGTTTGATTCTATAGAAAGTCTTGCTTTGAAATATGCCACCAATCGTCTTACATTTGATGGAACAAAGAGGAGACAATACGCTTGTTAAATTTGGTAACATGTTTATGAGTCACAATATATTACATTTCATTGTATTTTGATTATATTATTTTATATTTTACCTGTACAGTAAAATAGTATTTATTATATACATTGAAAACTGTTTTCGAGTTCCTGATTTATGTATGTCGGTGCACAGGTGAACGTGTGGGACAAGGTTCTCACGGACGAGGACGTGGCGAGCATGGCGGCATGTAAGGCTGATTTGCAGGTGGGTGCTTCGCTGCACGAACGATCTAGTCTTTATTGATTTTTCATATTTGTATCAGCGTGCGACGTGAGTAGGTCACAAAATCTGAAGGGTATTATTTTCTGTATGGTCATCGTTACCTTTCGTGTTTAGACACTAGACGCTCTCCTTGACAGGAAACCTTAAACCTATATTCGCAACTCTGCTTCTTCACTCTTTCTTTGTTGGCAGCGGTGTAGTAAAGATGGAAGAAGGGGACAATTAAAATCGTCTATACTCGTGACTAACCTATTGAGAAAATAATTGAAGCATGAAAAGATTATATATGTCCATAAGACGTAGGAAGATATATTTTGTAAACAATTTTATTACCGCATCATTTCCTTTTATCAACAGGGGAACTATATTTCATGGAATGCTGGATGGGACCTGCATAACGCGGAGTCGTTAAATGTTTCACTTGGACATTTCTGTGAAGAAGAGACGGATTCCGTGTACTTCTGGTTCCCAGACGTGCCCTACGTGACCAGCAACTACTTGTGTGAGAGTCTCGGAACCCATTTACCTCTGCCAAAGACCATCCAGGAGGCTGAATCATGGCTTACCCGCGGCACAGAAATGGTCGGTAACAATACTCGTTGCAATAAAGAGCTGATTGTGGCTGCAAACGATATCAAGCATGAAGGGAAGTGGGTGAAGCCATTCAATGGTCAGGAAATTGATCATAAAAACTTCGCGTGGAAAGACGGTGAACCCAACGGTCTCATGTACGAAAACTGTGCCCAAATCGAAACTGGGGGCGTTGCTGACATAGACTGCATCACGAGGGTGCAGTGCGCCGTGTGTGAGTTTAAAACTCGGCAGGTCTTCTCTTTACGCGGTACATGTGAATTCGAACTGAGAAACATCAACTTTCTGGCATATCAGTATGTAGCAGGAGATATCATTTTCAAAGGATACGGCAATTATCAAATTGAGAGGAATAAAAATGGCACATGGGTTTGGCAAAACGTAGTTGATGGCTACACGATCGCTACAATGGTTTTCAGCGAACCCAACAACTACCCAATGGGTCGACGAGAATGGAATTTGCTGAAGCCCATTTGTGGTCAGAAGGAGGGGCGCAGAATGCTGTTGCTCACCCCGTGTGCGGATCACGAGTACAGCTGCAGCGACGCCACTTGCATTCCCAGAGACCTGAGGTGCGATTTGAAGTACGACTGCGTCGACAGAAGCGACGAGGCTGAATGCGATCTGGTTGTGTTACCCGATGATTACCGCGATGATTTACCGCCTAGAGGTAGCCCAAGCATCAGTTCTGGAGATCAAGTCACTGATTTGTCGTGTAGTCCCTCAGTCAATGCAACTGCGACGTCCTCAACCAACAATAGTACAGGAATTAAATCGAATACTCAAGAGAAAAATTCTCAAGCCCTAGGCACGTGCATGGAGACAGACAAGGATGATTCGCGTCTTCCGGTGACGTTGTCGATCAATATCGAAACCATGGACATCGACACCACCAAAATGACTCTGCAAGCAACCTACACGTTAGCTATGAGCTGGCGTGATGCGCGACTCTTATTTCTTAACATCAAAGGAAACGATAGCTTGAACAGGCTGTCGTACGCCACTATGGTGAATCTGTGGCACCCTTATGTTGGCTACGTCAACACCGACGGCAATCAACATACGGATGTTGATGAAGAGGCTACGCTGCTTATCATCAGAGAAAATGAACCTTCTTATGACGACGACGCCGCCCCAGGAGAAGGTTAAAAGTTGAAATATTCTAATCATTTCAGATTTTAGATATATTCGAAATTTGTAGCTATGTTTGAAGCATATCCGGTGAAAACAAAAGTAGCTCGTACAGATAGCTCGTAATTGGTGTGAGGACTGAATATATATTTTAAGTTTATGTTGAACTCACACTTATCACCCCCTCAAAAGCCTTCTAGTCATGGGGGAAAATATATTTGTACTGAAAATCTGAAATTTTGTGCAGTATCGGTGTACCAGGGCTCGGACAACCCCCTGGAAGTTTCCCGCAAGTATAGTACGGAGTTCAAATGCGACTTCGACCTTGTGCTTTATCCCTTCGATTCGCAGTCTTGCGATTTATACTTACGTCTCTTGTCAGCTTCTCAAGATTACCTTTACTTTGACACTCAGTCTGCGTCAGCGCAGTACGAGGGAAACTCTCTCCTCATTGAGTACCAGGTGATTGAATAATTTTTATCGACGTGGCCAACGCATTGATGAGTTTTTAGAAACAATATTTTATTTCACTAAGTAAGGGCAAGCATGGCGAGCATGAACGAAAAGTTTTCGTTTTATAAGTTACTATAGCAAAAAACGAAAATGCTCTAATTGTATGAACATTAATAAATATGTGAATATTAGATGTAGTAGAAAATTGAAATTTCTCTGGTGTGCGCAGGTCTCTCCTCCTCTGGTAGTAGCAGTAAGCAGTAAGCACCACAGTGAAATGAAAATTAGGATTCCTTTGAGCCGCCAGTATGGGTACGCAATACTCAACATCTACACCCCCTCACTCATACTCATCGTCATCAGGTGAGAGTACGGAAACTTGCAAGAACCGTTGCATAACTTACTCAAAAATTTTGTGGTGGACGCAGGCGTTTGGAAACCTTTTATTCATTCTTAGTTGAATTTATTTTAGATTTTAAAATGTAATCAAACCAATCGTCATACTCAGCAACTTTACTTAATAATCAACAAAATTACACAAATTTTATTTCCATTATGACAAATTTATAATAAGTTCCTTCATATTGGCGCCTGTGCAGTTACCTTTCACTGTTCTTCAAGCCGCGCATCTTCGAGGTGCGCGTCATGACGGCCCTGACGGCGCTGCTCGTCGTCGCCACGCTCTTCACGCAGGTCACCCGACCACGTCACTCATATTCACATATTATAGATAAATTAAATAAAATTATTTATATAAAAGATATAAATATATAGGTTGGGCAATCTAGAACAAGGTTGCAAAAACCTGGTAAGGCTGTATCTAGATCATAGTTTCAGATTATAGATTATTTGATTAGAGTAGATCTAGATTATAACTAAGTACCAATGCTGCCGTACAGTTTGATTGGCGCTATATTATAGTTTGAAATTACTAATCTCCAACTTCTAGTACACGTCTCACGTGATCGTTCAGAAGTAACAAGTTATAAGTCATAAAATTGAGCACTGCCGTAATGTCATTGACTATAATTATCTAGGGCGTAATCTGTGATCTTAGACCATTGATGTCATCATACTTGCAGGTCTCTTCATCGCTGCCCAAAACATCTTATTTCAAGATGGTGGACGTCTGGCTACTCTTCTGCATCGGTATAATTTTCGTCATCATCATCTTCCATTCTGTCATTGACAGCTACTTAACGGATAGAGAAGAGCTTCTGTACGACGAAACACCAACTATATTCACCAGAGTCACACCAAAAATGATAGACCGAAGTGGATTCAAAGACGAAAAACGTAGAGTCGAAAAACTAATTTTCTGGTCAAAAATTGGAAGTCTGGGCTTGTTCCTTCTATTTAACGCCTTTTACTGGGGCTTCATTTTGACTTGAACAAATCGCGAAGAGATTTACTGTTTCGCCATAATACGTATGTAGTTCCACATTGCACATAATTCTTCACCATGCTGCACTGTTGCTATCACTGTTGTGTGTTGTACTCATGACTGTCTTATCAGCATGCTATTCTGTAGCTATTGATGCTGTATGCTGTACTCATTAATTAATCAACTTGTTATGGTCGGATATTTCGTAGCGATGTGTAACTAAAAAATTTTTGCCTCGCACGTCGTTCCTGTAAACGCTGAGTTAATCATGTAATTTTTATAAAACAATGTCGTAATACTTTGAATTGCGCGATTGTGATCGAAGTGCTATGAAGACTGGCAATGTCCTGGGAACCGGCATAAATGGATCTTCTTGAAGCTAAGTATTCACTCTCATGTATAATTCCACGTTACAGTTCTCACTCCAGCACACATGAAGCAATTGTCATTGTATTCTTTGGAGGTGATTACGTAAACAACTACCTTTATATATATTCATTTGTTACTAAAATTTCCATATTCACTGCTTTATTGGGAAGTATTAATATTGCTTGCTTGTCGTCGTAAAATCTTTCAAAGTCGGAATGATACATTATAAGTGTAAAATATTTGTATTTTGTGAAATCATATTGTAAAATCATACCTATTGCATCTGCAACGTTGGATTTTACTTGCGTTGGCGGTTCTTCAGTACCGGCATAAATAAAAAGTTCCCTTGTTCATAGAATGTAATGCAGAATTCTTGTGCATAGTTCGATTTTTTAACACTCTTAACATGATTTAATTAAAATGAAAACGATATAGTTTTGGGTCAAGTTAAATGACGAGATTACATTTTCAAACAGTGCGTTAATAAAATCTCTACTGTGTTTTCACGAGTCACTCCGACAATTTACCTGCACTACAAGTTTACATTTGAGGACATCTTTTGTGCTTGATTAATAAGCCAGCCCACACCGTAATAAGACAGACCACACCGTAATAAGCCAGACCACACCGTAATAAGACAGACCACACCGTAATAAGCCAGACCACACCGTAATAAGACAGACCACACCGTAATAAGTTAAAAGGTCAGACCACACCGTAATAGGCCAGACTACACCGCAATAGGTCAGACCACACCGTAATAGGTCAGACCACACCGTAATAGGCCAGACCATACCATAATCAGCTGTAAACATTAAGCGGCCATAGTAAAGACCAGACTTTATTGTAAGTGCTGAATGATTGATTGATTAATTCATTAAAAGGCGTTGAAGAGAATAGCAAAGAAATCTTTCTTTTAAATCATCTAGAATATGTCAGCTACAGATCGAGCAATTATTTCATTGAAAGACGGTTTCGTGGTAGAAGGCACGGTTTCATGGGATAGTACTTATTAACGGTTCCTGAAACAACACAAAAAGTCATACCAGGAACAGTTGTAAATAATGACTTAATTCGTATTCCAACTATATATAAAAAAGTAATATGTAATCAAATTACACAAATGAATTCTCACCAAATTCCTGGAGCTTTGGCGTAAATAACTAGCAGCTGACAGACGAGTAATAAACCAGTTGCAGAATATGTAAAACTTCTACTTCAGAGTAGTCAGACTAGAAGAAATGAGGATGCTTATAACACATCAGTTGATGCCATATAGTCATTTTAATATGCCATGCCAAAATTTATTATGTTTACATTCAATGACCTTAACTTCGAAATAATTTTTTACCGAATAATTGGAATATTTAGGGCAATAGATGTTTCTCCTCTACAAACGTTTTTTAACTGCCAGTAGCTACAGGTTAATTCATCAAAGTAACTGCATGATAATTGATACGCGGGTCCAAGAATTACCAACGCTCTATCCAAATTTCTCCACTGCGGTGCTCCATCCGTTATTAACGATTATTAAGTATCGTATCATATCATATCATATCATATCATATCATATCATATCATATCATATCATATCATATCATATCATATCATAACATAACATAACATAACATATATCATATCATATCATATCATATCATATCATATCATATCATATCATATCATATCATATCATATCATATCATATCATATCATATCATATCATATCATAACATAACATAGTGATATCGGCGCTGAAGAATAGGCCTGATGTGGCCTGTCACCTATTGTTGTACGTTCAGGGTTCGAATTGTTTAGAGAGAAATGGTTATTTAAACAGCACATATCGCAGTGTAAGGACCACTACCAACAAGGTTGCATGGAAAGTCGTAGACCGTGAAGGGATGGTCAGCTATGGCCATGCAGATGTTGATTCCGCCATCGGGGTTCTTTGGGTACCACGGGAAGGGATAGTTCGAGGGCAGCACGAGGTCAGAGGAGAGAGCCGCGTAAGAACCGTCAATTTGGCGCTGCAGGTCCACGAAGAAATAGGGTTTCATCCTGATGCTCATCACTGCTCGGTCCTGAGAACGATGTTCCGGAGTTATAATTGACTGGCTGGATAGAAAATGTATTTCGTAGCAAAATTAAACGTCAGCACTGATTTTTACCATTTTGAGGCAAAATATGGTGTGTCTAGGTTCCTTATTTTTGGACAATTTGTCTCTCAATCAATTAGTTCAGGTTGAGCTGAAACATAAAGGGTATTATAAAATACGCGTAGTACGTTTTACGTTATTAATCATGGATAAAAAATTATCATCATGGAGAAAGGATTAATTATCATGGATAAAGGATGGGTTCGATTCGCAATTCAATATCTCTCCATTTCAATGAATGACAATTAATGAGCTTACAAAACATTCTTCGAATAAGTTATGAAAAGAACCGGAACTTATGCTAGAGAAAAACTTTCTCCGAGGATATTCAGGAGTCATTATTGTATTCACCTTGAGGCTAACTGGGTACGAGACCAGCTTCAGACCGAGGCCGCTGCAGAAGTCATTCGCCTTTCTGTTCAAAAACGCAGGAAAAAAGAGCTGTAGTTTTATTTCTATTCTTAGAAGACAAATGAAATATTCGAAGGAAAATTATTCAAATGCCTTCTTAATATCAAACAAGGTGTTAAAGTTTCATTATTCGTTAGCTGCGCTGCCTGCGCATAGGTTATCCAGCAGCGCTCAGGATGAATTCCCAGTAGGTATCTGACGTTGAAGCAACGTTGATTATTTGTTGATTTCAGGTTGAAATGTTGGACAACCAAAATTAAACGTCATATCAACGTCGAAATCTGACCAACACAAGAAGGGACGTAAAACAACCTTATTTTAACGTTGAAATAACGTTGATATTGGTACGTTGAATACTTATTTATTTTTAAACGTTTAATCAATGTTGATTTCATGGTTGAAATGCTGAACAACCAAAATTAAACTTCCAAGCAATGTCCAAATCTGACCAACACTAGAAGGGACGTAAAACAACCTTATTTCAACGTTGAAATAACGTCGATATTGGTACGTTGAATGTTTATCTATTTTTAAACGTTTAATCAATGTTGATTTCAGGTGGAAATGCCGAACAACCAAAATTAAACATCCGATCAACGTCGAAATTCGACAAAAATTAAAAAAGACGTAAAAAAATTTTATTTAAAAGTTGAAAAATGATTGATATCGGTATACGTTGAATGTTTAGCTATTTACGCAGCATGTTCAACTAATGTTATCACACCAACATTGAATGATATACATATATGTTAGTGTATGATTAATGACCAGAGAATGCATTTTAATTTCAAGGAGTCGAACAATTCTTTAGCTTATTTTTACTGCTCGTGCACGCGAGCTATAGCGGTCAAGGTGGCTAAGGCGGGACGCGCGGTCACCAGCGATCCCGGGTTCGAATCCTGCTACGGTCGAAAAAAGGTTGGTTCTTCAACGTTTATCCAACCCTATAATTTGACGTTGCAGCAACATCGCAGCAGCAACAATGATTCAACGTTGCATTGTAACGTCATTACGACGTTCCATGAAAGACGTAGCTTCATTTTTATTTCTAAACCTCTTTGCACCCCGATCTCAATATCGTAATAGGCAGTTGTTTCAACGTGTATGTAACCATGGGTTATTACTTCATTGAGGAGGGTGTTGTTCATACCGCATGTGTGCTTTAAGATTTAAGTTTTGAGCTAAAACTGTAATCAGCTCAGGTGACTTACTGCCAGGAATTAAAAGTGACTCACTGCCAAGAATTAGCCAAGAACGGAAATTCAACGACAGTCGCGCTGCTGTCGGTGCTGAGAATCGCGTAGGCTGAGGGCACCAGCGTTGCCATGGCTCCAGGCACTGTAGAGTCCACGACGAATCTGCAAGGCTGCGGCTGCAAAAAATGTTATGGAAGGCATGACCACCGGAACTGATATAATGTGAAATTCTTTTACTGATTGGTCAACAATATTGTTTCAAAATCTAAATGGCCTGTGGCAGAGCAAAGGAATTAATTATGAAATTGGCTGCGTACACGGCAGGCCAATCAAATACCGGTAAATTTGAGGAGGTCTAATTAGGAAAATATTGTTAGAACAAAGACCCAAACGGTCATAATATACGGCTACTATAAGTAATATTTGTTAAAATAGCCGTAACTTAGTATCAGTTTGGGGCGGTCTCGCGCGCGTCCCAGACCGCGCGTTCTGTCAGTTGCTAACCTCCTCTCTTACGTTTAGTAGCCTTCACAATTTTGCTTCTTTTTTGCTTGAACTAGCATACCAAAAACATATTTCATAAAACGCTATGACTGAATGCCCTTTGAGATATATCCGTAGAACGCACTTGTGTACTAGGTAGTTAAGTCTGACGAGCTATTCTTCTTCCACTTTAGTGCATTTCTTAATCTGACAAAATATCCAGTTTCATCCTCAGCAGCCGTCCCCCCAAAACTCACGTTGGTGGCGAGCCACGCAACGCCACCGCAGCGCTCGTCCTGCAGGCAGAGGCCGGCGCAGTGCAGCAGCGACGCCGGCCTGCCGGCGCTGGGCGGCGGCGCGAGCAGCGACAGCCTTGTCGCCAGCACGCTGACCAGCCGAAAACTGCCCCAAACTCCTTGCATGTTACGCCAGAAACTCTGATGAAAAGAACTTAGACATGGACAGATGCGAGCACTGATAATTCATCTGATGCGTTACAAAATTAGCCGATTATTTGGCTGTTTTCTAGCTTCTCAAAGCTCTCTTGATTTTGCATCAATTACCTGCACTGCGGTGGTTTTGAAAAACTACTCTACTATTTCTCTAATCGTTTGCAGTTTGGCACTGATTTTTAGACAATGACATATGATACTTTGCTCACTGAAAATAGAATGCGGTGGATGATGAGGTCCAATTTTTGACCTTTGTATACTTCAATTTTAATTTACATTCGAAATTTTTTATTGAACTTCTAATCAAATCGTGGTCACGTCGTTTAACTTACAGTGAATTATTCACTTAGGATATCGGTAATGAATCAGTTTTTCGACGCTTAAAAATGAAATTAAATAACAAACATACCAGAGATCGGCACGCGCTATAGGTCCCGAAGAGCAGAGCTCAGTCGTTCAAACCTCACGATGGTGAGACTGGAAATGAAAAATGAACTAAACTATTTAATCGTGTACGTTGAATGATGACAGCTTTTGAAAAGTGTTCTGGATCGTTAGGGTCCTGATTTAGCATCCAATTATTCTGCATTAACGTGACTTGTCCTTGGTGTAAATGCGGTTCTTGATGTGTGACCATTAGGAAGATTACTCAAATCCATTTGTTCAGCTGACCACAAAATTTCTCGAACAAAGAAATGACTCGAAAGTGTGGAGAATTGGTCATTATTTTGTCATTATTTCGTCATTATCATGCCGCCCTGGTGTGCTATGCTGCACTTTAGAAACTCATTTCTTAGTAGAGATCCGAAAATTGTTAGAAATTTGAATTTTTACCTCCAATGACAATTCTTTATGGGCAGCAAATTCATGCACGCGAAGGCCGTTTTCCATTTGTCTGCAGTCACGTAAAATTTATTTCATGAGCATTAATGCCAAAATCGTCTCTTTGTCATCGCCCCCACCCAGTTTAATAGTTTGTCCAAGAATACCTTAATGTTAATGGTAATGGGATGAATACCTCCACCAGAGAGCCACATCGATGCAATATATGTTTTACAAAATATTTCTTTGTCTGCTTCCTATGTAGGCACATAATAATATGCGTGTAAAATTTACTTATTAAATGCAACACTTCTGAAGAATCCAGTGTCTCCGATGTTAGACATGTACAATGAATTTCTAATTTCATATTGAAATATTAAAAAATTTCCTTTATGTATTTTCTAATATATAAAAATTAAATTTTCAAAATTATTTATTCTGTCAATTGATTTATGCATTGTCTCCGACTTTACGCAAGTTTGCGAAATTTCAGATCGATTGGACAGGTGTTTTATATAAATATCGATTATATAATTTGTAGCAGACAGACAAACAAACAACAAGAAGAAGTCAAGTTACAGAGAAGTGTTGTAAAAAGTAGATAAATTCCGCTTATTTATTTCGCACTTGATCCAAATATCGTAAGTTGTTAGTTCAGCTTGTTCATGCAACTAAACTGTGGCATATGTTGAATTTTTAAAATCTTACGTTGAATTAATTGTAGCTTGAAATGTAGTTTGATGAATATAACAGCAAACTTGAAATAAAAACCCTTTTGGAGCTATTTATTTCATGTGCCATCTTACTGTTCGACAATGCTGGTTGATACTTGCCATTGAAAAATAAGCACGATTGTCAAATTACGAGTATTCTGTTCATTTTTTAAAGCGCATTCGCCGATTTTTTGACATACTACAACGCTAATAGACACAAGGTTGTTAACAAATTTAGATGCTGTTGAGGTAATTTTGAAATTGTTAACTAACAGCCACCCGACAGGTGGCGTGTTGCTTTGATCAGAATGGCTCTTCACCGCTGAAAGTCACGGCGATCTTGTGTTCTGCTAATTTTTGGACAAGCCAAATCTTAACTTGGACTATAATTAGGCTTTAGATTTTTTGGTGATGAAAATAATGGTCATTAATACACTTGGCAGGAAGCACCCCAGCGAACTCGAAATTAGAGCCAGTTCGAGCCGCCGTTATGTGAACGCCATATCCCATTCTTTTAATACACATCCTCGCTTAATTGTACTAACCGTCTTCAAGTGAATATGAGAAAATATTAAAAAAAAGTTTTCAAATTGGAAGCGCTGTTTCTTATTGTTCCCTTATTAAACGAATTTACCTAATTACAAATTAACGCTATGGTTGTTGAGGTCTGAGTTCTGTGACTAAGTGTAGCGGAAAATTATTTCAAGTATTAAACAAAATACCATAAAATGCATCATCAATTAGCAAAGTTATAAGCATTGTGTATGCACGTTAGCCTATGGTGCCGTTTTGTTTCTTTGTCGTTGCGGTCTTTAATCGAATTACAGATGAACAGTCATTTGGACAAACGAGTTTTGCAATCGCAGATTCTAAAACTCGTTTGTCTCAATCCGTCAATGCCTCAATGGCGAATTTAAAAGTCACTTGCCCGCTGTTTGCTGACGATTCGCCCGGACCCGGTGGGGGTCTCTGAGGTTTTCTAGCCGGCACACGCGAATGTTCCGATAGCTTGGACATGCTTTCCTGTTTATAGCTTAAGGAGTACGCTGCGAGGCGACGTTAGGGCAGACATGCGCACACGATATAGGATTATCACGATATAGGATGTTGTAAAATATGCATGTTATCAGATATCTTGCGATGGAATATTTTTTGAGTTGATCTAATATAATATTATTATTATAACTAATAAAACTTTTTCTAATACTAATTGAAATTAAATTTCAAAAATTGGCTCACAGCGTTGAGCAGCACCACCGCAAAGCTCCTCTTACAAGAAGAGGCCGGCCAGCGCAGCATCGACGCCAGCCTACCGACGCTGGGCGGCGGCGCGAGCAGCGACAGCCTGGACGCTAGCAGGCTAACCAGCTAAATACTACCCCAATCTCCTTACATGTTTATGACTCAAGCTCTGCCGTGCGATACAATGCAAAATGAATGAAATAATTATTTTAAATGGACTAAGCCCTTTCATAGCATTACCTTCATATCATCATATCATCACCTTTGTATCCAGTGAAGAAGTTGAAAATTACTCGAGATAAATAAATAGAATTCAGATTTCAGTAATGATGTTTCAATCAGTCACGTCAATCAGTCACGTCATTTGCTTACTTCTTATAGGTTTCTAATGCTCACCTCAGTTATGCCTCAATGAATTGAACTTCAGCGGTCCAGAAAGATGTTTTTAATGATCTCATCTAAGTTAATAAGATAAATATCAGGAAGATTCATTGGAACACTCTTTGAAACTTGTTAGATTAACACAAAAAATATTGAAGTCTCAGCGCTGCGGGGCAGAACTCCGTCGCGTAGCGTGCGCCTTTCCGAATAATCGGGCAAGCGAAATGATCAAAACTATCAAACTTTTTATGTACTGACAGTACCTTTGGTTACATGACTATGACTCTGGCTCTGATACAGTATCACGAACAACGACTAAAGCTTTTAGAAAAATGATCAACTGTGGACGAAAATTGACGCAACTTTTAACAAAGTTGCGTATCAGGGCCATTTTGTGCTGACATGCAGCCGAATTATGGTACATTTGATCAAGGGTTTTATGCTCTCCTGCGTATGTGACCTTTTAGAAAAGTTGCCTAACTCCATGGACTCGGCAAAAAGCCGGAATGAGGCAAAACTCAAATCATGCCGCTGCAACGGTAATCATTGGCAACAAAACTCAATTTTATCTTTTGCTATTGAGTTGTGTTTGTTATCACGAACCTGTATAAAATTCCACTTAAATGGTTTGCACTATGCAAAATTTAAGTTCGAAACTAACGAAAGTAATTAGCCTGGATAGGCAGTAAACTGCTCGTAAGTAAAAAAAAAAAACTCCCTAAAATCGTTCATTATCTCTAGAGTTCTAGCGTATGCCTTCCGTCATCTGGCAAGAGTGGTACGCGTATAACAGGTTAGGAACCATAACCCTGAGTTATGTAGAACATGAGTGAACGAAGTACCGAACTTCTATTTAATTACAGAACTTTATTAACATCCTTTAATGACCATTCGCTCTGCCATTTCAAGAGCGTTATGAGTTCTTGCATGCTCGCTGCACTCTATTTACAGGTAGCAATAGCCGCGTGCATATCTTGGATTTCATATGTAAGATGATGCTGGGAAAAATTGAGGATTCATATCATTATTTAGCATTTATATTTGATAAGACAATAATGGGCAAAACAAGCAAAAGTCTTTATAAAAGACTAACTTAGTTCCTGTTAATTGAAGTACAATTCAGAACCAGAGATGACAAATTCGTTAATCCATTAAAATATATGAATCGGGTTCGATGGGAACCCCTACAATAAATATAGGCTGAAATGTAGTCGTAAACAAGAGACATAATTCTTCTGTTACACTTAGCTGAGCTACATCAACCTTTTCTTTTCCAAAGCTTTATTTTATTTCCAGTTTATTTTCTCTCATTGATATACCATCAGGTTAGCTCGGTGTTGTTCATGAACGAGAATTCCTACAATTTTAGAATCCAGTAACCCCAAATTTCGAAAATGAGAATGAAACTCATATATACTAATTTAAGAAATACCCTCTCTAACTTACATTTCACATGAAACGTTTCTTTTTTGTCTGAATTAAATCATATATGTGCAATTTACAACTCATTTTCATTTTTAGTCCAATCCTAATCTCTTTATTTTTTAATTTCTCACTACTTATCCACTATGAATAAAATTTCCAGTCTAGGTAATGTCCCGACACAAAATCTGTCGTGGATACGCGCACGATTAGCCCATATATATTTTGGTCCTTCGCTACAAACATACAAACAAAAAAGCAAACTTCGATAAATTATCGACATAAAATTTCTAAACAGTTTTTCTAATGTATTTCAAGACGACAGTCATGGAGCCAATGAACATTTCATCTCTTGCTTCAAACGATTGGTTTGTAATTTAAATGGCATATCTTGCCCCGATTTTTCGCTGTATCGTAAGTGCGGTATATTGGGCCTTCTAATTAAGGCCAGAAAGTTGCAGAACAACGAAACTTCTTGCCTGGAGACTCAGGAGGTTAAAACTTCGATTACAACTTTACCCATCCCCCCAACTCGCCACGGGAATTTCGCGTATTTGGTGTGTCTCTTCTGCACAGGTTTAGCTTCTTGCCATAACGGACAACCTTGTTAATATTTCAGAAGCAGATGAAAGTCTGAATTTTTTCAGATTTTATATTTCCAAAAGTTATTATGATCAGTCATCGTTGAAACCGATGGACCCTTTTCAATTCTTCGTCGGTATAGGATCGTTAACTTGAATGAATAATATGCGTTTAAAATTTACCTTCCAAAGACAACACTTATAAATTAGCCAGTGTCTCCGATCTTACACATGTACAACGAATTTTCAATCTTATTTTCAAATAATGAAAAAATTAATTTTAAAATTTTCTCAATATATAAAAAAATTTAAATTTTCAAAATTATTTATTCTGTCAATTGATTCGTGCATTTTCTCCGACTTTACGCAAGGGTGCAAAATGTCAAATCGATTGGACAGGTAGAAATGTGTTAAATATCGATTAAAAGATTTGTAGCAGACAAAATTATTATTTTTATTTTTTATTATTAAAAAATCTTATATTTTAAAAATTATTTATTCTGTCAATTGATTCATGCATTGCCTACAACTTTACGCAAGTGTGCAAAATTTCAGACCGATCGGATTGGTAGAAGTGTGTTAAATATCGACGAAAAAAATTGTACCAGACAAACAAACAACAAAAAGTGAAGTTAAAGAGAAGTGTTGTAAAATGGACCGTTATTTCGACGAAGTCCACGCCTTCTCGCAGTTGTTCGTAATACCGGTAATAATATATAACTCGTGCTTTTTTCCTAGAATCTATGAAGTTTGAAACCTATTTCAACATTAAAAGCCTAAATGATCACACTTATTAACATCCTTTGACAGAGAACAGGCTGGGAGGTACCTCTGATAGCATAAAATTTCAACACAATTATAGAAAAATTACTAACATCAGTATTACTTTAATTACAATTATTTGCATAGTTTCTGCTGATCATGCTCCTGACTATATCCTTATTATATAAGAATTATAAGCTATATATTGATTTAACAGTTTCATTTCAAAACGTTGTTTGTTTCCGAGCGCGTATTTTTTTTATTTTTTGGTAAAGAGGCCAATGCATGGTGACTTTCTATTTTTCGAATGCGAATACTCAATTATGAGATATTTACTGTAAAATAATTGAAATATTCTTATATACTAGTGATTTTTCTTTCTCTAAACGTAATTGGATACTGTGCATTGTGCAAATATGTGTTGCCAACATCTCGAGCAGTCCAAGTATAACGACTGAAACTCTTGGCATGAATGATTCATTTCACAGCAAAATTTCATCTCATGTATGCATCACTCTGTGTTCACACTCAATTCAATGCCATGCTTAATTATTCATAAATTAATTGCTTCAGAAGGAGGGGAATACCTGTTTTTCTTTTAAACAAGGCATATGACAGCGTAGGGAACACTATCAACAAGATTGCATTCAAAGTCGTAGACTTGGAATGGATATCCGTAAATAACCAAGCACGTCTGGGTGCCGTAGGAAGGGTTGGTACTATCCCACGGGAAGGGGTAGTCGGGGGGCAGCAGCACTTGGCTGGAGGAGACCGAAGTGTACCATCCGTTGCCTTGACGCTGCAAATCAATGAAAATTCGGCTTCGCCTCCTGATGCTCATCGCTGCTTTTTCCTGAGAAGTATATTGGGGGATTTAAAATTTAATGACAGTTTGAAAATTTACATTTCTTTTCCGACACGTAAATGCTACGCTTGTAAATATTAATTGCATTCCCAAAATCGTTCGTACCGGAGCGGCAATTTTTGAAACGATAGTTCAAAGTAAGAATTCATGATTGTTAACGTCATAAAAGAATTTGTGCGACTGTGTTCGTCAAGTCATGAGATTAAAATTGTCGTATGTAATAATTAATTTCGATTTGCTGTTTGGTAATATTCTTATTACAGAGAGCGTCAGTTCATGGATATAAAAATTTATTTTGAAAAAAATATACTACCTAATTGAACGTTTGCAAGTAAACAACTGCATGTATTCGATAAGGCAAGCTTGCGATCTTCAAAGTTTGTCGATATATAACGAGTCAATTGAAATATTCAGTAGCAGATGAGCCCGCATTGTGCGGATTAATATTCCTAACAATTTGAGAACCACATTCTGAATCCCATTTTTCTGAATTCGGACGTTCCGAACCTCATCGTCAAGAATTTTGTAAACAATTTTAAAACTCAAGTGCTCAATTGAATTGGGACCCAGCCAAACCCACATTTAGCTCGGAACTTTAAGTTAGCTCCTGTTTGAAAGTAAAATTAAATTTAATTTGCATTTTGAATAAAATCTACACATTGGAAGTAAAACTAATTTAACAATAAATTCAACTCTTCCTGTCAATTTTTCAATGCTACAGTATTTCATCATTAAAATTAAAGTTACGGGGCAAAATTATGACGCAATAAGTAAAGTGGCTAATGTATATTTCCGGTGTGAGTTTCACACACACATTCCTAAATACATAATATTCACCTTGTCGGTAACTGGGTACGAAATCTGCTTCAAACCGAGACTGCTGCAGAAGTCTCTTGTCTCTCTGTTCGTCAACGAAGAAATGAACGTCAGCTGGCGCTATATGATTAAAATGTAACAACTAAGTTTTTCAAAATTATTTAATTAACTTTTGGAATAAAAATAGTTCAAGTGGGTTGTTAAAAAATTATTTAGTTTGTAATTTGGACTGACACAATTTTGAATTCTTATAGCAAAGATTAGAATTGACTTACTGCCAGGAATATACAGGAGACGGAAATTCAACGACAGTCGCGCTGCTGTCGAGGCTGAGAATCGCGTAGGCTGAGGGCACCAGCGTTGCCGTGGCTCCCGGCACTGTTGAGTCCACGACGAACCTGCAAGGCTGCGGCTGCACAACAGGTACATAAGTCTTATCATGATTGACAACTACGGAGACAAATTTGGACATTCAAGAATCGAAACAAATAGTATTTTTTTCGTTGTTCACAAATATTCTTTTCTCTAAAGTCTAAAAAACAAAACTTTAGAAATGCCTTAAATGAAACAAATATTTCATCAGTTTGCCAAACTGGAAAATATCTCTACTTATTTTACAGAGAAAATGTGGTTTTCGAGCTTCCCCAGTAAAATTTATTTCGATGTTAGATAAATAGGTCCACCTCGACTAGCCGTCCTCCCAAAACTTACGTCTGTGTCTAGCCACGCAACGCCACCGCAGCGCTCGTCCTGCAGGCATAGGCCGGCGCAGTGCAGCAGCGACGCCGGCCTGCCGGCGCTGGGCGGCGGCGCGAGCAGCGACAGCCTTGTTGCCAGCACGCTGACCAGCCGAAAACTGCCCCAAACTCCTTGCATGTTTACGATAGAAACTCTACGATAGAAACGGATTATTTCACCCTAAACAAATCCAATGCAGAAGTTGAATATAACTGGATAAAAAATTATTAAATTCTAATTAATTATCCTTTAATTATCCAAGACAACTGTTATTGATGAATATTCAAAGATAAAACAATCATCTCTGGACTTTATTAAATCCGAGCTACATGAAGCTCAAAGTTGCTGCAAAGACAATTAGTTTGATGATTTTCAGAATTATAGACAGAGTTCTCTCGAAAATTGCTGGGGTTACGTTCAAATAATATCACTTTAAGGGATTTTTTTAACTGGCAAAAAATGCCTTAAAATGAAATATAAGCCACATTTTAAACTACTTATTTGTCACGTTGATGCAATTATATTCTTATTATCATGTTTTTCCGGTCCTAAATTTTTTATGCACCCACTTAAATAATTAACTCTGCCCCATTCCCTCAAAAATTTCTTTTGTAATATTATTATTCGATAATTTTTTCTTTTAACTCTAACACACATACAATAAATCTCCTCTGCCGGTAAAGGATTTGTAAACAACTCATAGAAATCCAGTAGTCATAAAGGTTCAATGCACTTTCTATTATCCAAGAACAGGTTATGAACAATTTTCGAGTGATTTATAATGTTCTTTTGGTATAAAAAATTTCCTTTATAAAGTATAATTTAATCCTTCTTACAAAAAAACAAGCTCAACTAAAAATTCCAGAGCAAAACCAGCAGAAGACATACATAGCAAAAGTACACGGAGGAATAAAGAAGTATGCTGCGAATATTTCAATAAAGCCAGTAGATACTTCACATCTCTATCCACGACAAAGGCTATCCGCAATATTCGATATTTGAAGAGGAGGAGAGCTGTACTGATGATTTGCTTACGTCTTATAGGCTTGTAATGCTCACCTCAGCCTCAACGAATTAAACTTCAGTGGTCAAGAAAGATGTTGTTAGTGATCTCATCTAAGTTAATAAGATAATTATTAATAAGATTCTTTGAAACACATATTGAAACTTGTTAGATTGATACATGAAATAGAGAAATCTCAGCGCTGCAGGGCCGAACTCCGTCGCGTAGCGCGCGCCCTTCCGAATGATCGGGCAAACGAAATGCTCCAAGTCTAAACTATCAAACTTTTTATGTACTGACGGTAACCCTACTAGTTACATGGCTATCAGGTACCAATTACAGGATCAACGACCAAAACTTCCAAACAATTGTGGACGAAAATTGACCCAACTTTTTACTATCTTTCTAGAAGGGCAATTTCTGTATTGACTTGCCAACGAATTATAGCGCATTTGGTAAGAGTTTTATGCTCTCCTACTTCTGTGACATTTCAGAAAAGTTGCCTAACTCCATTCATTGGGCAGAGCGAGTCAGCCAAATCTCACAGTATTCTACTGCAAAGCTAACAATTGGTAGAAAAACTCCAGTTTATGTTTCGCTAGTGTCTAGATTTTGTAATCATGAAAATTTATATCTTGGAAAAAAAATCCATGCCCATCAACTGTTATTCTATTCAACGATTTAAGCTATAATCGCAAGTTCATTCAAGTAATGAGGTTTTATCATTACCGGATAACTTCAAGCTCGTTATTTTATTCTACTCATCAACTTCACCTAGAAGACATTAGTGTTCGGTACTCGCAAACTGTCATGATATCAAATACACCAAAACGTCCGGCTATCTAAAAGTTTTTTACGACAATGCCTGTAGCAGTGGTCCCCAACTTTATTATGATCGAGTACCACATGGCTCATAGACTCGCTGGGGTACCCGAATTGTGTACGCTAGCAACGGGCGCTCACATGACACCGTCCACTGAAGGAGTCATTGGTCAGATATAACGATCTCGATGATGTCGACTGGCAGACTTAGAAAGTTAGCATGAGTGATGACAACGTCCAGCAATCCGCCCATGTCGTGCGTCGGCAAGGTCACGTGAAAAACCATGTCAGAGGTTGTCTGAAGGTCATTCAGCTGACGAGCCAATGGGTCGTCGACACGATCCAGTCAAACGTTTAAATTGCTGGTGATGACATGATCGGGGAAAGTCACGAGTCTTGTGACATTCGACGAAGAAATCGCGCGCCACAGCAACCAATCCAGGAACATAGATAGTGACTGCAACGCCCGTGAACAAAACGATTTGGTAATATATTAGCGATTGGTTCCCGCCTATCAACGTCCAAGCCTTGACAGCAATCCACATTAAATGTAATGCATAAGCATGTAGGTACTTCAGTTACAACGAAAATGCAGACATCACTTATTGTGCTGTACCTTGTACCTGTTAGAAGAAGCCAAATTAAATGAAATCGAAGTTAATAAGCTTCATCATGGTAAGATGAAACACAGATGAAATTACATAATAATGATCGAAGAGCAATAAGCTGTAAAATTACTTTAAATTAGCCGGCTATCCCTTTGCCGCTCTGGCATGATAACCGTAAAGATTCCAGTATATATTTATCAAATCGTCTCTCTAGCTGTTGAAATAATTTCTTCAAAAAATTTATGTTTAAAAACACTATTATTTTTGTCAGCTTGATTCCCAGTTTTAATAACGAAAGGAACTTAAAATCGAGTATCTAATATTACATTTTAGTTTTGATGAAATTTGAAAAAAATTAATTCGAAATTTTTAACCCGACATCCCTTTAATTAAATATTATATATCAGTTGTGAAGAATTAAAAGCCTGACACCCTTATGCATGATATTAAATGTATGCAACCAATAATATATAATTTTTGAATTTTTTAATTATCATAATAATTTAATCTGGTGAATACATGCTAGAATAAACTTTATATATTCACAGTTTATCATGTTTTATATATTCAATGACACGTTCAGGAACATATTACATAGTTTTCAATTAATGGAGTCGATTTTAGTGCTTTGGAATCAAAAGCGTAATTTTATTCGGAACGTAAATACTGCTTGTCGATTTTTGTATCGCGCCTTTCAAAATCATACCTGGATGAAATAAACAGTTTAATCTCAGGAGAATGTGGCGATTGCGAACGATTCAATTGTAAGTACTAAGTACCATCAGTGGACTGCAGAAAGTGTATTTTTCTGTAAATTGTGCAAACTTCCCTTGTTTAAATTTGTATGATCTTATGAACGTTGATATGCAATCAGCTCATCTTTTAACAGAATAATTATAAATTTAGCTCATCCTATTATCCTCGAATGACTATGAGCATCTATGTACTCAATCGACAATTCTACGGACTCGCCAGGGGACTCGCCTGCGGACTCGCGCAACTGGGCCACTCATAATTCCTTAAATACTCAACGGATCTGTATGAATTTTGAAATGTGAGTATTATTTATCGATACGCTGCCGCAGGAATTATTACAGATTTTTGCATGAATTATTTCCTAACCAAACCTAACCTAACTTAACCTAACCTAACCTAACAATAAGTCATGCAAAAATCTGTAATAATTCCTGCGGCAGCGTAGCGATAATTAATACTCACATTCCAAAATTCATGCAGATTCGTTAAGTATTGAAGGAATTATGAGTGGCCCAGTTGCTTAAAAAATACGTTTATTGGTTTTAATTAAAAAATAATTCATGTAAAAATCTGTAATAATTCCTGCGGCAGCGTATCGATAAATAATACTCACATTTCAAAATTCATACAGATCCGTAGAGTATTTAAGGAATTATGAGTGGCCCAGTTGCGCGAGTCCGCAGGCGAGTCCCCTGGCGAGTCCGTAGAATTGTCGATTAAGTCATTTATGTGAGGCGTGAAGACGTTGCGTTGACTACTTTGAACTCCAATGTTGAATGAATTACAACTGAAAGTGGCATGCTATGGAAAATGATTTCAAACATAAGGTAAATTAAGAAATTATTTTACCTTTCCTGATGTTCAATTTAACGCTATTGTTTAATATAGCTTACCGGGTTAACAAATCAGTGCGACATCATATGATTCAATTACTACCGCAGAGATATTCTTAATAACACGAACATATTATTTACGATCTGAAATTTATTAATTAGAGTTATAAATGATATTAAACATGTTTAAGTCTTTCTTTAATTATTCATGTTCGATTTAACCTGGGTATTAAATGCTGCAGTGTTGCCAGTGAGCCGACAGGTGGCGTGCTGCTCTGATCAGAATGGCTCTTCACCGCCAAAAGTCACGGCGATCGTGTGGTCTGGTACTGTGGTTCTATCCGAATTGTAGTCTATGAAATAATGTAAGTTTTCCAATGCTTATGTCAATGGAAATAGTTAGGAACAGTATTAGTCTAGGCGTGAAGTCTAGTTGTGATCGGTAAGTAATTATACTTTGACATTCTAAGCCATGTAATTTATTACCACGTGCTCGTTAACTTACTGGAGAGGGTTTCTGTAGAAGTTAAAAAACTTGCTTTTATTACAGACTTATGGGCTATTAAATTTTATTTCGATGCAGCATAATTTATTTCGACGCATGACACTCAGAATTATTGGTACCAGTCATGGACAACTTAACAGTACTCTTAGTACTAATATAAAAAGGTCTCGTGGCCGGGTGGCCCGAAGACTCGGAAGCAGTCGAAGTCATAAAATAACAGATGAATCGCTTCAATTTTCGCTTGTTCTGCAATTAGGACTACATTTACACAGGTCACAGGAGTTGCGGACTTGCGGCTTCTCAAATCTCAATCGTCAATGGAAAAATCGTGACAGTAATACAATAGTTTAGGAAATGGGAATTTAACTTTGATAAAGAAAACGCATTTTTATAGCTTTACCAAATTACAATTACAAAGAATGTATAATTCTGGCATTTGAACAGGAGTTGAATTTATCAAAGCCATCAAATACCTTGTTCTGTTGCTGGACCCTGACGGCCTGACCCATTGGGCCATTCTGTTTAGGTACTTCATTGAAATAAATTTATTAATGTACAAATCGAAATCGTACATGCTTGAAGTCAAGGGTAGGTACCTAGATTGGTGGAAGCCATGGCCAGGGAAATGATGGAATGTCAGGAAACTAGACTAGACTAAAAACTAGAGGATTAGCCTAGCTAATGTGTAAATGAGTAAAAATATCAATTGTGTTCCATCTAAAAATGTGGTTCTTACTTCTTGGTAAACAACTTCATTCACAACTTTTCTAATAGCCTAGGTAACTTAATTCTTAATAGTTAATGGCTTAAGCCTTAAGGCTTAACAGTTTACACTGTAAATAAGGCAGGTCCTGGCAGGATTCATTTTTAAAAAACTATTGACCATTCTTAGAATTTTACAAATTTTGTAGGTAGGGCATAGTGGCAAAGCAGAGAGTTTTTTAGACTCTCCCTCAAATTCATTTTTGAGTCCTATAAGTATAAGTAGACCAGTAAAGTATCCTGGATACCAGCATTATCGTACTTAAGAAATTGGTTTAAATCTTGAGTAAATGAGTAAATTAAAAATGAACTGATTCTAAAAAATCTCTGGTTTGCCAGTTGCCACTATGGGTAAACGACTAAATGCGGTATATTCCGACTGTCCGACACATTAAGGATGCATCGAGGAATGAAAAACTATAAAAAAGACTGTATGCGTTACTCAAGTTCTGTTTGCTTTATGTGACTCTCAAAACACTGCACTACGCACCAGCAACGATGAAACGTCACAAACTGTTGCCATCTTTATTTAAAAGCCTTTAGAATGCAAACATACCAAATCCCTATACTCTGATGCTGTGTGTGGCTAAATTCAGCACGTGAGACGAATTCTGGCCGTGCTTCAAACTCTACTAATACGTAATTCCAACATCCTTGTGTTCGAATTCCGATCACTATGCGAGCTGTATTGGAATACAACACGGCTTTGAATTAGAACACTATTGAATATTGAACACTACTTAATTAGGCTTTTAATTAACAGCTATTAAGCCTTTAATTAAGAAAATTTTAATTTTTGCACAAAGCTTGGAACAAGCTGTGGTCCAATTCAAGTTGTATCAGAATTAGTTTTTATGTGTCTAAATCCGTTTCTTAACTTAATCATCTATTAATTTATTTACCACTTGAAATCAGCAAATACAAGTATACTTAAAGGATTCCTAATATATTCACAGATGTATTTAAAAGTCTCAAACCATAATATTCTTTCTACACAAACAGTTTATCACTATTTGGTAGAGCAAGGTCAACTATCAACTTTGACACATTTTTTGATGATCTCACTGGGTGGCATGCACTGTCTCTCTTTGGATCTCAACATTTCCCACCAGACAGCCCAAACCTAGTGTTTTGGCAATAGTTTGGTGTGCAAAGGTATGACATCACTATTTCAACCATCAACGAATGCGTGGAACTAAGACAAAGCTTAATATAAAGGAAAAACTAGAGAGGTGTCGGAATATACGGCGTTTACCCTACATACCTAGTGTTGAATTTGGTCTTGGTGAATGGTGAAAATCCAATGTCAGTTTGTCATGAATGAAATATTGTTGTGAAGTTTGGTATTACCAAAATCTTTATATTCAAGTTAAGTTGCAAAAAATTTTTTTTCAGTGGTTTTAAGAGGCATAAAATTAACATTTGTATAATCAGTTCTTTTACTAAAAGGTTTTGGTAATTGGTATCAGTCACATTTTGTTGAATTGGATAATTTCCTATGTGATCATGCACGTACCAGTAGATTGAAACTTTTCTACTTCTCAATGAAGCCTTATGGCTCTCAAGATTTCAATTACCAACTGGGCAGTTTTACTAACAATTAATTAGGAGATAATTCATCTAGCAGGAATCATGTGGCTCCAAAAACACCTAGGTATTAGAACAGAGGGAAAGCAGTTGCAGGCTGGAGGGTTATTATTCCATGCCATTGCCCATTGCCAGGCATGGAATATATCTGCTTGGCGAGCCGCGATTAAATTTTTTGACCCGTGGTTTTATGGATTTGCCTGCCATGATTTCATTTTTTGAGCCGTGAATTCCATATCATGGACATGAAAAGCCATTTACAAGGTGCAATATTTTTTACAAAGTCCATGCGGCATGCACGTGTTACCCCAAATCTATAATCTTACCTGAAACGGTCAAATGGCAACAATTACAGTGGTCTTCACTGTAAGCTGAACATGTTAATGCAGTCTGATGTGACTGATCTTCAACAAAATGTTTAGGTTGACTTGTTCAAGTTGTTTACATTACAATGATTACGTTCTGCAGGATATTTTGGCAGGAATGGTAAAACAATGCAGATTGCAGAAGTGGAAAATTTTATGGAATGACAGGTTTGCAAAGTGTGAACTGTGATTTTCAATAAAACAAAAATTTATGACATTTGAGCCATGACATTTCATGCCTACTGAAATTATATGATATTAGAGCCGTGATATTTTGGAAAAATAGGACTTTTGCAGCCCTGCCCATTGCCAGATCACACAATATAGTATTCCATGCTTATAAGGGGGAAGAGAAATTCAATTAATCTATCACTTAACTCAAAATTTAAGATCCAAGACAGGGACACTTGAAATAAAACTTAATTTTAAAACGTTTGAAGCATGCACAGTGAACTCATCTTTTGCTAACAGTACTCCAAAGTTTTCCTCTTCCTTTGTAGATGTAGATTAAACGACATTTTCTGTGACTTACTTGTACTCATTTTTCCTTTATTGATATGACGTTACCACATCCATACATTACCGTATTACTAATGTTACCACATCCATGGACATGCCATTGAGCATTAACCCTTTCATGGGTAAGTTACCATATATGATCACTTGAAATCGCGTCACAAAAAGCCTCACCACGGCTTCCTGTTTGTTTTTGAGGCATCCTTATAATGCCTCAGTCAATCACTAATTATCTGACCATTGTTCTATCAATAGCATCACCAACTGCAAAGTCCACAAATTGAAATATGAGCATTTAAATGAAGGTTTTGACTCAGACAATAGAACTGACGCTCTTTCCGCATTTTCTTCAAAATTTGGAAGTATCAATATATATATTTATTTATTTTGGCAACTTGATTAAATTTAATTAAATTAAATTTATATATTTCTAATTATTCATTTGCATAAACAGAATTTTAGTTATAAAGAAAAATTTTGTGTACTGATTGCATTTATTTAATTCTTCAAGTGCGATTTAAACCTTCAATAGGCAAAATTTGCAAAAATTCATAGAAATAAATATATTGTATAATACTTCTTACTTTCTTGAAATGGTTACTGAAATTTTAATTTCTGGACATTTCAATGCTTGCCCGCTAAAGGGTTAACAATGACCTTGTGTACTGCAAGCTTCATATCAGCAGCTGTATACCATTTCTTCTGAATATGTAAGCTTGCAGTTGCAGTACTGGGCTTGTAATTTAACACAATTCAATTGGGTCAAGTGAATTCACTATAACAAAAATGATCGTATAAAACGCCTGAAACAGAAAGGAATTCTTTAGTGAAAACCATCGTATTTTTTGGAGAAATAAATTATAGTCTTGCAAATCTATGATGCTTGGTGCACAATTCTATCTATGACATTCTATGCTTAATAATTGATTTTATGATGACTGATGATGCATTAATTTTTTGTTTAAAAGAAGTGAATTTTTTTGCTGAGCAAGGTAAATGTAATCAAAATTCATTATTGTTAATCAAATTTTTTCATTACCTTGGGCCTTTGCTAACCAAGGTTTTTACCTCCTGTAAATGTGTTTTTAGGGGTGTCCCGTATTACCCTGGGGTTGTGTCCCTTATTACCCCATCTTGCAGAAATGGCCACCATTTTGTTTTAGATTGAGGTACAAAATTTCTGTCAATGAAATTTTAAAGTAAACACCTGTCTGCAACTTTTTTTTCCAGTGAAATTTTGTAATGTGGCAAATATTTTTTCTACTACTGACCTTGGCAGAAGTATTTTTTCAAAATATCACTTTCTAACATTTATTTCAGGAATTTTTTAGATCTAGTAACTGTATGGTTTGTTAACTTTATGCTATGTAAATAGGGAAATGTTAGTTTATGCCACTATTTTCCGTTTTACAACATTGCAATTAGTTCAGCTGCCACAACATTTTTATGCCATGGCAAAGGACTGTCCCAATTTACCCCCCTGTCTCTCATTACCGCGTTTGGATAGTTTATGCTTAATCCAACATTTGTGCTTGTAGTATGAACATTTGTGCTGGGAAGTATGAACATTTTTCACTCAAATTCCCATGAATGTGTTGTAGCAGCTAAATACTTGATAACAGTAATTATTTATAAACCTACCGTAAAATGGGGTAACTTAGACCACTTTTTTTTCTTACTAGCTAAATTAAACTTGAATTGAAACATGCAAAATACAGGTCTATACTCTAGCTTCACTCACCATAAATTGCTGGCTCCTGCCTCTCATAGTCTTTATGTAATTTCAAAAAAGTGATGGTCTTTGTTACCCCAGCTCTTGGGGTAACTTAGACCGGGTGGTAAAATCAATTATTTTTTTTTGGTAAAATAACTCCAAATAACTCCAGGTTTTGGTGCATTGTAGTAGAACTCTTCTAGTTACATATGCAAATGACAAACTTGAGGAAAGTGTCATAGTTTGCAAATGGGGGATGCCACCCCATAATGAGGGAAATGTGACTACCTAATGGCAGCCCTGATGGGGTAATATTGACTGGCTTGGATAATAAGTTGAAATTACCATATATAAGACTGTAGAGTCTGAAACGTAAAGAAAAAGCATAAATAGGCTGTCAAACATAAAATATGTTATATATGGTAATTTTATATTAACTTCCAAGCCGGTCTATTTTACCCTGTCAGGGCTGACATTAGGTGGTCTAAGTTACCCCATTTGGGGGCAGCGCCCCCATTTGCAAACTATGACACTTTCCTAAAATTTGTCATTTGCATATGTGACTAGAAGAGTTCTACTACAATGCATCAAAACCTGGAGTTATTTAACCAAAAAATAAAAAAAATTGGAGGGGGTACTCTGACAGGCTTTAAATAATAGCTTTTTTTTGTGGGTCACATTTTTAATTTTTTAACCTATTAGATATGCAAACTTTTTAAATCTTTCTATTGTGTTATGTAGCCTCAGTATTAGGCCTTTAATGCCCATTGACAAAATTCTTCTATGTCAAATAGTTTTCGAGTTGTGGGGGTTTTTGTAAAAAAAAACAAAAGTGGTCTAAGTTACCCCGCCGGTCTAAATTACCCCATTTTACGGTACTTATTATCTTGAAGTTTCATCATGATTGTTGGTTATTGTTGAGGATTTGTGTAAATCCTCATGATGTGAATATTTATATGAAGTTTATTTGCTCATAATTAAAAACTGTATCTATTGTAATAATACGAATTAAAGTATAAATGTTTCAATTATTACTAAGTAATGTTTTCTATACAGGGTGCTGTTTTGCAAGGCCATGTGATAACTGCCTGTAGCTGCATCATTCCTGCATCAAAGGATGCCTGGAGTCTCAGCAATGGAGCAGAGCAAGCCTGCCAAGTGGGTGGTGGATCCATCAGCTCCTGAGTTTGTGGAGGGCTGGAGCATTGTTCAGACACTCGGTGAAGGAGCATTTGGAGAGTGAGTTATTGAATTTGCTTAGATATTACATTTTTTCTTTTCTGAAGTTTATTTCTTATTGTGTGGTTTATTGTTTTAATTTTATTTCTCTGGATAGGTTCCTTATGTTGTAGTAATTTATTTGGTACTACTGTTGAGATTTAATTTGTTATAACCTTTTTGTAGATGTGTTGATTTTTGTCAGATTATTTTTGAAAACATTAAAACTTTGCAAGGGACAGACTACAGAGCAATTTTTTTATTGAAATTTAAGCACCTTCTGGCTATCCCATGCTGCAGCAGGACATGAGTAAACTATTGAAACTGAGGCCAGTCAGTAACTGCCTTGAATGTTAATTATCAACCCTGGTAATCTAAGTGTTTGAATTTCCAGCATTTGTTTCTGTTGCCTTGACAATATTTCGCTTTAGATGAATAGCCCATCTTTGATGTTACCGATGATGCTATATTTCTATACATACAGTGGGGGGAAATAAATATTCGTACACTTGAAAAATCGTATTTTAATGTATGTAAGTACACAAACTGAACAGGAGAAGTGATTTATATTATGTATAGAGGCGCATTGTATTCAAAAATAGCATCAATAGAAATTAAATCTCAATGTCTAGATTATTGGGACGAAAAATCCAAGAAAATCCACAGATTACTCGAGGAGAGTTGCAAAGTCACCTGAGTGCCTCAGGAATTCAAGTAACCAAATGAACGATAAGCAATGAACTTCACAGAAACGAATTAAAATCACGCCCCCCAAGAAAGACCCCACTCCTAATGAAACGACATCGAGATGCCAGGCTGAAATTCGTCAAGGAGCATAAGGACAAAGACTATGCTTTTTGGGAAAAGGTTCTTTGGACGGACGAAACAAAAATTGAGCTTTTCGGTCGAAATTATCGTCACCATATGAGGAGGAAAGACGGTGAGTTTGGTGTAAGTGAGTGAGTGAGTGAGTGAGTTTGGTGAGTTTGGTGTGTAAAGTTTGGTGGTGGCAACATCATGATCTGGGGCTGTTTCTCCGCAAAAGGTGTTGGTAACATATCACTTGTAGATGGTAGGATGAATGCTGCAAACTACCAGAGCATCCTGGAAAATAATTTGACGACTTCTGTTGAGAAACTAGAGCTACCTGGTGATTGGATTTTCCAGCAGGATAACGATCTTAAGCATACTGCAAGATCCACAAAGAAATGGTATATGAAGATTCAAATTAAGAAAAGGTCCCCAACAAACATTGAGAATCTTAAGGTGGTGTGCCAAGAAGAATGGTATAAAATACCAGTCAGCATCTGCAAATCATTGGTCGAGACGTATAGAAATAGACTGGTATCTGTTAAGCTGAATAAAGGGTATTCAACCAAGTATTAAATTAAAATAATGCGGATTTATTGTTTTGTACGAATACTTTTTTCACCCGAAAAGTGAACATGTTGAATTGTTTTTTGTTGCATTGAGATTTAATTTCTTTTGATAGTATTTTTGAATACTATGCGTCTCTATACATAATTTAAATCACTTTTCCTGTTAAGTTTGTGTACTTACATACATTAAAATACGATTTTTCAAGTGTACGAATATTTATTTCCCCCCACTGTATGTTGAGCCTGAAGGAAAGTCGAGAATTAGAAGATATATTCTTTCAGGGTTCGGCTCCTGATAAACCGCGTGAGTGGAGAAGCCGTTGCCCTCAAGATGGTTGACCTGATCAAACATCCTGAAGCAGAAACCAATGTCAAGAAGGAAATGCTTATTCACAAACTCTTGAAGCATCCCAACATAATCAAGTTTTTTGGTATGTTGTTTTTACATTTTATTTTGTAAAATTGTCAGTGGTAGTAAAATCCTTTGAACGTTCTTAACCTTTTGAGAAATTACTTGTTGGTTTTTATTTATTCTGAATTTTGATATACTTGGGGTTCATTTATCAAGACTTAGTTTACATCTCATTCATTTCATTTAGACTAAATTTACTTGTAATACTGTTAAAAACTTGTGAAGAATGCATACTTTATAACATGCTTTCAGATCTACCCGTATCTCTCCATAACCTTAATATGTTGTTTGGTTGTTAGGATGCCGTAGAGAAGCCCACATGCAGTACATGTTCCTGGAGTACGCGGTGGGTGGAGAGCTCTACGACAGAATTGATCCTGATATCGGCATGCCTCTACACCTCGCTCAGCGGTTCTTCAGGGAACTTGTTTTGGGAGTTGTACGTACAAATAACTTTCCTTCCATTAAATCATTGATAATTTAAAGAGCTATTTTCATACTTTAATTTTTCCGATACCTGACAAGAGATTGTAACAAAATTTTGTAAAATCAGCAACATAATTTGAGTGATTGCTATTGAGTGATCACAATCTTGTCTTCAAGCAGTGTGTTGTTCTTAATTTTTACTATGAGAGGATGTTGCAGTACACTAGTATTTTTTACTGCCTAGTTTATTTCTAAATTTATAACCCTAATAATTTTCATATGTAATTGCTCTTATTCCAAATATTTTGTTGGAACTATAATATGCAAAAATCTTTGAAATCTCCTAACTCTTGTATCGTACAACTTTTTTGCACCGCCTGCCTCCGTCCCATCATTTTCGCACCGTCTAAGGAAGATCCGTGACTCGCCTGTTCTTTGGTATAACCAGGATGCATGTTGGGTCATACTCATGGGTCCTAGTGTACCAAAGGGCTGGCGTGTCACCTGAACTCCTCGACAGATGACTTCTTTTCCGGAGGACCCATGGGATCATTGCACCGTACTTCCTTGTTCATGCGTGCATTTGTACTTGAAGTCGGACTGTCTGGTATCAAATCATTAAGCAACCTGCTAAATTTTTCTTAACATTTATATGCATGTCATTCGTGTTCTTTGAAATTCACTCAACTACTTGATCTAACTCTACTTGAATATTATATGTATGTCTGATTTGCAGAGCTATCTTCACGATAAAGGGATTGCTCACCGCGATATCAAGCCGGAAAATCTGCTGCTAGATGCCAGCGACACTCTGAAGATCACGGACTTTGGCTTGGCGACACTGTTTCGTCACGGAGGCAGAGAACGGTTCTTGAACCGACGCTGCGGCACACGTTCCTACATGGCACCAGAAGTGCTTGCCGATACAGAGTACCGTGCGCAACCTGCAGACCTTTTTGGCTGTGGCGTTGTGCTTGTGGCAATGCTGGCCGGAGGTAAGCTTGTATTATTTCACTAAACATTCTTAGCTATTACCATAGGTACCACTTTTTGTTACATATTTAATCTGCAATCTTAATTTTCACTTGTGCAAGAAATTCAAAATGATGGAAGTCTGTTCCATTATGACTGTTAAATTTCATCTTTTGGTATTACCCCAAACTTGTAACGGAATTATCCATATCAGGTTGAGCTTATTGAAGAAACTCTTGGAAAAGGACTCATTTCTTATGACCACTTCTCTCCATGTTCGAATCGTGCACAGATCTCCGAACATTAGGATTCGGGAAAGTATTTCTTGAGCAGAGGAATTTCACGAATTGTGTCGTGTGTCAGAAGAGGAAAGGCTGTTACCAGGATCTGGATGAATTTAATCGGAAAGCGTCACAAATCTTCGCTGCTGGATTCTACTAGAAAATCAGTGCCTGTATCTTTGGTGATCTAGCTGTGTGAGTGTTCGTCTCGCAACGCTATCTCACTAAAGTTACAGCTGCCGATACTTACGCCACGTCTCATCAACTTGAAAAAAATCAGATTCCTTCATTGCACGTGATCCTGGGACCTCAATGTGATGACTTGACGCTTTATGATTGAAGCCTTCTTAGCTTATGTGCCGGCTCTAGGGCACCTGACCTCTGGCCTGAACCCGTATGGAAACAACGAATCCCGCCAGATCGCAGCGTGGATTATGGCTCGCGTACTGCTCAATCCTGTGCATGGATTATTACAAGTTAATTCGTCGCTGATAGAAGCATGGATCGGAACCCATGGCCACTGACCAATCTATGACCACTGACAAAGCTAATATTACCTGCATCTTAACTAATAATCAATCGTTATCTTCCTTGCTTGTACGTTTGTAATCAGTCATGGCAAATAAAAACGTTGCTTCTATGCGCAATGAATATTTTCATTTCAGTTGATTCAAACAACTCTCCTCCTTTCAGAATTGCCTTGGGACGAACCAACGGTGACGTGTGACCAGTTTAACATATGGAAGCGTCGTGATGCGTCTTATCTGAACAGCACACCGTGGACGAAGGTAAGCACGTGCGTGCTGAGTCTTCTACGACGACTTTTGCACCCCACACCTGCCCAGCGCATGAATATCAAGCAAATTCTCGAGCATCCCTGGATGGTGAAACATATCGCCGAGACTGGAGATTTGCCGAAGAAGCGATCGAGACACGATAACGGTGGGTTTAATCTTCTCTCGGCCCTTATAAGTTTCTATTTTTTAGATGAAATTGGTTTTGGAGAACATCACAAGGATTTAAGTGACTTGTGCAGTTGTGCTGCTCTAGAATATTACGATGTCGTCGATATAAATTATGTGCATGCGACTGGTATTCTTTTTTCTATGCGGTTCTTGAATAATGTAAGGAAATTTGGGCTAATGTGACTGATTTTATTGAGTTTAGGACTGTGCTATGGGTTGAGTATAATTTAAAATTCAACATCTGATGATCGCCGGAAAATATATTGGAAGTTGTTGGCGTGCTTTTTGACGGATTTGGTACTGGGAAATTCAGGTACTTAGTGACTCTGCAATTGATAAACTAGCAGAGTAACTTTGTGCCAGGCTTTCCTGGCGCTATGAGCTTCCCAGCGTACGTGCACTAACCTCAACGGTTACGGATATGTTCTGTAAACACCTTGGAGCACTGGGTCATATGACGACACTTCTGGGCTTGCTGGAATCCGTCGAAGCTACGTACCTAGGTCACTTTCAATCGCGGAACCTCTTGGTTATGCCGTTTCTTTGGTAATTTAGCTTGCTATGGTTATGTGATCCATAAAGCTAATTTACCAAAGTAGTGTCATTTATCGCATCTTCGAAAGTGACCGCTTGAGTGCAGAAGAAGGATTACAAGAAATGGATCCGAACCGAAGCGCCTGGGAAAAAAAGGCCGGAGCGCAGACGGGAGTGTCGCTGTCTTTGGTGATTTAGCTGTATGATTGGGAGGCTCCTGCAGCTACCTCACCATTGGGGGCGATGCTGCCTATATCTGGAGAATTTGTGGAAATTCGGTTGATTTGCCTTTGGCTCATTTGATTCAAATTCGTCGTTATGCGTTCTTTCAGCGTCCTGAGGATGAGCTCGTTCATGAAATCCTGTTCTGTTGTCAACGTCAGATCGCACTCTCATTTTGGTGGAAGTTCGACGAGAGATTTTAGTGTAGATGACGTGACTTGAACTATAAAATTAATAATCTAAAGTTTAATACATGATTTGCCATAACACTCTCTGTTAGATAACCGGAAAATTTCCTTATTGGTTTAGGTTACATAACGTGCCTATTTGTTGAGCAGAATGGATATCGAACAAACGGATGTGCAGTGAATTAGATAGCAGCTTCCCAGCTGCATTCGACGAACGTCATGCATGCAGTCAACCGCAGCCTACAGCGCGAGCTCAGCCTGCTGAAGTGAACATCTGTGCTGCCGCTGAACTCGACACAGACACGTTGTGCTTCTCACAACCAGCCAAACCCGACCATCTCCTGCTAGCCTGCAGGTTTGTGTTGCATTATCCTGAGCGGTACTAGACTCAACACCTGAGCGAAACCTCTGATGGATGTGTCGTACGGCCAGTATGGAAATGCGCATTGAAATTTTATTTCTTGGATATGTGACGATCTCCTTTTTTTCAAACGAGCAGCCCAAGTGATGGCGATGTCTCCAACATGACGGCTGGTGGAGACAGATGCACTCCACTGCAAAAACTAGTCCGGAGAATGACGAGAGTTCTCGTGAGTTCGTCGATGGCAGACACACTCAAGCATCTCAACGATCTCTTCGAAAAACTGCATTACCGGACTACGTCTCACTCCCCTAATGTGGTAAATAATAACGCATGTAAACCTTTTGAATATTCCATGTCTTTACTATTGAGCTGAATCATGTAACGCGCAAAATTTCATTTTGTTAATTATACATGCATCATTTGTTCAGAAATGAATTGACGTTTTTAATTGAAGGCATGTATTACGTGCTTTTCGTTTCCTAGCTGTAGTTACAGCGCCAGGTTAATTTTTACGATTGCAACAGTTACCTAACTAACCAGTTTCAGATTTCCGATGGTTCTTGACTTGCATCCCTTATCTTTGCAGCTGACTGTGTCGACGGTAGATCGACGTGGGGCAGCGTTAGTAATGAAAGCAACTGTACTGAACATGGGAGCCCACATTTTAGTGGACTTCAGACGCTCTAAAGGCTGCGGCCTTGATTTCAAACGGCAGTTCATCCGCATCAAGGAGGAACTTTCTCACATCATCGTCAAAGGCCCTGTTACTTGGAGTCTAGCGAATGCCAGCAATATGTTACCTGCATAGCTTGTGCTAATTGAGATGCTTCCGTACAGCGTTTCTTTACACAGGCTTCGATACCATTAGTGTTAATTCGGTACATTTTGTGTAATGAGTAGTGATTGCCTTATGTGATTATTTCTCCTTTGGTGCGGTTGTAGTGCCTCTGGTTTCTTAGGCGGAATGAATTTCTAAGCACGAAAAATAAATTATAATATAGAGGTTTTATCTATGGAGAAAAGCGCTTGTAAGGAAACTAGATTATTATTGCAATTTTACTAGATTCCGTACGCGTTGAATTGAATTATTGAATTAAGAGTATTGTGCCTTGAAGAACTATACCGCGCCTAAAGTATGGTAAAATTTAAATCGTACAGAACATATTTATTCATAACCTGGAATGGTAGGAGTTTACTCATTCGATGTTTAGGAGCGTCACAAATTGAGAAGATTTTTGGCGCCATTTACTTTTTAAAGATGCTTAACATAAGCGCAAGTTAATCTCCAAACATGATTATGAATGTGCCTTCCCTGATGCTAAGTACCTGAGTAAATGTCACTAAGTCATTTGTACATTCCTCATAGGAAACTAGATATTTTAGTGTTGCCGTATTACAGTATCGTCAACAGTCGGACCAATAATGGATATTCTAGAATCGGCTGAGTGTATGGATGGTATGGAAGGACAGATGTGCTGCACGCTTGTAAATTCAGAAACTCGTCTTTTGTTGTAAGCGGTTTGGCAATACACTTGCACGTAGAGCATATTTCATACCAGTTGAGTATTTGAAATATCGGGTAATTTAGTCCTGACATGTGGTTTTATTTTTTGCTATCCAATTCATAAGGTTTTTTGTTGAAGCTGCTTACATATGGTGCAGGGATAGTGTAGTCCATTCAAGCTGTTGTTTTGGACTGTCGGTGTTCACTACTGATCGTGAACGAGTCACAAACTTCCAGAGGACTGTTTTTTTTTTTTCGCAAAACTTTCCGACGTTGACCTGGAGGTATTTAGTTTTTTCATTTCCAAATGGGATTCGCTGCTATAGTAGGGCCTATGGAATCTATTTTTTTATCTCGTTTTGTTCCACTGCAGTCATGTAATACAGCTTTTCCAGCTGTCGTTCATTTAGTCATTATCTACTTGGAAATTGGAGGAGTCTCATTCTACATCTTAGTTTCTTGTATCATAGTTCTACGAACTTGTACGTAAAACTGTAAATAAAGTTTTTCAAAACCAATACGATTGTTTACCTATTTATTTGAATGATTTTGTTGAACAGGAATCCCATCCTTAGATTATGTTTTCTTTCATCCGAGCAACCTTATCAACGTAAACTTACTGCCAAGCTTCCACCGAAACGGAGTCTATATTCACTGTCAGTCGTATAGTAAACGAGATGAAGTTCAGCGGTGGAAGTTCAATTACCATTTTGAGAGTATTAAAGCTAAATTGTGATGTTCGAAGTTCATATTAGAAGTGAAACCGTTCTTTGCACTGCGTTAGGCATTAATTTAATTGAAAGATTTCGTTGACAAATTTCAATTATTCGTTCTGTGATCTTGTCGCCTGCACTTCAGCAGCAGTCTGCCAAGGCGAAACCGCATTCTGGGAAAAAAAGCGAAAATTATTATTATTAGGGTAATGATTTTGGAAAAATATTTTGAGATCGGAAATTCCTTTCACAGATTATACTTTTTTTATTCTTGGACACCTTGCACCGTACAAGGCTTACTTAATTCGATGGAGAAGTACTACTAAAATTTGAAGTTCTACCACTTCGAAGAAATTATGTGCGCGTTGTCGTAGGAACCTACCCCGTTGACGAAGACTTTAGGCAGGCGGCTGGGTTTGCGGTTCTTGATAAGCTCCTGTTGTCTTCCCTGGCTCTGAGATATGAGAGTCGCCGACCTGCTTCCGTTTACGCAGCTTGTCAAGCGGTTCCCTACGGTCTGCACCCCCGACGAGCACTGATATAGAGGTACTTGTTTGAATAATTTATGGATTAAATATTTTCTAGTTCAGTATAAGAATATCATCTTATCAAAGTTAAGGAGCCAAGAACAACATGCACGACAATCTGATACGTGCGTTCAATTTGCGACTGATGGATAATCCAGCGAAAGGTGACCTAACCGATGCCACTTGAACCGAATTTTGATTTTTTTATTCTATCGGAACAGATATTTTTAATTGAAGCAACCGAATTTCATGACAAATATGTACCTTCGTGGCAGCGGGTGCTGGTGGCAGCCCAGAGGTCAGTTGTTTAAGGAAGCAATTCGTGAAAATGAGATGCAGTTCAGGGAATTCATCGTAGGCACAAACAAGATACTTGTGCCCCTCGCAGTCCTCGGGAACAAATCTGCAGTCGCCCTGCAGGGTGCATGGTGCCAAAAAAAAAAAAATCCGTGTATAAATCGACGATGAAGAGATTAGTTAATTCATTAACAATATTGCGGTACTCTCAAAAGCATGTTGAGATAATTAATAATTTCAATGTATTGTCGTGAGTACCAAACGAAGCCTGCTCTTTTATAATTATAATAATTGGCTGATTATATTATTCATGGTGTTGTACAAAACGTCATTAGGTGAACATTAGGGCCAAGTAAATGGTTCGAATTAGTGAGACCTAAATTCAATTTTCTTGCGTGCACCAGCAAATCATTGAAGGTTAATCGACGGTAAATTTTACAGGGTAAAATACAGTTGTGTTCTTAGGAAGTTCATTTTCAAACGTTTAAATCGCATGCAGGGTTTGGGCATTGCAGCATGCCATTGCTCCCCCGGAGCCCGCTGGACGAATCTACAATAGGTACCTCCCACGCAACTGGTGCAGATTCTTTGCTCTAATTACCATCTTCCGAGTATATCTATAGGAGGCATTTATTCCTGCAAATTTTGAAGGTTTCAAATGTTATTTAGCCTATTATTCAGCAATAATATGCGTTTAAAAATTGCTTTTTTTTACAATACTTCTCTTTAACTTCACTTCTTGATAGCGCATTTTCTCATTTGTGGAAAAAATGCTCTATTGTGCTCGCCATGTCCGTCTGTCTGTCTGTCCGTACGTCCGTGACCTCAACTTTTCGTCGACGAGAAAATGCGCTCTCTCACTCACTGCAGTGAGTACTGAGTTATATTTTTTGTCTGTTTGTCAGTCTGCTACAAATCTTTTATTCGGTATTTATTAACACACTTCTACTTATCCTATCGATCTGAAATTTTACACACTTGCGTAAAGTTGGAGACAATGCATGAATCAAATGACTACATAAATAATTTTATTAATATTTTTTTCAATATTAAAAAAGTGAAAAAATTATTTTTTTTCAGCTTACAAATCTTATAATTGGTATTTGATACACTTTTACCTGTCCAGTTGCTATGAAATTTTGCACACTTTTTGTGAAGTTGGAGGCAATGCATGAATCAATTGACAGAATAAATAATTTTGGAAAAATTTTATATATTAAAAAATTGAAAAATTCTTTTTTTTAATATTCGAAAATAAAATTAAAAATTCACTGTACATCTCTAACATTGGAGACACTGGTTTCTTTAGAAGTGTTGTCTATAAAAAGTAACTTTTAATCGTATATTATTAAAACCACACTTCTAAAGACGCGGGCGTCTCCGAGGTTACACATGTACAATGAATTTCTTATTTCATTTTCAAATATTATAAAAATTAATTTTTTAAAATTATTTTTTCATTCTGCCAATTGATTCATGCATTGTCCCCGACTTTACGCAAGTGCGCAAAATTTCGGATTAATTGGACAGGTAGAAGTGTGTTAAATATTGATTATAAGAATTGTAGCAGACAGACAAACAAACAAACAAGAAGAAGTCAAGGTAAAGAGAAGTGTTGTAAGTACATTACAGTTATAAATTATAATATTAATAGTGACAGAAATCGGTTTTAATCAATGCTCCTTTTTGGCATTATCAAAAGTACACTCGGCAAGTGGTCAGATGTAAAGTAAATAACTCTTCTGACCAAATTAAATTATTTCACTGCTAATAAACCAGAGGTTCCAGCACCACGCTAAATATTTTGATGTATTTATCTAATTCCCGAAATTCAGTAGAACAGATACGAGAGGCTTCATTCGAACGTTTGTGAAAACTGAACTGTAGGTTCTCAATTCAAAGTGGAGATGAAAACTACTTTTTCGAATGTTCTGAATCCGACTATAGGACTATATTTATTCAGTCACCATCCAAATGAATTGCCATCACATAATGGTAAATTCATGCATAAGTGTTCAATTTTCGAAAGTTGGCCTGCATTGTTGAGTTTGTAATCGCGAATAATATTTATTATCCAATAATTAATCGGCCAATGAGATATGGCTCAGATCGATCCAGTGCTAATGATTCTTCGAGCATGACACGAATGGCTCACGACTATCTTTTGTATATACGTTCATGTGAATGACTTTACAGTGAGGACTATTTTCTTATTGAGGGAGTTTCTTTAAATTTATTTTATTTTTTTAGGGTTTTCAAGGATGATATGAATGTTTATACTCGAGTGGTTACAATGTATTTTATAGTTCGAATCAGACATTTCACTCCATGGCTGGAAATGATAAATTCGTGCTTCAAACTTGCCTTCAAGTGCGCCGTGTACGGGACGAGCTCCAAGTTGAAATGCTGGTCACCCGCAACCAGCGGCAGGAGTTCATCGGATACAAATCTGCTTAGCGTTAAGGAGAGCGATGTGAATACCACGCTCACGTTAACCGTCTGCCAGGGAAACGAAGTAGGAATGCGAGCATTAAGAGATTTTATTAAATTTATTTCAGGTAACTGGTTGGGCACCGATGTATGCTTGCTTATGGCTTTTATTTGTTAGTTTTATTCGCAATATCCCTTCACAGATAGCCCTTCACATAAATTAATTTTTTCCAATTTGTTCGACAAATATACCAATTGGATTCAATGTAAGTGTTACGAACCTTCGGCGCAGCGGTGTCGACTGATGATATGATGCAAACTTTTTTCTTTAAACACGTCATATAGCAGCACTGCTCGCCAGGTGAGCAGTCATTTTGTACATCACAATCATTAACCTGTAAGAAACAAAATTTTCTATATGACCAAACGAGTTTTAAAGAATTTTGTAAATAAAATTTATCTGTCCCAAGTTTTCGACAAAAAATTATAAAGTAACAAGTTTTAGTTTCTATTTCATCATATTAATTTTAATTCAATAAGTACACAGCTAAAATTAAGAGATAAATCTCATAAATTGGAATGAAACTAAATGATCTGATATAAAAAAAAACGGCGATTAATTCTCAGTTTTTGCCGTGTGCTTGTCTTCACCGATGCACGACTATTTCTATGAATACAAATTCATTTTTCCCGATCGTGTGAAATGAATGCTGAAAAACGAAATACTATTTCCACTAGCTCCGAATAAATTCATTGAACATCTCATAACCGTGCAGCTGCAACGTTATTCGAGTATTGGCTACAAGCGGTTCCCTAAGTGTGGCTTCTCGTCATTTGAAGATGGCTTTCCGGTGGCTTGTCAAACAGAATATCATTTCGCTCCTCTCAAAATGCTATCCCGCACCCGTTGAAATGTTAGAATGTTTTTCTCTCACCAGTGAACTTTATTTTGCACATCATGGAATGCTATCTCACACCTCATACGTTGTTATCTTTCATTGTTTAGGTTGTTATCATCATTGTTATTGTTTTCTTGCTCGGGGAACTAAATAACCTTGTTGGAAATGACGTCTGTGCAGCCTGTGGTCTGGATGGGGCAACCAGCATCCGTACCTGCGAACATGAGATAGGCTTCAACTCTTCTACATCCATGAAACTATAAGCATTTTAATCCTCATTTATTAGGTTAATTAGAACTTTTAATTCAAGCATGAGTGAATCACGTGTATAACTATGTGTAAACTCATTCTTCTAAGTCTTAACATTATTACCATTTACGGTATTAACGCTACTAGAGCTAAATAGTCGATCGTATACGTGGAGATAAAACTGAACAGAATATTATTTGGCAACTGAACGATTTCAAGTGAATGCTTTTACAGTAAAGGTAAATCACAATGAAATTTTATGTTAGTAACAAGAAATTAATCAAATAAATGCATGCATAAATAGTATGGATAAAGTCTAGTTTAAATTTGAATTGTATCTGAAAAGTAAATAATTACTACACAAAAAATTTTAAGTTATTCTTTAGATGGATTCCAGTCGATACGCATATAAAAACCTTGATTATGCGACTTATATTTCTACCTATTTTTATTTTATTTTTCAAAATGAGAAAATCCTGAATTTTCCGCACCTTGGTCGTCACAACACTCAGTCTTGGATCCTGGACACAGCCGCCGGCATCTGTGAAGAAAAATTCGCTGGAATAATATTTTATTAGAGAAAAAAGAACCGCAAGTTCAAGGGACTTGGGATAAATAATTAATAATATACCGCATAACTGGTCGGCATCAAAATGAGGAACTTGAATCATTTTAAAATCGTGTAAATCATTAATTTTGGGTGCTTAAATTTAGAAATTTTCATTTTTAATTTTTTTAATTTATAATTAGCTTTATAATTTCATGAAATGAAAAATAAAAACCTCAACCCTACTTGCGCGTGATAGGGGCAGTGCTGAAAATGAGCTCGCAAATGCCTTGGTAACTCTTCTTTTTAAAGATGAATTTCTTCAAAATCTAAAGTTAATGGCCTCTATAGTAAGCTTAGAAAAGTTTTAGTAAACTTCCCTTTGTGCTCAGCCATTATATTGATATAATTCAAACGTATATACTAAATAAAAAACTTCATGAACAGAAATCCTCTTGAACGTATCTCAATGGCGGATGATATAAATCTTTACCTCGTCGGCTGCGTGCCGTCAGTAACCGACGAGCCCCCCGTGGAGTGAGAACCTCCAGCGCCAGGCAGGTTACCCGCGTCCCCCCCTCCATGGATAAAGGGTTCGCCAAGGTCTGGTCGATTTATTGATGGGTAGCAAAGCTTGGGTCCCGACACAGGAGGGCACGACGAAGAGCAACATTTCTCGTGGGTGTAGCAGTCGATGTCAGCGGTGCAACGTCTCGCCTATAAAAAATACTGAAAATTGTTAACGGATAGCAAAAAATAAAATCAACGGATGCAGTTGGATTAAGTCGGCTAGTTTTCAGAGTGTAATATTTGATTAATTGTTAGTTAAATTGAGCCTCGTTTTATGGACTACTTACCACAGCAGCTTGTGAAGAGCATGAAATGTTCGGGCATTCCCCCAAATGTTCTGTAAGAAGTGAAGCAACGTCTCTTTAGTTACAATAAATAAGTATTAGTTTATTATTTAAAACGCTAATTGATGGCTTTCGGTTTGATCTGTGACGTTAACAAAGAAGATATATGGTAGTTATAATAATTTCAACGTATGCGGTATATCCAGAATATTCTTCCATCATGAGTGTACCAATCTCCAGACCACTGTCGCAAACGTCCTAAAGATTATAATGAGCAGGCTTGCTGTTCACTACAAAAGTCTAACCTTGAATTTAAAAATCCAAAATTAATAACCATTAGAGATAATTTTCGATGACAGCACTCAATTTTTCTGTGCACTCTGCACTTTATGATCTCACCAAAAGGCCGGATGACCGTCAACGAGCAGGACTTGGCAGCTGAACAAGGGTCCAAGCAGCACTTCTGAGCTCCAGTACAGTCGTAGTCTTCAGTGCAGTCGGAAACCTCGTGCGAAATGAAATAAATGCATTAACCCTTCAAAGTATTTTGTTTTTAAATCAAACTTTGATTTTAAATTAAACAATTAATTCTCCAGTTACACATGATAAATTCGCTTCAGAAATATAGTTCCCCGGTGTTTAATCAGTCACATTGAAGCCTAGATTTGTCTGTTTCCACTAAAAAAAGTTAATTTGAATGAATTATCAATATAATAAATTTAATTTATTTTTAATTGCATAAATTTAAATAAAGTGACAGTGGTCAATTACCTGCAGTGTTGTACTGGAGGAGGGAGGACACAGCGCAACTGCAGGGCACAAGCCTGGCTTCACAGCTGAGTTATACAAGGACTTTAATTAGATTTATTATTTATTAAAATAACATCGTTAAATACTTTGATACGTTTTTCCATTGAATATTGATACTTAATATGATTAATATGATTATAATTGATACTTAATATGATAATATGATTGAAAATTGAAATAGAACAAACAAAATTTAAAAATGTAAGTTAAGAAGCAAAAACGCCAGTTAGTTAATTATTATATGAAAAAATAGCCAATACTAAGTACTGCTTTGCAAACTCATTCGCAGTTTTGCAACACATATATATGGTAATTTTTCTCACCTCCGTCGCAACATTCCTTTGAACCCTGACAATAGCGTCGACATCTATAGGAGAAAAAACTATTAGAAATTTCATCTTCAAAATAAAGTTCAAAATGTCTTCTGTAAATTTCACGACTTGAGATGAAGTTTCAAAAATTATCTTTAATTAATATGATCAACATTACACATTACATGGAACATTATAATATAAATGGGGCCTTCTCAAGATTGTTGTCAAACCATAGCGGCAGATTGTATATATTTAGTCAGCATCTGTATGTATTATACACTCAGTTTGACAATGTTTAAACTATCACGTAGCTGACTAAACACTAATGTAAGGCTATTCACACGTTTTAGAGAAAAACTGAATTTTACATTTTAGAGAAAATTATATAGTGAAATAGTTATGAAAAAAATATTAAAAAGTGACAAGAAATAGCCCCCGGTGCAAGGGCTGAACGTGCCCGCAAATCAAATGATAGATTGATTATTGCCTAATCATCAAATTATGATTCTTTTCATTCAAAATCTATTACCATATAATCCATTTATAAATTAAAACCGATGCACCGGCTGAGACGTGTCAGTAAGTCAACTACACATTGCATTCAAATTATCAAATTGTAAATGTAGAGCGAATTTAATGAATTAAAAATCTATTGCCTAATTATCAAATTACAAATTCATTGCTAAATCATAAATAAATTATCACCGTTGCACGGGCAGAGACGTGCCCGTACAGACTGTAGCCTGCAGGCAATGGTCTTCACAACACTTTGAGTCAAGCGCGCAGTCGACGTCATCCGCACATGCCTGTGACAACATCTATTATTGCTGGAAAAATGTCCATCTGATGTGTTCAAATCTTTATTCATTAATGTATTTCAATAAAAGCAAAAGCGGTTTTGTTCTCAGCGTTTCCCTGGTTATGAGCCCCATTGTTAATTCAATATTCAAGAAAATCGTGTCGATATGCAGACTCCGTTGTAATACGTACACCTACCGATGGTAAGCGTGATATAATGGTTATGTTTCAATTGTGCTTATGCTTACACAGCCACCAATCTTTTATCGTAATTCTCTCTCTCTCTCTAAATTGAACTTTAGTCGCAAATCTGGGTTAAAGTAATACTTATTATCAGTGCAACTCACCCTGGCACTAGCTGAGGTGGAGCACCATTTTCCGTTAGGGGCGGATGGACAATCGCCGCCATGTTCTGCGTCACAGAACATGAGTGAATGTACAATAATCTTAATGACATATTCATTTTATTCAATGCAGTATTAGTAGGAAATTGGAGCTATTCAGCAACGAATTTGAACTTGTCACCATGAAAAATAATTACAAGCAAAAGATTCTATATGGAAGTTTAGGCATAAAATTTTATGCATACCAGCATCCTTTCCTTTGAATGCTATTTATTGAATATTATTAAAAAATTTCCATCGCACGAATTGCTCGTCTGAAGGTCTCCCCAAGAACCAACCGTGAGGCTCGCTCGCACTGCGGCGGCAAAGGTGCTTCTGAAGGCACGGATCCCAGCAGCACTTCTCGCCAGCGCCGCACTCAAAGTCTGATCGCTCGGCACATTCCTGCTTGTTGACGGGTATGATTTCAGTATATATTTATATATAAATATATATTAAGACACGAAATGACTCTTTTCTAAATTAACTCAAATGACGCATACTTTTCCCTTCGGCTTTACTATGCTTGACTTAAAAGATTCAGGGTCTTTGGAAACCGATGGAATTGCTCACGAATGAAAAGACTGTTTCAATAATGTTCATCATGATGGTCGCAATAAAATTTCCTTGTCCAATGCACACGATGATTGAAGCTTCGAGAGTTTGATGAAAGTTAATGAATCTTTATCTTGATCTGTCGATTTCACAGCTTTGGAAATAATACGACACCTTATGCTGAAGTTGGAGCAAACTTGAAGTGGATTCTGGACAGAAGTTTGTGTTTGGACAGTAGCCCGGCTTCTCCACTGAAATAAACAGGTTTTATTGTACGCTTTTTCATGTTAACTTCAGTAAAGTGTATCAGAGGTTCCTTCAGGAAATGATCATAACCTGCTCATAAGTCAATCATTTCTAATGCCACATTTTTCACGCATAAATATAAGGTCCCGAGAGAACTCTTAGAAATATTTCATGGATATAAAATTACATTTGAAACACGAGATCGGTAGAAAACCCTTATTCTGTGGCGAGTAATGTCTTTTTATTAAAGAAAGTTTGTAAAATATACATTCAAGAAACAAGAATCACTATGAAATACAAATGGTTGACGATGTCGTTAGAAAATGTAATGAGAAAATCATTAGAGAATTTTATGATCTACAATACTTACCAAAATATGGACCGATTAAGTTAGATCAAGTTGTCAGCGTAAAATTTTTCATAAACCCTGTTTGCTCATGCAGATGTTCTGATCTTTAATTTTTTTCAGTTTATCTTTTTGATGTTGTTAATTTACTCAATGATAATTTTTTTTATTTCTGGTAACACATCAGTCAAGTTACTGTGCAATTTCCTTCAAAAGGCTGAGTAGATTCAATTGATCCAATTGATTGAATTTCCTTTAAATTCGAAATTTTATTGAAAAAAATTTCTCGTGAAAGTTCCTTATATATTAAGAGCACTAAATAAGGAAACAACAACTACTTGGGTTATTATTTGTGTTGACAACACAAGTCAACAGTATGAATTAAGGTGATGGCTGCATGTGCTGATTTTGCATTTACTCGCGCCAATGTGAGTGGTATTAGTAATGAAAATCAGTAATGAAAACGCCCAGTAATTACCATGGGTTTAAATAACCCGAGTAGAATTTCCAGCACAATAATTGTGTTGATATTAATGCATAATTTCATCGTTTCGACTTTTATCCTATGTTTGTTTATTGACTTACGGCCGTCACAGCACTCCCGGGTTCCTGGACAGAAGAAATAACACCTGGAACAAAATATGATGGTCAAGAATAGTACATTTTCATTTACAACCCATGACGCAGAATGATCATTACCCAACATGATATAACTGATGTTGGCCAACGGGGTCTCAGAAAATTTTGTGTCGCAACTTAATAAAAATCGATATAAATCCGCTTTCTAGATCGAGAAAGGATTTGTCAAGCAAATGTCTTCAGCCCAACAAGAAACACGGGAAAAGAATATGTGCTATACTAATTGTGAACCAAAACGAAAATTGGAAGTATGTTAGTTCCCAGCTGGTTATGATTATTCGTTGATAGTTGCTAGCTAGTAACGAAAGTTCGTTAGGCAAATAACCCCATCGAACTATCTTTGAGAAATATCAAATTTAATTTTGCGGCTGAATAATTTTGAACAATAGATAAGTGATTTATCGTTACATGGCAGATGCAATTTTTTAGCCTTTAATCAGCGTATTCTTACGAGTATTTCTAGAAGAACCTACATTGTTTGCTTATTTGTTTGATTGATCGGACTTAGCTTTTGAACTTGGAATTAAAACAAGTTGTCACAATGCGAAAACCCAAACGTAGATTTTATGCATTTAGCGCCATCCGAGTGTTTGTGTGCACTCATAGCATTTAGTGGGTATTAGAGGGGCTAATTTTTATAACGGGAATAAGACGATTTACAAAACTCACGTGTGGGATGGAGGTGTGCTAATTATTTGGGTTTCGTTCCTCGGTTGCGCTCGCTTGCACAACCTGCTTCGCTGGCAAGGATCTAAGCAACACTTCTCGTCCAGTCTGCAGTCTCTGTCATCTTGACACACCTGAGCTCGGAATGGGTAAAAAACCCTGTTCATTTCTTAAATTGGACTTGCATTAAAGATAGTGCAGTTCATATGTGTGGTTACGAATTTATTAATAGTTGTGCAATGGAGAAATCATTCCTTTGAACGGACATTGAAATGCTATTGCTAGTGAAAAATGCAGAAGCAAACCAACGGCAAAGGTTTGCATGCAATAACTTTGATTTGAGCTTCTGTCGCACGAATGCAAATCAAAATCTCAATTAAGTTAGTGAAAAAGAACGTAAATCATATGTCGAACTTTCCACCTGCAGCCTCACTGATACTGAACATGAGACTAAGAAATACAAAAAAATCACAGAAGTCTTACTGATGAGTCAGCATCTCTGCTGCAGAAGTCAGAAGGGCAGGCGCCAGGGTGATCTGTTGAATGATGAATACGATGACTTATTACACATACCAATTCAAACAAAGCAACAAATGAATTACAAAGTTTGAGCATAATTCACTTGCTAGCGAATTTATTGATGGATATGCAGACGCCACGTATGAGTTATGGTACAAGCCAAAAATGATAATTATGTTTCATGGCACTGCTTACTCGTCGCGTTTATGTACATTACCCGCCAGTTCCAATCGCTCTTGAGTCATGAGTGACAGGAGTGATGAGTGGCAAAGTCATCAAAGAATTTATGTAGGCAATTACAAAATTGAATGTATACAAATTTGAAAAATAGGAATACTGAACATTGAAAATATCGAGTTTCCAAAAATGTATCTTTGAGAACCACAGCGCTATATGCTGCCGTTTCGAAAATGCGCATGGTGAGTTAAAATTTTTTACTAATTATGTGAGGTTACATAAGATGTCTAAAAAACCCACCACTTAGACTGATTGGTAATTGTGATGGGTAATTATCAAAGTTCAAGGCGAACTCGCCTCCAACTAACATTCATCACAACTTATCAGTATTCTTCCACACGAATGAATACAAATTTTATGAATATAAACTAGCTGGTAGTAGGATTCTAAGCAGCTGGTATTTGGTAGCACTAAGGGTAGTAGGTAGTAGGATTACTAGGTGGTAGTAGGATTACCAGGTGGTAGTAGGATAACTAGGTGGTAGTAGGATTACTAGGTACGGTAGTATGATTACTCAGTAGGATAACTAGGTGGTAGTAGGATTACCAGGTGGAAGTAGGATTACTAGGGGGTAGTAGGACTACCAGGTGGTAGTATGATTACTAGGTGGTAGTAGGATAACTAGGTGGTAGTAGGATTACTAGGTGGTAGTATGATTACCAGGTGGAAGTAGGATTACTAGGTGGTAGTAGGACTACCAGGTGGTAGTATGATTACTAAGTGGTAGTAGGATTACCAGGTGGTAGTACGATTACTAGGTGGTAGTAGGATTACCAGGTGGTAGTAGGATTACTAGGTGGTAGTAGGATTACCAGGTGGTAGTAGGATTACTAGGTGGTAGTAGTATTACTAGGTGGTAGTAGGATTACCAGGTGGTAGTATGATTACAAGGTGGTAGTAGGATTACTAGGTGGTAGTATGATTACAAGGTCAAGGTGGTAGTATGATTACTAGGTGGTAGTAGGATTACCAGGTGGTAGTAGGATTACTAGGTGGTAGTAGGATTACTAGGTGGTAGTAGGATTACTAGGTGGTAGTATGATTACTAGGTCAAGGTGGTAGTAGGATAACTAGGTGGTAGTATTATGTAGGATTATGAGCTCGTGCTTTCACTCAAGGAATGAAGAGATACTTCTCATTTCTACTGACGTCCAGGAATGTTAATTTTTGGTTCGATGTAATGTCCATTTTTGGACCGGTATATTGAATGGTCATTTCCACCTATTGATCTCCAAGAAGAGAGTTTATTATAAGGGGAAATTAAAGCTAGAAACATTTTGAATTTTTTCTTTTTGATTACAGTCGTCTGTGTTAAAATTTGAATTCAGACTGAATAACGAATAGTTTTATATCAGATGTCAAAAAAGTCTTGCTCAAGAATTGTATATTGACAATGAGCCGCCATCGAGTCACAGGCAAAACAAATCTTATGAAAATGCCATTAGAAGAACGAATCCATCAGCATTTCAATTTAAATATTGCTGAGTACAGAATTAACTGAGAGTACAATAGTACTTCCGTATTTCGAATACGGTAATTTAAGATATAATTAATTTAAATTACGTTGATTTTTACCGATGACGTTGTTGACTGCTGGAGTGCAGTAGAACTCCCTGCGACACTCGCTCCAGCAGCACTTCTCTGTTCCATTGCATGCGTGGTCCTCCTTGGGACATTTCTGTAGAAATGTTTTGAATTATGGTAGAAATTATATAAATTACGGTAAAATGATATCATTTACGGTAGAATTATTTAAATTACGGTAGAAACGATATAAATTACGGTAAAAAGATATCATTTACGGTAGAAATGATATAAATTACGGCAGAAATAACTTAAATTACGGTAGAAATGATATAAATTCTGACAGAAATAAAAAAATTACGGTAGAAATGATCAAAATTTGTGAATAGAGAAATTATTATCACCTTTTACAGCCGCGAGGTTTGTTGAACTTGTATCTGTCTCTAAGTAATAAATTTCGGTACTGAAAGTCGTAAAATTGAGGCCTTTCCTATAAACTTTCTGCCTTAGAAAGCCAAAATATAAACTTGACATTTTAACCAGAAGCAACGATTTATTTTCACTGATGTATCCGGGGAGATTATGTAGGAATAGTGCATAATTCGAGATGGTTGCATTACTTTGAGGCCACGAGATCACTGTCAAGCAACTAGTAAAAGTCATAGAGATAAAATAGTCAATAATTTTTTAGACCATTCTACTCATACACGGCCTATTTTCCATTGTATGAATCCGGTCTAGATTTCTAATATTCTTAAACCAAAGAATATAACAGAGAAAGCTTACAACATTATGTTTTTGTCTATTATATATCATGATCAATAACTTCAAATGCAAAAGGAAGAAAAAAGTTTCTGGACCCACCATTAGCGACGGCACGTAGCCCAAACACTTGTTGCTGTAGGGGCAGTAGCCTGGCTTTGATACTGGAATGCGAAACAAGTTGTCATTAATAAATGAATATCAGAACTTCTCCAAGCATAGTGCAGTACGTTGATTTCAAGAAGTTCACGTCATTTGGAATTTATTATTTTTCACTACTTTGAATAAAAATATTCAAATTGCTTTAGTATCTTATCAACAGCATCAGAACATGACAGTCGGATACGTTTCCAGATAGATACAAATCTACTTGAGCCTGGGAGTAGAAAAAATTTTTACCTCATTGAATCAAAGTTGATTCAAGAGAATGTAAAGTGCATATATGACTCAAAGTTTGATTAGATTGTTGGGGCATACCACATTAGTTGCTACAATCTCACAAAGCAATTGAACACACTATTTTTTTAGAACTTTAAAGAATATTTTAACAAAATATAACTCACCTCCATCGCAGCAAATTTCGCTGTCGGGACACAGAAATTGGCACCTGCGCAGCACCAAAGGAAAAATTGTGTACTATAACCTAGGGTTTGAATCGCATTCAGTGATGAAAGTATCATCATTTGCAAGGTATTATTTGTGCGATATAAGTTCATTCCATTGTATAGGAAGTTACCAAGTAACTCCAGACGTTCTACATGCTAGGTTCTCCGAAATAGATTCGAATTGAATCTATGAATGATTGTCTTTAACTTAGGACACTCCAAGGAAATTCGAAGAAGCAGATTTAGTAAAAATACTGCTATGAATTAGAGTGAATAGTGTCTAAGATGAAATCCTAGGGGTCTTTGACGGTTTCGAAAGATTTTCGTTTTGCGAGTTTCAATTCCGAGGCTGAACAATAATAATTATTACAACGATTAACTCATGCAATTTAGCATTTAGGCTACCTACAAATACTGATTATTAGCTGAAGAAAATTAAAATAGTTATGACAATGAAAGTATACGGTTGCGAGAAACAGTTTATTGCATTCAAGGCATTGCAGTTCACGCAAAACATTATGAGTTTGTAACGTTGGGGAGCTACGTACGCAAGTAACATTTTAATACATGTACCAGGCTAACTAATGAAACAAAATTAAGAGCTACACTAAGTCTCTAAGGGTTAATGCAGTTGTAAAATTATCCATTCAAAATTAGATTACAATGCAAAGAAGATTAAATCAATGTACTGTACGTACCGTAACTCTAATTACAACAGAAAGGTTTCAAGTATCCAACACATGCCAAATTATCAAATGCATTACCCAAATGTACGCGTATAACCGCTGGATTATGGTAATAATTTTTCCCAAGAGGCTTACGAAAAGAAGTTTTGTGATACTGACGTGCCGTAATACATGCAGCCACTGTATGGTAGTTTCATTTATCTCATTAACTTTGAATTTATTGCTGAGGCAAAGAAAATAAGTATCAATTGGTTTTATTACAGAGAGTAGGAACATATTTCTGAAGGAAAAATTTTCTTAACTTATACTAATATTATTCTGTTTATCAGTAAACAAGCGCAACATGGGTGTTCGAAACCCAGAAATCGATATAACATAAATGGTGTTAGTAAGACAGAAAATCTGAACAAATACTCCAATTACAAAACTGCACTATAAATTAAATATTATCGAACCAACTCGAAGAGAAAAGGAGCGTATAAAACATGTCTACGCCACGTCCATCTGAATCCTGATGCTAAAAGATTTTCCAACGAAAAAAAAAATGTGGCAGATAGTACTTGCAATATTAGTGGAAATATTTTTGTGTTTATATTTCCACGTCAAGTGGAAACATAACCTCGCTAATATCTTTTACAAAATCCAGAAACAGAGCTATTCACGAGTGATTTAAATTGTGCGGTTTCTGACATGAAATTTACATGCTTTTTGACTCCTTACTGACGTCCATAGACAAGTTTTGACGCTATAAAATATAGTCATTAATATAAGATGATCGTAAAGAGGAAACAAAACTTTGTGAATGTCTTTCATGAGAAAAAGGATAGATATCACGTGGCGTGAAATTTTCTACTTCAGATGCAACAACGTCATTTTCGCCCTGGAAGTGGAAAATTTTTGACAGAAATTAGGGGTGTGTTCGACCAGTCATAGCAGGTCGGTAGTTGTAAAGTTGAGGCAGGTAAGGCGATGGTACGTACCGGTCAGGAGAAGTAGAGGCCTCGGGTGATACATTCTGCGACGTGGATGGCTTGTAGCCTTGGGATGATGGCGGGTAAGGTTTAGGTCGTTGTGCGAGGTTTGGAGCTGGGAGAGATTTGTACGCGCCCGGTGGTAGTTGAGGGTTCAATACGGGCGGTCCAGAGTTTGCTAAGGCTGGTCCTGGGTTTGCTAAGACTGGTCCCGGGTTCACTAAAGTTGGTCCTGGATTTGCTAAGACTGGTCCTGGGTTTGCTAAATCTGGTCCTGGGTTTACTAAGACTGGTCCTGGGTTTACTAAGGTTTGTCCTGGGTTTGCTAAGGCTGGTCCGGGGTTTGCTAAGGCTGGTCCGGGGTTTGCGAAGGCTGGTCCGGGGTTTGCGAAGGCTTGTCCTGGGTTTGCTAAGGCTTGTCCTGGACTTCCCGGATATACGTAGGGATTTCTCAAATGGGAGGAAGATGACTGAGTGTATATAACGGACGATTGAGGAGGAGAAGAGGCTGCGCCCATGTATCGCGACTGACTGATCCTTGTGCACGTAGTTAGCTGGCATTCTTTAAATCCATTTAGATTCATACAACAGCGCTCCTCCAGGAAACAGTCGGCGTCAGTGTGGCAAATGTACTGAAAAAAAGGTGTCCACAAATTATAAGTAACTGTAAGTTATAAGTAACTTGGCGAAAAAATACTAGTAATTGGAAAATTTATAAAAAATTTTAAAATCTATTTAAGCTTTATTTACGACGATTTCACGATTGACGACGAAATTACGATTGTAGTTGAAAACGAAAGTTTGAAATGATGAAATTTACTGACCTTGCGTGCCGTACTGGGGTCGCATGGTGTAGCCGGGCAGGAGCCAGGGTGAGCTAAATACAATCCAACAAACTTATTATTGTTAAATTAATAAAATTATAAAATTATTTTTCCTAACGAATTGATTAGGTTTAGTCTTAGACAGAGACATGGTAGGTGTACCATGCACATTTTTTGTTGATGAGACTCATGTTGCTCAGAACCAAGAAGGCAATAAGTAAATGAGGTGACGAATTTTCAGCACTACATATGCAATGTTTCAACAATCAGTTATCAAGCCATTATAATATCGAAACCACGCACGAATGTAAGATATTATTTCATGATTTAAAAGAATACACCATGAATAGCATCCCCTTACAGGGCTCATTGGATTTTTAAGTCGGAAATTAATTACGTGATTAATACAGGAAAACAATTTCTCTAATCTTCGATACATGGGACAGCGCTCTTTACTTTTTATGGCAACAATCGTATTAATTTTTGAAAGATGCTTACATTAATATAAACTACTAGGTACGCGATCCAACAGTGGATAAAACTTGAAGCAGTGGATATTATGATAATTTGCTTACCATCTGCTTCAGAAGCAGGCGCTTGACAGATGTTTCTATCCAAGCAGTTGTCGTGACAGCATTTCATCGACCCGCTGCACTCGTTGTCTTCGTTGCACAGCTGTCAACAAATAAGAAAAAAAACGCATATCAATTAAAAATATTCTTATCTGGGATGATCAGTTTTTTTTGTTAACAAATGTACATCGATACATAAGAGAGTCGATAATATTTTATGTATTTGTATAATATGGTCCAAAATAGGTGATCATCTCAAACAATATTTTCAGTCAATAAAAAAACTTTTTGTTACGCAAAAATTTTATGACAGGCAACGTACGCGGAACGGAGCTGTGGACGCCGCTGAGCAACGAGACTTAGAAGGGCAGAAGCCATTTTTCTGCACTGAAACCACAATTATATATCAGTATGGAACCAAAAGAATCGATGAATCATAAAATAATATATAACACTCTTAACACATGAAGAGGATTTAAAATAATCCTCAGCAAACGCTGTATTTATTCAAAGTGCAGTTCGTGCAGTAGAAATGCGTTTGTCAAATTGCATATGCAACTGTGGCGTTCAGGATAACGAAGCACATACAAAAAAATATATATAAATATCATTTAAAAGATAACACATATTAGTATTTACTTTTCTCATTAAATTTTCTTATAATGGTGATTTTACTAATATTGTTTATAATGTTTTAATCTGTTATAGTTTGTGGTACATTCTTTTGGTCCCTCGCCCTTCAATTTAATCTGTGGCGTATCTCATTTTTGTAGGGAACGTAAATAGGCTACGTAATCAATACAAATTAGCCAGAATATGAATTTATTGATCCAATAAATTTAGTAATTTATTGAATTTAGTAATTTATTGAAGCGAAGTTTACGTACTGCTGTCACAACAGGTCCTTTTGTCTGGGCACAGAATACGGCATCTGCGTTAAAATGATAAAAAATTTAATGGGATTTATTTTAGGCTGTTAAACCGTACATTACAGAATAATTATTATCATTGAACAAAATAATTCCATAAATTTGATCGTTGTCACCTTGCATATTGGAAATAAAAACAGTTTAAATAAAAAAATTTCTGGTCAAAAATATTTTCAATGATTTCTCACCGTAATTGACGGAAAATGTTATACCGACGTGAGAAGATCCTGTAGCTGAAACTATTAAAGAGATCGACTCGTAACTATATATTTGGAAGTCTGAGAGTTTCCTAATTAAACAATGCTATTACTGCAAGCTTTGACTCACGTGCTACTTGAATTCCCAGAAGGGTCGACACAGCCATAATTGTTGGAACAATCCTTACAGCACTTGTGGTGAAGCAAGCAGTCTGAGTCCTTCTCGCACTGCAACAAATTTCAAACAATGCAGCTATAACTCTAGGATTGGTAAGTTATCCCACTTTTCGTATCGTGAGCAGTCTTAAATGAAATATGGCTTACATGTTAATATATTATGTACAAAAAATTATGTTCATAGAAAAAGAACAATATGAAAAAATCAGGAATAATCATCAAATATCATATATGTTAAGCAAAATATATACATGTTTAAGCAAATTAGAAGAACCTTTGACTTTACAGTCAAGTGTATCCAAACTGACTTATCGACTTGGATAATAGTATTACGACACAAGCATTCTCAATAACAATTATAATAAAAATGTATGGATAAATTAATTAATATTTTAGAAAATCATTGTAATATATTTGTATACAGCAAAAGAACGCCTTCAAAGAAAATTGTTTCTAGAAAAAAGACAATATGAAAAAAATTAAGGAATAATCATTTAAATATCATTTTGTTACGAATCACATCAAATTCACAGCATTCAAAATTCATATTTTGCGCTGAATAAAATGAATAGAGGCGATAAAATGCAGCGTAAGTGCGTTTTATTGCATTTTAAGCTATGAGGTACAGTAAGTAATACAATTCCAAGGACATCATCGAGCGCCGTGGCATTTCATAGTATAGCGAGTAAGCCTAAACAACATCTGATTTCTGACAAACATCTGCTCGGCATCCATGCATCCCTTATTAATGATTAATGATGATTTTTGGCCCATATATCGGAGGATTCACTAAAGTGAAGGACGTCTCATGTCAGGAGAACCATCAACATAAATGCTCTCCTCGAACCAAATTGTCAAAATATCAGAAAAAGAGGTCTGTATTAATATGTATTGTCGCATATAAGCCTGATTTCTAGATTTTCTGTAGTCCACAGTTATTAGGCGAGGCATGCTTCTTGTTTTGACTTGTTCCATTTACATAAAATCAAATGTATTGATATTCTTAACTTATAGTTCTGTGGTAATCCTATACTCATGTTCTTTACTCCACCGTAACATGTCTCAAATGAAAAGCTAATAATAATAATATAGTATTAATAGTAATAGTAATAATAATAATAACAATAATAATAATAATTATAATAATAATAATGAATAAAAAAATAAGTAGGGTAACGTGGGGCAGCGCGCCCCCCACTTTTTTAAACTAAATTTTTGATGAAGTTTTAATTGATACGAGGTGGTTCTTTGTTTTGTTTAAAGGTTTTATTCGCAAAGAACTTAATAACGCAAACACTTAGCAAAACGTAAATCCGTGCACTTCATCCCAGTGAAACTGTCGACCGGCGGTAGAGAACACGGACCAATATCTGCCATACTTAGCGAGAAACCCGCTATGGGCCCGTGACCCGCAGTGGGCTCGCTGCCCCATGTTACCCTATAATAATAATGATAATATCAATAACAACAATAACAATATGAAATATTCATCGTCAAGATGCTTGAGAGCAGTTTTTTTCGATGCCAAACAATAGGTACCGGCGACACTAGGAGTTGGTCTGAGATAGCATCGATTAAAGTCAAAATGTTCTCCCACGAAGATATGGAGTCGCTACAAACGCGCTTCAGAATCACCGTAGCGTGAATCTGCTTCGTTGATTATATTCACCTGGTTCAGTTTTCCGATGGGTGGAGCTAGACCAGTACATCGCAGGGTCGGACAAGTGCCAACGTGATCTGTTACACGAAAAAAAATAAAATTTTCCAATATTGTTAATGAAAATATTGCAGTTACTGTGAGTTAGGGGTGGGTGAGTTGCTCGCTAACAATCAGGGTTAGCTAGCAAGAAAGCTGATTTGCGCTACGTATGTTGATTCGTGTACCTTGGAGCATTGTTTCATTTAGCTGTAAATAGCTTTCCAAATCTTCAAAATATCATAAACCCGTTAATCATGACGCAATTTGCTTGATTTTGATGATGTTTTTAAAACTCTAATTACTTATGATTTAATGTACTATTTATTCTGCCAAAATTAAATACATAATGACTTCTTGAACAAGGAGGCGTAAATGATTATTTCTTCAATATTAGCTTCACGCATTTAACCTTGAGTTCAATGGCCAGTAGCTCCAGCAAGATTGGAACTCGACGCAATTATACGAAAGATAACCGCATTTCATTAAAGAAATTCAAGGAGAAAAGTATGCGATGGGGCTGCAAATTGAAATTCTGGAAATAGGTTATCCACTATAGCAGAATTTATATTAGAATTAATGCATCGTTAATATTAATGAGCTGGACACGATGCGAACCATCAGGTGAGTGGACGATGGCGCTGCACTCGGAGTTTCTGGTGCAGGAATTGGGGCAACATTTCTCGTCATCGCCGCAGTTGTAATCTGAAGTGCACACCTGTTTAAAAGTAACCAAATCATAAAAAATCTTACCGGTAATTTAAACCTAACCGTGAATCGTTATAATAATTTGTTCATAAATGCGTTATTTTAATTTGCTAATGACAAATTTGCTAATTTGCTTCTGAAATTCATTTTACGTATAATGTGGTTCATTGGAGTTATTGTTCATACATTTAGCGAAGAATATTTACTTCAGAACCATAATTAAAAATGGTAAATGCTAAGGAATAATGAAGGTAAAAAGCAATGATTACGTCATATGTTAACAGCAGATTGTTATTAGTAAACCAGGACAAGTCATCGCTAAGATTAGGCATAGAAATATAATAAGTGTATAAAATATCTAAATGAATATCACGTTTTGTTTCCGTAGTATTCATACACAATGAAATTCATCAAATTGAACCGGAATAAACACTTACAATAATGCATTGCGAGATGAAATATGAACATTAATAACACCAGCTTCCTTTGAACAAGAGGTAAGGCAAAATTCAGAGCTGAATGTATGATAACTTACAGGAGAGACCGTAAAAGGCGGCTGGCAGAGCTTCGTCCAAGGACAGTAACCACTTTTGCTTTCTGATGGATGAAAGTATATAATTATTCAAATTAATCTGCAGCTGTAAATTAAAAAATATCATCTCACTGATGTGATTAACTTCATCAATTTTACAACGAAGGAACGTCAGACATCACAAGTCAAAGTAGAAAAAACATAAATAAGCAGAAATGTGAATGGATAGAATGTATAAAAAAAATTTTAAAGACCACGTTTTTCATGTGGACTAAAAAGTAGAAAATAATTTTTCGGCAGCTACTGATCTCTGTTTGTAGTCCACATGAAATACGTGGTCTTTAAAAATTTTGTTATACATTTTATTTTCTACTTTTTTGTTTTATGTTAGTTTGTATGCTTGTGCTGATCAAATCTTGCAATCGAAATTTCAATTTCCTTTTTATAAAGAATAAGAACAACACAACTTTTCTAATTACTTTTAAATTTAGCTTATGGTTATTTATTTCAACGGTTCAAACAAAAATTTATAAAGTCCATACAGTATAGTCGTTACACTCCACTACCACTACAATTTGATACAGTTGTTTTGATAGCGGAAGCGTATAGTCGTGTCACTCCACTTCGCTACGCTTCGTTACGTGCCACGATGTAATTCGCACTCACGATTTAATTTTTCGAAACTTTTCTTTGTTTACATTCTTTGTGCGTATTTAGGGGCGCACCTTCTCAAATATTATATGTCCGTCACACGTGCGAGAATTAACCGCGTTTGTTAGTTCTGAAAATCGCCGCTTTAGGGTGAATGGCGCTGCAATCGATTAAAGGAAAACAAATTTCCGCTTCGAAAATTATTTTGTTTATAATAGTGATAAATACGCCTGGAAACGTGCAACAAATTATTGATTATTGTATTGTCATCGGGAGCTGAGCTTCCCTAAAAGTTTCAGAGCGCTAGCTAGCGGGAAAGTTGGTGAAATATCGATTGCAAGATTTGATCATCACAAACAGACAGACAGACAGACAGACAGACGGACACGAAAGCGAGCTAAGAAAAACGTGGTAAAAAGAGCAATGAGTGATGAAAAAGAACATCGTACCTCCATCACAGCAGTAGTTGCTCCCAGGACAGTACTTGTTGCACCTGACAGGAAATTTAGTGAATAAGTGCATCTCTAGAAAACTGTCACAGTTCATTTGACTTTCACTCCGGGGTTTATATTCAATGTTGACGTTTTTTGCTCAGAAAGATAGAGAAATATATTGATATCAAACTTCTTAGACACAAAACCTAAAAAAACGCTATAGCTTTCGATTGTTCTATGACCTCTCAGCAGTAGAAACGCCTTCAGTATATAAATTAGGACATTTTAGAAAAGCGGCCAAGGAACATATAAACTGATCCACTGAAGTGAAGTCCAGTAATTATATGTATTGCAAATTATATTTAATTATTATTCATACGCTGCGAAAGTTCTTCTCGAACTATCATTGCGTGGAACTTACGTGGGTGCGGGCGGTGCAGGGTTTTGATCAATGAAGCCGTCATAAGAGTCCATACAGAAGGACCGTCCGGGAGTGCAGCTACTGGCACAGCACCGCTGGAACAGCTGGCACTGTCGGTCACTCGTGCACGGTGTCTGCAAGCGATCGCGCTCAGTGCTTACTCATGAACTTTTGTGGCAAAATGTTTAGACAGGAAAAGTTGTTTTCGTTGATAAATGTTTGGAAGTAACCATTGAACAACAAGCTCAACTGATAATGTTATGCAATACTATTTGATTATTTTTTTATTACGTTGCTAGTATACAAATATTTGTTCACGAATCAATATTCATTATTATTTTCGCGATTCCTGAACAATGAGAAGATATGGCCTTCAGCGTAAGAGAATGAGTGATACATATTGTAAGCGCGCGTCGGCCGCTCCTACTTCAGCGCCAGCCAGACCAACCGAACTTCAACAGTGCAGGGTAATTTTGACGCTTTTTTGATAATGAAGGCACTGCTGGATACTGATGATGCAGACCAAATACAGAAACAAGAACAAAAATTGTAAAGTGAACAGAAGCCAGGGAATGGCGAACACTGAATCTATTGCTGGTAGTAGTGACTAATGAGATTCTGAAACAAAAAAGGACAAACTTAACAAGATGCGGCAACGAGTGGCTTATCCTGAGCTATTCCTAACACCTATAATCACAGACAGTTCATTAAATCACAATACAGCCAAATATATGTAACCCAAAAAAAATTTTTACGCTATTAGTGAAGCGCACGACTGACACAGTGAGAGTGAAGAGAACAGGATGACCCGTGTTAATTGGCTTCTTCTCTAAATGAAAATGCTTATAAAATCAAAAGACAGAGATATTAAATTAAATTAAATCAACTAGAAATTTAATAGAACCAAAAAAATAAATGTTAGAATGGTAAACAAAATAAATGCCTAGGAAATTGCGGTACGAAAACAATGAGGAGTGCACGGCGGCTAATATGGCATGTACATTTTACAGTGAAGGGCGCAAAGTCGACCTCATCTTCCGTATTTTTAGCAGCACTTGCGTTGTTTGAATCAATTACCATTCACGTTATAATCACAGTGATTCAGTGAAATTGAAGAGGTACTTAATTATTCACCAATTCTGCTCGTAGATTCCGATATGGATAAATGAGATGACGAATAAAAAAGACGTTATATAAAGATTTATTTGAAGATTATTAAAACATTTTTATTTTTTAGGTCACCTTGTTGCTCTGCGGTGCGCGGCAGTCCTCGGCTGGACACGTCCCAGGATGATCTGCATAACGACAAAGTTTGCAGTGACTGCGTTAAAAATGTTTAGTGTGATCGTGTAAATGTAAAATGTGATCGTCGCATGAATGACGTTAATGCCAGACTTCTAGATTGATTACAGCCACCATCTTCCTGACATTGTTTTCATTGTGTTTCATATGACATTGTGTTTAATAAGTATTCTAAATGGTATGTTATGCTAACCTCGAGGAAAATAAACTTTCTTCTTTATGTACCTCCATTACTCTTTTATTTTGCCTCCAAACGGCCCCACCCTGTATATTCACTGGCAAATATTTTCGGGAACATGGATACAAACGACTTTTATTAGCATCACGTCATGGGCCGACATACGAAACTTCATCGATCGCGTAATTGAAATGGTTAAATGCTCGAAAATAATCGTCATCAGATACATCAAAATCAACTGCGTTAAATAAGGAGTTCCATTTCTTACCAGTGGGACTGGCAACAGCAGGAAGACAGATTTGCCTTTGTAGACAAAGGTCGAGGCAGCATTTATGGGACGCTTGGCAGTGATCATCCACGGAACAGGGCTTTTTAACACAGAGAAACAGACCAATAATATATTAATATTGATATAAAACTAAAGATAATAATGAACTAGGGCCAAATAGAAGTAACAATGAAGGTTAATTACGTCGGACGGGTATAATTTCAAAACTGAACTGAAATTGCAAGCAAATTGAGAAATTACTGATATATGTAAACAAATTAGTAAAACAACGTGAGCAAAGAATTCCGCATTTTCAACCTCAGATATGGCAAAATAGGTGTTTATGAAAAACGTGAAGTTTCCGTAAACTGGGATATTTAAGGATATTACCGTAAACTGAGATATTAAAGGATATTATCGTAAACTGGGATATTAAAGGATATTACCGTAAACTGGGATATTTAAAGATATTACCGTAAACTGGGATATTTAAAGATATTACCGTAAACTGGGATATTTAAAGATATTACCGTAAACTGGGATATTTAAGGATATTACCGTAAACTGAGATATTTAAGGATATTACCGTAAACGGAAATATTTAAATATATTACCGTAAACTGAGATATTTAAAGATATTACCGTAAACTGAGATATTTAGGGATATTACCGTAAACTGAGATATTTAAAGATATTACCGTAAACTGGGATATTTAAGGATATTACCGTAAACTGAGATATTTAAATATATTACCGTAAACTGAGATATTTAGGGATATTACCATAAACTGAGATATTTAAGGATATTACCGTAAACGAAAATATTTAAATATATTACGGTAAACTGAAATATTTAATGGTATTACCGTAAACTGAGATAACATAGCCTGCGACTGCTGAGCTGAGTAGCAGAGAGCCATGGCTGGGCATGAGCCACTGCGTGAAACTGAGGCAATATTTCATGAATTTTAGTTTTTATATATAAGAAACCTTAAAAAATGTGCTTACCATCATTTACTTTCTGTTCAGACGAGATTTTAGAATCCCTACTCTCAATTTTCAACAAAATTTACTCACGATCAATAAATTTTACGTCTCGCCGCAAGTATTTAAAAATGATTTGTTTCAAGTTTGTATTTGATTTTTCTTTAGACTGATTACTCAAACTGAAGAGACTGTATACCTATAATTTTCCTTATACAAGTACTTATATCCTCAGTCTGCTTAAAACAAAAGTTAACAAGGAATTTAAAAGCAAAGATAACACCAAGCAAATTCGCCATTTCGAAATTGAAAACGTTTAGGAGTTCAGCTCCATCGTCAGTTCGACAATCTACATAATGAAAACCATCAATATAATTAAAATTCCAAAGTCAGACATTAAAACCTAAAATTGACAAATAAACGTCAATAAACTCAAAACCGAAAACATGTACGAAAAAATCTAGAAAATAAACTCTAGAAAATAAAAGCCTTGCGATTCACTATTTCAAGAGGATATGAACTGTGTGCATTATTGAGACACGGTTTCCGTTTGAGGATATGTTTGTGATTCCAGAATCCTTAAGTCTGAACAGCCAGCGGTGCTGGTAAATAGTTTTAAAATTGGTTCCTTCTTTAAGTATAAGGACTTTTTCCTGCCCAGAAGCCATCAAACCTGGTCTATAAGTATAGTTGTGCACGCTGCGCATCAGCGCATGTTGAAATGACGTCACGAAACTTCTACATCCGGGTTTCTGAACACCGTGGCAGGAGCTATCATTCGAATTTGCTTCTCGGCAAGCCTCCTCATTCTTCCGTGCGCCTTCTTGCTGAACAGTGCGACGTGGCTGTATCGGAGAGTGATTTCAGGATACTCGGTTTCACCTCTGGCTGTTCGGACTTCAGGATTTTGGAATCATTATACATATCTTCAAATTGAAACCGCGTCCCAATAATGCACACAGTTCATATCCTCTTGAAATAGTGAATCGCTAGGCTTTTATTTTCAAGTTTTTTTGTGCTTGTTTTTTATTTTAGGGTTGATTTGTCTTTTATTTGTCAATTTTAGGTTTTAAGGTCTTACTTTGGATTCTAAATTCTAATGAGTGTTTTCATTTTATAAATTGTCAAACTGACGATGGAGCTGAACTCCGAAACGTTTTCAATATCGAAATGGCGAATTTGCTTGGTGTTTTCTTTTCTTTTAAATCCCTTCTCCGTATTGTTGCTTTCCAATTGACTGGAACAATTAATTTAATTTCAGGTAAAAGTATCACATCAGGCATATCAGATTAAAATTGTATGCGAGCGAAGTTACCTATGAATTGCATGCATCTATGCAAAATAATATGAAATTATGAATAGAATTTTTTAAATATTTCAATAACTTCAGCATTTCAATTATCCTAAATGTAACTTCATGCTGAATATACTGAATAATAATAATTTTACTTCACTCTGAATGTACCGAATGATAACATGTTATTAAGCAAGGCTTATGTCTCAAGTTCCTACAGGTCATGGGCCTATTTATTCAGTGCCAACACTTCTATTCTATTCTATTCTACTCACTATTGTCGCAACAGTCAAGCGTGCCCGGGCAGTAGTAATTGCATCTGCAAAAGAAATTCCATTGAAAAAAAGTATCAAATAGTTGAAGACGATTTTGAGTATTATGCGATGATTTCAGAGCCCTTCAAACAATGAATTTTATTTTAAAGTTGTATTAATGAATTAAATAAAGCAATGATCAGGTGCAAATGTGTAGTTGCCGGTGAAGTACGTGTTTTAATCACTTTATATTTCATTACAGATTATATTTCCAGTTGATCGAATAAAAATTTCGTTCAATTCGAAATTAAAAAATCGATAATTCTAAGACGTTGGATCTAAAATACACGACAATAGGGTTATTGTTGTAAAAAACTATTGTTGCACTGCGCTAAAGTTACGATAGGAAATCGTAGAAGAAGCCCAGAATTTGAAGCCCACTTACTTATTGGTTACAGGCGGTGGCGGAATGATTGGTCCAGGACCATAAGGCGGTTGAAAAGGGGCATAGGGATTGAAAGGAGGTAGTACCACGCCTGGGGGTTGCACCAACCCTGGAGGTTGTACCACCTCTGGAGGGTTAATGACGGCCTGCTTGCAGACGTTCATCGACAGGCAACGGTCGGGACAGCATTTAAATCCCCGTGAACACTCTTTGTCCGACTCGCACACCAGCTTCAGAACAAAATGCGTCATTATTTGAACACCAAGGAGGATTAATTTGATTTAAATTAAATAAAAAATTATTGCAGTGATAGGACGGCTTTAGAAGAAGGAACGCATAAATAATTCTATGAAAGAAATGCTAGAGTAAACATCAGAGTAAAGGAATAAGAACATGTCCAATTGCACCATATGAAAGAAAATTATAGATGGACGAACAATGAATTGTGCGTTAGTTGGAGGTAGTAAAGATAACTGTGTGATACGTGCCTACAGAAACAGCGTACAGTGTTTGCGAAAAGTGTTTCAATGTATAATTACTGTTCAATATTGAATATCCACGAATTAATAAATCGAAGTTTCATGACGTAAAAAATTTCCTAAAGAATGAATTGCTGATAAACAGCATTATATCGTTCCACACGTTTATGATGATCGTACAGCAATAATGTAGCTCACACTTACATATGCATATCCTGCAGTTTTATGCTATTACGAATGAAAATGTGATAGAGATGATCGTTTCAATAAGGAAGAAAAAAGTGTGAAATCTTAATTAATAGCTCGTTATCACCACTTAAATTGCACTCACTTTGAACCTGGGATCTGGGCAAGGAGTCTGAGCTGGACACGTCGGAGCGCTGGGCTGGACCTCAGGCGGAGCCACCGCTGAATTGTATCCGTATATTGTCAGCTTTATAATTGTCCGTACATTGTGCACAAACAGAAATATCTAACAGCAGTATATTGTCTACTGTCAGCTTTATAATTGTCCGTACAGTGTGCATAAACAGAAATATCTAACAGCAGTATATTGTCTATTGTCAGCTTTATAATTGTCCGTACAGTGTGCACAAACAGAAATATCTAACAGCAGTATATTGTCTATTGTCAGCTTTATAATTGTCCGTACAGTGTGCATAAACAGAAATATCTAACAATAATTTCTTAATATTGTCTACTGTCAGCTTTATTATTGTCCGTAAATTGTGCACAAACAGAAATATCTAACAATAATTTCCTAATACTGTCTACTGTCAGCTTCATTATTTTGTGTGGGTATTGTGGACGAACAGAAATATACAACAGTAGCATATTTTCAGCAAAATTGTAAATTCGAAAATATTCACCAACCCTATATAGTCAGCTGAATTGTACCTGAACATACATATTCCTGTATGATAGTGAATGATAAATTGTACATGAAAATAAATATTCATCGGCAAAATTATTCTTTCATATTTTGAATTTTTAAAATAAATTTTTCTGACGGAAACAGTGATCAAGGTTCCATCAGCAAGAATTTGTTCACAAAATGCAAGTATGGAATCCTCTTCGTGGAGAACCATATAACCTATTATGATTATCTGTCGTAATAAGAAAATATGCTTAAATGTTTTACATAATTTGATGACGGTCTTTAAGTCTCAATCTCTGCGACATTCAAATGTATTATTATAGCACGAGTTTCGCTTAGTATGATTTATTTTTACATGGTTTAGGTAACATTATGTAATGAAGGTTAAATGACTGACCGGCTGGAGCACAGGAGAAGATGTTCGTCCAGCACGGATCCTGACAACACTTTTCGTTCAGCGAGCATTCGAAGTCAGACCGGCACCACTGCAAAACAACTCCAATCAAAATCGACAAATTTGTAAATATTTAAGAAATTTATTTATTATTCGGTTTTCCCGGATTTCGTTTTCAGAAACCGAAAAAAATGTTCTTATATCATCGGGTCAAGTTTTTGTTGCAAAACACAGTTGTTGTGAGAATAATGTACCTATCGATATTCACTGGCATGCATATGCACACAATTTCATTACCTGGCGTGGTTGACTTGACGACAGGGAATTACATTGCCTGAGAGGGCAGGCACCGGGTCTGGGCATTAATGAAGTTGGGAAATTTGTGGCGGTTGAAGAGACTTCGCTTGCCCTCACAGGAGGAACATTTGAGCCAAGCGCCCCAGCTGGAGGCGCAGGTCTCGTCAGTTGCAACAATTCCTGAGGACTCATGTCGCGGAGGTTCGTACTTCCCGGAGTTTGACTTGGTCGGGAATTTGGTTTCAGATAATTTCCCGGTACTGGAACTTCAGGCCTCAAGTTTGGTCGTAAATAGTTTCCTGTTGCTGGCAGTTTTGGATCAGCTGCGAAGATTGGAGGTATAACAGGCGGTGCGACGTAAGGGGGATTTGAATTGGCCGTCCCCATCCCGTATTGGCTTATTGGCTGGTTTGGATAACTTTCGCCTTGAGTTGGCGCTAAGTCAAGCACTATTGTCGCAAATAGCCATATTTTCAACATTTTAAAACTTATTTCTTTCACTTTTAACATTTTGTTGCTTGGAGATCACATCAATACTTGAAGCAAAAAACTCTGAATGATTTCGTATATTTTTGATCAAGTTTGTTTCCGCACGCCGAAATATCAGTTAACTACCTCTCCAGAAAAACATATGTGACAAAAATAGACACAATTACCTACTAACATAATAAAAGGTGTTTAAAATTTTTTCTCAAAAAGTATTTCCAAATGCTATAAATGAATCTTCGTTGTTTGGTTACTTATTTTAACGCAGTTAGTACTCGTAAATTAATTACAGTGGGGGGAAATAAATATTCGTACACTTGAAAAATCGTATTTTAATGTATGTAAGTACACAAACTTCACAGGAAAAGTGATTTAAATTATGTATAGAGACGCATAGTATTCAAAAATACTATCAAAAGAAATTAAATCTCAATGCAACAAAAAACAATGCAACATGTTCACTTTTCGGGGTGAAAAAAGTATTCGCACAAAACAATAAATCCGCATTATTTTAATTTAATACTTGGTTGAATACCTACCCTTTATTCAGCTCAACAGACACCAGTCTATTTCTATACGTCTCGACCAATGATTTGCAGATGCTGACAGGTATTTTATACCATTCTTCTTGGCCCACCACCTTAAGATTCTCAATGTTTGTTGGGGACCTTTTCTCAATTTGAATCTTCTAATACCGCCACACAAACAACTAATTCTATCGCGTTGGAAGGAAGGAGAAAGTTATAGGAAGATTGCTAGCCACTTGAATGTTCCTTTTAGTACAGTTGCTTCGTTCATTGGACGCTTCAAGACCCGTGACAGCGTTGAAAACCAAAGACGATCAGGTGCCCCTAGGAAGATTTCTTTTGATAGTATTTTTGAATACTATGCGTCTCTATACATAATTTAAATCACTTTTCCTGTTAAGTTTGTGTACTTACATACATTAAAATACGATTTTTCAAGTGTACGAATATTTATTTCCCCCCACTGTATTTACCAACAGCTTCGCCCGTTGTTACTAAAAATGGTAAATTATTGACATTTAAAACTCTCGTACTCATAAACTGCATCAACAATTTTCAATTTATAACAGTGTTAATTAAAGAAAAACCCATTAACATTCGGCATGAACCATTCATCAACCTCGTTTAGAAATTTGGAGGAAAATTACTATTTTGGTTTTTGAATATAATTCACATTTAAAGAAATTATAAAAACACATTTAAACATTTGAATCAAACACTGTTATATATTTTCTACGTATAATTATTCCATCGTTTCTGGATAACAAACGTACAATAACTACGGACCATAACAATTCGATATTAATTCGATTAACGATAACGCTTAACAGCCTCAACATACGAGTATTTCCGACGTACAGTGGAAAATAGCGAGCGCTATTGAATACTGGTATAATAACTATGATACAAAGTGAAACTACAGATATCACACGCGATTTCTTTTCAATTTTATTAGAATATTTCAAATGAGGTGCAAAGAATTTCAATCATAACCATCCCGCAACACACAAACAAAATATAAATGTGCTATACATTCATGTCTATTCACTGCATTGTAATTGGAATTCATTAAAATATAGTAACGTAAGCAACCCCGGAAGGAATCTAAAGTCCCAGCCTTTACTTCTCAAGGCCCAGAGACGCACTGGTCACGCTTATAAGAGACCTCGTTGTTCGAGGCCAATAGGGGCATCTCTGTTCTCCGCTAAAAGCATCTCGACGCGAATTCCCTCCAATGAATTTGTTCAAACCTTTCGAGTGTCATTGATTGTGATGCTGCTGAGGTGACCGTGGACAAGGTGCGTATCGCTACAAAAATAGAAGTTATTTATTTCGTTTAAAATAAAGTAGTATTTTTACGTTTTAAGATTATCGTAGTCGTATGTTTTGGTTGATATCTCGTGAAAAATATTTAGTGTGACACAATTGGGTAGTACAATGTCACAAATTTCAACTCGTACGTGAAGTAAAACCGGATGCTTTGAATGAATAAATATATTTATAATATCCACATGTCTAAATGTCAGCTAACCGTCTCCCACAACTATCAAAGAACTGATGTCACTTGCTTGCTGAAATCGCGAAAAATGTAAAAGCTAAGAATAGTTCACAAAAAATCAGATCTTTATAGAAAATGTTTTGGAGACCAGCTCCATCGTCAGTTCATAGAATCTAGAATCACAAATCAGAAGTCGATCACAAATTAATATATTGAAAGCAAAAAACGAAAACCTAAATTTACAAATAATAGACGGACCACAAAAAACTATCTATTCACAATTTCAAGGGGATAGGAGCTAACAGTTGAATTCAAACTGGGCCTAAGTTTAAAGATGTACAATGATTCTAAAATACGCAAATCTGAAGTACCAGAGGTAGAAGCTAGCTTCCACCTTTATTCTGTGCTTGCATTGTATTAATTTGTGACTTCTGATTTGTGATTCTAGATTCTATGCACTGACGATGGAGCTGGTGTCCGAAATGTTTCCTATAAAGATATGAATTTTTGTGGACGATTCTTTGCTTTTGAATTTTTAGAGAATAATCAAGTGTGGTCTTTTTTATGGCACCTAAGCAGTGAATCTCCACTAATAATTCAGTAAAAGAAAGTTTTCTCCCACAGAAGGTAATATAATGAATCAATATCAAGAGAATGTACTGCAAATTAGAAACGAAACTGTTGAAGATGAATATTTTTCTTGATCAAATGAGGTTTGCGCACAATCAAAAGGGTGTCAAATTAAAGAAATAATCAACGGAACTTTAATTTTAAGTTATTCAACAAAGTTTGGCGTTTTATTTGAATGCGTAAACAATAAGTTGCAGGTGGCGGGTTGACAGAACACGGAGACGAATGGGTAACGTAGGAATAAATTAAGGCCGGCCGGTCTCAGGATCGGATTACGGTATTCTGTAAAGAAATAAATTTAAATTATAAATCTTTCAAAATGCCCGGGTAAACAAATTACTCTTAAAATAAATGATCAAAATATAACTTTTGCGCTGAAAACACTAGGAGGCTGAGGTTTAAAGGCCAGTTTGCTGAACACTTTATGAAGGAAGAATAATTGGAGGAAAAGAGCGGAAATCAGTTTAAGGGGTGGGAAGTTGGACAGAAAATATAGGAAGAACAGTTGAAGGTTTTGATGCTTTGAAAACTTGAGATAAAGACTTAAGGCTAAAGTTTGAATACTGATCTTTGCAGGTAAGGTAACACAGTGACGCACTTCTTGGGCAAAGAACACAAAAATTTGAACGATTTGATTTGGAATAGTAAATAAATAAATTTATAACGAGAAAGTTTGAATTTGAATTAATTTGATATTGTGAGTCTTAAACTTTGTCCAACTTCCCAACAGTTTAAATAAATTAATTTAATAGAGAGAAAAAAAGAAATTCACACGACATTCATACAAACCAAGGAATAAAGAAACAGGTTTATAGCAAGATGGTAGAAATACTTGGACGTTGATACAGGTGAAATGTCAATCTGTTGAAATGGCTGAAATTACTGGCAATTGGCAATAATAACAACAGGAATGACAATCTTTAAAATCGAGATTCAAATTGAAAATTGAACACCCCTATACAGGCGATAACTGCTGCAGATGACGACTGTCTGAGCCCGCAGCCGAACCCCTTATGTAGATTAATACTAATTCTTCAGGTGAAGTTAGAGAAGCGGATTCTACAACTTAGATAATTCAGAATAAATAAACCCTAGCCCTATACAAATTGACGATGAGAAATGAAGAATTTCTCGCAATCAAGCAATAAATTAAACTGATCTTCGTATATAATTATATCCAGACTAATGAAATAATATATTATAGGGCAATTAAGGCGTGGCGGTCACGCAGGCAGTAATATTAAATGTGAATTTGACTGAAGAGAGAACAGCAAAAAAACTCTGATGCGTCTTCATTTTAATAATGTGGAGCTTCATTAACTAAAAAAGATGATATATAGTCAAATAATATTTTCAGGAAAAAATAATTCACCAATTCATAAACCTGCAGTTTATAAAATATATATAATTATATTATATATAATATATATATTTATATTTATAATTATATAAATAAATTTTACTGTCCGTATAATATCGCGGAAAAGGATTTCGTTCAGAAAATCTCCTAAAAAAATCAGACAATTATATGACGTTGGAATAATAATAATTTTCAGCGCAAGAATTTCGGCCTGAGAAAACACTTGGCCTTAGCGGCTGTGTGGCATGAGTCCGACAGCTAAAATTTATTAGATTCAATGCTAAAAACACAACTAAAAATGAAATCCCCAAGTCATCAAAATTCTGGGTAAGTCACACTATTCTAAGCGTAGTTGGTGGAGTTGGAGGTTGTTCCCTGGTGGAATGTACATATACGCTCATGAAAACACGTGATTAATCAGTTATATTGTAAATCCTACGCAAATATTGCTTCTAATTTCTTAGAATATTTTTTCAATAAATATAGCGCGCTGTGAAATATTTTAATTTTTATTACTTTCATTGCGTACGTGCATAGTCAACTGAAATGCATGATGAGCAATAATGATTTAGTGCTACGAATAATAACAACTAATCATCTGAATGTATATCAAAGTAGAAAATACACAATTCAGAGAGATTTCAATACTACATAATGCTTCTGCTGACAGTTGCTTCTATTGAAAATTACAAGTCAATTCTTGTAATACAGCACAACATCCTTGAATACACAAAGAGACATAACATATACTTTGAAGCACATAAACCGTAGCGTTTGATGCTGTCAAACGTCGCTGTAACCTAGAAAATATTGAAACGCAAAATGGTAAGGATGAAAAAGTAATCAAATGTCTTCAGGGCAGCGGCAACGAAAATAGGTTGCACTTCATAAGATTGTTTGTGTGCGGTTCGACCTCCGCTTGGTGTTAGCGTCGAAGACATGGGCTTGGTACAGTATACTTCTATTTGTACATATGGAGCAACAGACACTCCTTGTGCGTGTGGCCTCGAGGTGTAAAGACGAAGGTATACACGATTTATGAACAGCAGAAAACCAACAGCTAAACTATTATTATATGAAGGATAATGAAATTATATAGTTCATGTTTTCATATTTAAGGCGCTATGCCTAATAAGACTATACCGGTAGATTATTTATTTAGAACTATTGCATTAATTCAGTATTACGGTCATCAGTGGGAGATTGCTTTTGCTCTTTGAAACGCATTTTTGGTGATAAATAAGATGGAAAAGTACCCATACGTTACATATTGGAATCTTTCAACCTACCGCAAGGCGGCAATTGGCACTATATAGGGCACTTGACTTGGACTTAACCAAACTAAAGACCCAAGTTGACCTCGTCTGGTGCCAGTGGTCCACGCGTCAGTTCACCTTGGGGGCAGAATGTAACACAATCTGAATATGTAACCATACCAATTGTTGGGAAGGTCACTCTACGAATACGTAGCTCTCTATTCGTTAACTCTGAGAAGTGATGTCAGAACTTGAGTTTAGTTGCTCAGGAGTAGGGATACGTGCAGGTTAGCTCTTGAATCGTCAGAATGAGCACTAGGTAAATCGAGTGAGAGAACCATAAACACAAGAAAAATTTGTCCATTAGTCTTACAACTCATATCAGCACTATAAATTAAACTACTGCGTTGTAGTACGGTATCACCACCATGATGATGACTTGGGTAAGTTTCAAAATTCGCACAAGTCTATAGATATTTGTAATGAATGATTATCTCTTAAATTAGTCTGTATTGTCAAAGCTGCGGCTATGAAATTCCAATTAATAAATAGGAAAATGGCGGGAAGTTTCTCTTCTTTACTTGGTTAGAGCATCAACGCTTGTAGAACTTTGTGAGGCAAATCGGTCAAAATTTCCTTTTCACCGAAAAAATTAACTCTTAGTTTTTAAAACTTGGCACATGACTATAAAAAATTGGATTCATTTACATGAGTTTGACTGATTAGAAGATTATTCTGACATTCGGTACTGTGAACATCAATGTTTACAGGAAACGAATAAAGCCTTAATTTTTCTGACTCTCAACTTGCGAAATGGGCAGCGGTGTGACCGATAAACAGATAAACTAAACTAAGATCAATAACTATTATACAAGACTTATAAGGAACTCAATTATGAAGAAAGCTTCAAACAAATAATGTTGATAAAATATATAATAGACATTTGATGAATTAGCGCCTGGACTCTGGATGATAATACCTGACCACGGCAATCCCGTTCTTCCGGATACATAAATATTTTTCAAACTCAAGTAGGTTTTCAAGATCCATCAAAATCTACGGTTAAGATACAAAGCAGAGGTCAACTCTGACTTTCTCAGCATAATAATTTCTGCTATACCAAACATAATTTTTGAATAATCATTAAACAATGCATTAATTTTTAACAACATCCGCATAAATTGGTAAGGTTCATCAAATTGACCCAATTTTGGTAACAAAAGAACGCATTATTAAAAAAATATTCCAAGCAAAACTTAGAGAAGACAAAAAGAGATAATACGTTATATTTACTTAAGCTTGTGAACAGCGATCTTTTTCCTAGATCTGTAGTGTACGCTTTAATTTTATAGGTTGCTGTTGACATTGACGTAATTGGGCTCCACCGTTACTAATCAATGTTAATTGAAGAAATTGTAACCATATTTATCATGGAGAAACCAACACCATATCTGCACGGGTGTGTGGAAAGAATGTTTTAGGCGTAATGTTTCTGAACAAGCAAAAAAGAGCAGCAAACTTTAAACTTTCGAAGTTTTGTTAGAATACTTTAATTAACGTAATCATATTTTTAAATGTATCATATATATTGCTGATGAAATTTTTAAAATTAGTGAAATAAACAACGCATTTTCTACTCTCTTAGCTCTTCGTGGCTACCCTGCTGATAATCCGGTCTTCACCGAGCGAATCTCAGTCAGGAATTGCGGTGCCGATACAAGTACCGAACGGTAACAATGGAGGTCAGATTGGAAATCCATATGGATATCCTGGTCCGCAACAGAGCCCCTATTCGCCAATTGGACCAGATCCTCAACCTGCTCAGTACTACCCAACACAAGATCCCGCGTCATATCCTGCAGATGATCCACGTGCTGCGATACCATACGAACCCCAAGTTGCCCCGCAACCCCAGCCTTACATGCCATACCAACCCCAAGTTGCCCCGCAACCCCAGCCTTACATGCCATACCAACCCCAAGTTTCCCCGCAACCCCAGCCTTACATGCCATACCAACCCCAAGTTGCCCCGCAACCCCAGCCTTACGTGTCATACCAACCCCAAGTTGTCCCGCAACCCCAGCCTTACGTGTCATACCAACCCCAAGTAGCCCCGCCACCAGATCCTTTGATGGGATATCCCCAGCCTCCAACCCAAACACTTTGCCAAGCACCTGCATCTTGCCTACCCTCTCCGCCTGCTCCCCAGAATGTAATGCAGCCGTACACAGTTTACATTCCTGGTACAACACAATACAGGCGAGTGTGTGGCAATGTAGTTCAGTGCGGCACGATTCCAGTTCCGTCTCCAGGACGTTATGTAACTTACTACAGATACGTTACTATACCTGCTCCACCCATTACTATAACTGCTCCTACACCTACTCTACCCGCTCCAGTTGTCCCTACTTATACGTGTCCAGCGCCGCAGCCAACTTACTGCCCAGCGCCAGTAATACCTCCAACACCTGCGCCAACCAGGCCTACAACGTAATTGATGCGGGTTTTATACCAGTAGAAAAAGAAAGCTCACTTCCGGACTGATTTGAATAAGCGATGAAAAAATTATGATCATATGAAAAATATAACTATTTGCATGATGATCAAATTCTCAAAGTACTGCATTATCCTATTTATTTTTCTATTTTTCAGTTGCATCCCCTCCTACGCACCACCACAAACTGTAAGTCTTTGTACAAAGTTTGCATGAGAAACCGTAATCAAGCATCATCCTTCGTTATTCACAATTTAGCTTCTTAGGAATACATACAAGCGTCAGTCATTCAGTATTACAATGCATTTGTTTACCCAAAAATTAGATGAATTAAGTACGAGAACATTTGTTTACAAATAAACGATAAAGTATTTGAACTCGTAGCTCATCACTAACGCACGAACGCTTGTGAACATGCTGCTGTTGTTGTCCTAATACAAGGCGAGTTAACACAGATAATACGTCACAAACTTATTCTGTATTAAAAAATTGAAATTAGGTATTATTGACGGAAACTTAATTCCAAATCAATATTACATTGTCTACAGTACTATCTTGATTACAGAATCCTTGTGTAAGCCATGCTCAATGCAGCCAAAGCCAGCTATGTTGCTATGTTCCGTCATCGAGCTGCAATCAATGCCTTCCTGGAGTGCCGACATACACGAGGATCATACGGCAGTCTCAGGTAATATACACGAGGATCACACGGCAGTCTCAGGTAACATACACGAGGATCACACGGCAGTCTCAGGTAACATACACGAGGATCACACGGCAGTCTCAGGTAACATACACGAGGATCACACGGCAGTCTTAGGTAACATACACGAGGATCACACGGCAGTCTCAGGTAACATACACGAGGATCATACGGCAGTCTCAGGTAACATACACGAGGATCACACGGCAGTCTCAGGTAACATACACGAGGATCATACGGCAGTCTCAGGTAACATACACTAGGATCACACGGCAGTCTCAGGTAAAGCAACATTTATACTTTTATCATCCAAGACATTGCATCAGTTCGGAGGTCTTTGAAGTAATCTCTTGCTATAATAAAATGTGAAAGGTGTGATAAGGTTCTTTCATATCAGAAACTCGTATTTTGAAAAGTTTTGAACTGAAAAGTGGACAAGAATGCAATCAAATCTTCCGGCGGGAGGCGTTCTAGACCGAATGACTTCTGATGCAACCATCAGTTGAGGCAATTCGGTATTAAAATAAAAATAACCTATTTATGAGCGCTCATGAACGAAGACCTAGGGAAATCTCTATGTGTAATAGAATAGAATAGAAGTATCGGCACTGAAGAAATAGGCCCATGGCCTATTGCAGATTCTTTTACTTCTCGTGACTTGATTCCACAAAGGATCTAGCCTTTGGAACCCGATCTTTCCGTAACTGACGATTGTTAGAGATAGCTGCTGGACTTATTGCCTGGTCGGTAAGGTGCTAGGCATTTCAAGACTGAACATATGCTCCTGCATAATAAGGCAGTAAATAATTATAAAATAGTATAAGACAATTCAAGCTTAATATCTCATATTGCCGTCTAAGGCATTCATGAAGTAAACTGTGTATTCAGGCACAATCCACATTACTGGAATTTTCAACTCGTGTCGTACCAACAGGTGCATTCAAACAAAAGTGAAGTACTAAACGTGAACTCCGTGCGACTCTTGGTTCGTAAATGGGATAGCAAGAACGTCACCGATTTCCTTGCCAACACTGTGCTGCCTCTCAAAATGGACCTCACAAATGATCTGGAAGTAACCTTTGATACAGCGGTAAGTGACTTTATGGTGAGTTTCTATATTTTACCAAAATATGTCCTTACAGAATGATGATGACTGTGATAATTTATTTATTTGTAAAATTTATTTTCTTCATCTTGAAAAGTATAGCTAGAAGAAGCATTTGCGGTAACGTTAATCGTAGAATAAAATTCATACATGCACTACACCTGAATAACAGAATACGACGCTAAGGGATTGAGCGGGATCAAAATAACTTTTAAATTGATGGAACTAATTTTTTTCAACTACTTTTCTTGAACACTGCCCTATTGTCAGTATGAATGAATTAGATGCTGTTGTAAAAATTCAACTATTCATTTTTCATTCATAGCACCCGGTTCATGTATAATACATTTTCAATCATTTAGTAGCTTTTAATTCTATATTCAAGTTTTAAACTTCATTTAAGATATTTATCACCTAAAATCGTTATGAATGTTTTTTTATAACATTGCGTGACACAAGTTGAATTTCTTTACTTAATTTTAGTTATGAATGAGCTCAGTTTGTGTTATTTTACAGGAACGACAGAGATGTGATCAAATGGATATCAATTGCGTTGGCGCTCAGCTACTGACGTGCGTTATCAACGAGGAAACGGCAGTTTTAAAGACTAAAGTGCAAAACATCCTTGATAATTTCAACTTGACGAGGTCTGCCGAACAGCCAGTCATGGATGAGATGAACACTCCTTCCGAACACATTACTGAACAACCAGACATCCAAGAAACTATCAATAATACAAACGCCGACAACAATCTGCAATTGCATTTTTTGAGCGTACAAAAAGAAATCGACGACCTACGACACGGCAGCGAAGTTACGCTCCTCAGCTTTGCCACTTGCGTGCTTCAGAGCTTCCAGTCTGGCGTGATTCAACTCAAGCATAGCGCCCTGATCGCTACCAAGAGGGTACATCGATTAATGATCATTGGATTTATATTTTTATTCTGGAATATTCAAGGCGATATCTTTGATCTTAGCGACCTAAGCTGAACTTTAAAGAGTCATAGGTGATGCCTATGTGAATACCATCCATACTTTGAATGTGCTATTTAACTCAGTAACAAACATAATATTGTACTTTAACCATATCTCTCGCACTGTTTCAGTGCGTGCGGCAGTACCGTTATAACTGGCGTTCAGTCCGTCAATGCGCGGCGCCCAACACCAGATCGCAGAACGTGTCGGTGAGCGTCGAAGCCGAGTCCACCCTGGGACCGGAGTCCAGCGCTCTGCATATGTTCGTGAATGGGGTGAGTGTACAAGCGACTCCCGATGCGACGAGATGAAAATACAACTCAATTTATAGTAAAACTCAATAATTTTTTATATAAATGGATTATATTAAAATACAACTCTCAGCAATAGTATTCGTTGATGATAATGAAAGAAACAAGAATGAACCAAATCCCTTGACTGTCTGTTATTGAAGTAGGACGTGTATATACGTATAATATATCCAGAAGGACATGTCCAGAAAAACGTATGGACATGCCCATACGTTCTTCTTGCAAAGAATAATTGAAAATAAACGGCCCGACCGACGTCTCATGAACGGGCTAATAAATTGGAAATTGCAGGAGTAATTGTACGAACTCCAGGGAATAGATTCAGAATGCTGTAATTGAAATTACGTCCCAACTATAAAATTTCAACTGTTAATTGAATTATAAACTTCTCACAGTTCGTTTGCAAAAGATTGTAACGCAAACTATCAGTAAAATTCATACTAGTATCGCTAGTAAATTCTTACTAGTATCGCTGGTAATTTCTTACTTGTATCGCTGAATAGACGATAGGCGTAAATTGGTTACATTATTGCATTATTGAGGCTGTTTCATTATCATGTAGTTTTGACGACTCACTTCTGATTGCAGGCTGCGATCCCAGAGCTGGAAGATCCTCGAGTGTCGCTGTGCATTACACTGAACGCCCTCGGCAGTGAACCTCTGATCTGTGAACTGGTGCTGCGACCATTACTGGAGGCCAGCACCTCTGAAGCTGAGCAACAAAAACTCTCAGGCAGTAATGAAGAAATGGCGGCAAAAGAAGCGGAACAAACCCATGAAGATATCATTGATGGGAACGAAGAAACACATCAAATCAAGATTGATCGTCGCATCGCGTCTTTCCAGTAGAAGTTAGTAGAATGTTGTCATTCTTCTGTTACACAACGTTCCATGGGGCTATTCGCATCCTGGCTTATACGGGTTACGGTTTTTCTCATTCCTAAGCTTTTCGATAAAGAAATTACTTAGTTTACTTCAAATAAACTCCACTGAAAAGGTATGGCCAAGTAGCACTGGTTTGTCTGTGAGGTTCTCCTCAACCGGTTAAAAAATTCTTTCAATAAAATTACAGCCGTTTGACTTCAACAGATTTTTTTCATTACTTCTCAAAGTAATATATTTTTTTTTGTCCGCAGTGAGCAGCACGATCACTGCCGAGTCACTGCCTCTAGAATAAAACCAGTCGAACGACAACGCTGCTCTACCTGACACTGTTTTGCAAGAAAATTTTTGCATGAGAAACGGAATGGAAGTTGCACTGTGGATTTAGAAGTACTTGTGCGTAGTAAAAACTATTCCTGCATTTGATACAGAGAGAGTTTTCAGATAATTATTGTAAGTTTAAGTACTTTGTACAATTTAAAAATATTTCCAAGTACCAAGTTAAATTTTCGCGGTATTGCTACGGTGGTAATTATTTCAAATAATCTTTATAGTCTGTTATTGAGTGAATATGTTTTCATACCCGAGTTCGTGGCGAGCTGCTGAGCCACGAGAAGATAAAAGTTAGATTGATATACATGATAATAATGAATACTTTTGATGAATACTCCAGCCATGTTATGCATGGTACATCTTAATAGACGTTGTCTGGGGTACAGTGACTAGACTTGGATTTATCCCCGGCATGCGAATTTCCATAAGTGCCGTTTTTCATAATAATATAAGAGCGAAAGTTGTGTCAACTAGACTACCTGTAGCAATGTGTTCATAGAGACTAGCAGTAATATTAGTATGTTACATTCTTTTCCTGGGAACTCTTTTGCACGCGATACGCAGTTAATTAATGTTCATAGAAATTTGTAGTCTAATGTTATCGATGTTAGATGTTCTATTAAAATAAATTTAATTCATTTACTCGACTAGACTGAACCAAATTTAGTGGATACTTTCCTATGTGAAGGTTATATAATACCTGGATAGAAACCTGGCTCTTAACGATAGAGAAAGCAACAAATTCCAGAAGACATGCAGGTTCTGTATCTTCATACGAGATACGCTTTAGGATCAATTATTATGAGAGAATTTAGAAGAGATAATAAAATAGAAACAATTGCCATTATAAATCTTTGGATCAAATCGGCTGACAAAATGAATTTAAATAAATTTCGTGGCATTAATTCTTGCCGATATTTTTTTCATAATGTTCTCGTCCTTTATATACTATGCCATATATGAAGTAGCAAATAGAGTCAATGAAAGTCAATTCATTGTTTTATCCAAAATTAGGATAGTTAAAGAATTTTATTATGCTTGGGCTGCCAGGTGGAATTTATATTTGAACTTAATAATTTTCATTTATTGTTTAAGCATATTTACAATAGAATTTTAAGTAACCACTAGGAATCCATGATTTTTAAAATCAGTATATAACATATTCGACCGTTTTTTGTTTTATTTTTCATTATTTTCTATCGCTATACATTTGCTAAGAAGAGTAATTAGAATAATATCACAGATTATCGAGTGCAACAATTAAATATATAACTTTTCAGTATGATTTGGCACTCATGTTAGGCGATCTAAATCACTAAGTAAGATGATTGTCAGCGCAACTTATAATAACATGCATTTCTAAACAATTTAGCGTTATCCGTGGCTAATAGGCTAATTAACCCTTCAAATTAATTAACGTCATTTATTATTAGATGTAGAAACTTAACTCTGTTGAACCTTCTTTTTATTGACGTTAAATTGCATCAAATTTTCAAATGACATTATAATTGGGTTTGAAAATGAAAATTGCTTGTGTACTGCTACCAAGCATCTTAAAGTTAAAGTTGAACGTGCAAATTTATGACAATGGCTTATGATTAATGGTGACGGAATTATATTTATCTGGTTAAACTATGATCATGGATGGGCAATTTCCCGATCTTGCAGATCAAGATCGAGAAATTGCCCATGCATGGTGAGCACAATATACGAAGAAATAAGCGTCTGCAACGCCTATCCTACAGGTGTGCAGGTCGTGACGATGGTTGCAGAAATGTTCAAGTAAATACTGCAGTCAGTAAAGTCGAAGCCTTCTGGTAGACAATGAGCAATTATAGGATAGAATTGATGATACAAGAATAAAGTGAGGATGTTTGCTATCACCATGTAGGAGTTGGGGCAAACGCTTGCCTTCTGCGCGTTGTTGTTCAACTCTTTTGGCGTTTCCGACGACTGGATCAAACCCATGGTGAGATAGTTGGTGAAATTCGTGATGAAGGCGAGCAGCGGTGGAATTAAATCTAATGACTTCAGTCAAGGGACGGACTTCAATTGAGATTCATTCGTAGAAGTTTGTTTTGGCAGATCAGTCCGTTCCTGGAGAAAAATTGAATTCAGAATATGAAATGTGTAGACCAAAATGAAACGCATTTCATACTATGTTATATATATAAATATATGAAAAGATAATATATCATATATATACTACACACACAAAATATGAATAAGACAATAGTCACGAGGAAAAATTTATATGTAATATATCAAAGCTCTGGTACTTGTAATTAAAAAATATTGTTACCTCCGAGTCCAAAATATACGGAAATTTTTCCGTTTGTCGGCAAAAGCTCGAAACGTTGCAATGTTCTGCTGAGGCTGCGAGGAGGCGTTCGTTGTGCGCTACTCACATCGGACGGTCTGCACTCAAGCCTCGGGTCAGGGGCCTTAAGTAGCGTCGCGCTGCTGCGCTATCAACAGCTCTTATCTGCATCTTCAGAACCTTCGTGTAGAGGGTCTGTGGCAATGACGAATAAGATATTTTTCAAACTTTTGTTATTGCGCATACGATTTGGTAGTATATTCGGTCGTAATTAAAGTTTCATGGGAATAACGAACAATATATTTTTTCAAACTTGTGTTATTGCGCAAACGATTTGTTAGTATATTCGGAGGTAACTGAAGTTTCAAGGTTTATGAGGTAGCGCTCATGCCAACATTTTGAAGTTTTTTTCTTTAATTGAATAATGAACTCGATGTATTAGAGGTAATTATTGAGAAATAAGGTAATTCATTGATATAAATACGAATTTTTTATATTTCTATAATGCCAAGTCCATAATTATTGCTGCTTTTAAATTTAATCACAATTATTTTTTTACTAAGTAGCATATAAAAATCTAATCACACATTTTACTAACCAGCATTTAAAAGGGAAAAAAAAGCCTGACCATTTTTCGGAGGTTAAGATTACCTTCACATTGCCCACGCCACGATCACGTGATTAACTAGATTACTAGACCAAGAGATCTTGATCAGATCTCGCGATCAGATCTCGGTCTATTTTGACATGGAAAACTGTAGAGTGGATGTATTTCAACTCAAATGCGATGAAAAAAACAAATAGTGTAATTTGTAACTTTTCACTATATTTAAATTTTTTGTAGGATAGTTTCGAAATAGTTTGCTCAAAAATTTTCATCAAAACTATAGTTGTTATAATTATTATTATGTTGATATTGTTGTTATATTCATTATTATTAACATTTTGTTATCAGTTTCATCCGAGGCTAGATTATGAGAAGTTTTAAGTGACTTTTCGTTTACTCTTTAAGATATTCTAGTTTTTCAATTATATAGACCAATTGTCGTCTGCAAAGCTTATTAGTTGACATGGGTAATCACTATGAACCTTTGTCATTTTTTTGTCATTTGTAAATATAACTTTTATGGATGTCATATCATCCCAGAATAAAGAATTTTGACAATGATGGATAATTCGTTTGGTTAAACATAGTTTTATGTAATATATTAATGGTTTATTTTCTCATCTTTTACAGACATCTTTATTCTCATTATTTCAATAATGAAACATGAACTGTTTTGTTCTGTTTGCACTTTTCGGCGAATACTTTTAGTAGTAGACCAAATAAATAGTTACTCGTTCTAATGAGTGAAGACGTAGATGACCAGAGAGCTAAACAAAGTTTTAATTTTGTAACTTCATTATATCGATGGAAACTTGTGCACTGTATAAACTTTGTTTTATATCATTCGTAGATGCAATGCAATGTCGAATATTACGAGTACGTGAAAATAGCTATAAGCTTTCCATGTGGCAGCGTCGTCCTAAAGTAACTTTTCTCGTTTAATCTCTGTCATTTCTTGCAGAAAAATAAAAATGAAGTGTAGTATGCATGTAAAGAGAAGAAAATGGGCGTGATTTACAATTATATCAATAAGTATATGTTATAAATATCGATAAGCGAAATTAAAATTATTATTATTACTACTATTATTTTTATTATTATTATTATATTATTATAATTATTATATTTATTATTATTATTTTTATTATTATTATTTTACGAAGAGATTATCGTGGCGTCTCGTTCAGATCGAACTTCGAGGGCACGTTACAAGTGGCTAAATAAATAAATAGCGACGTATTTCAATGTGACCAACATAATCACGCATGGCAGTCTACGGATGTTGGTCAAACGCTGGATAACCAGCATTTTTGATACCATAAATTTATTATAAACGATCAATATCCGTTCCTGGTGAATTGAGTATGCATTTTATGTTTTAAATATAAATCCCTTAACTCTAGTTACTTGCTAATATCTTTGCACGAAATAAAATCCTATAATAAACCGGATTTTGCACTAAGAGATCGAACAAAATTTCGAGAGCAACCGCAAATTACTTACGAAACTTGTCGTTATAATACGACGTTCTACTTGAAACTCGCTTGCCGATTCCACCAGCGCTAAAATAAAATATTGCAGTCAAAAGAGGATATGCAAACAGATTAATTTATTCACAGACTTTTCGGTCAACGATTAAAAATATCAGTTCTTGGAGGTAATTTTTAACGCGACAAGACTTGCAGTCTCTCGCAATAATGATACGAGAAGTCAATGATTCTCAAGCGGTGGAACGGTGCATTGAGATTTGTTCATTTTATTCACGAACTTTCATTTTAGAAGACGATAGTAATCCGAAAATAAATATCGTGTACAATTATTAAAAGTAAGCATAATTTTCCAATGAAATCCTTTCACTCGAAGGACATTCACTATCTTCGCACTCAACATATTTTCCAAATAACCAATACTCGATTACAGCCACTTGATTTCTGAGCACTCGAAGATACCGAAGATTGCGGGTCGTCGAGCTGATCAACGACCCTAGCGAGGAGCACGTAGCTGAGGCCGAAGCGTTCGACTGACCAAGAGGCGACCAGAAACTAGAAAATCTCCATAGGCGTGCGCAAAGTGCGGTGTCGTGCGCAAAACAATTCTTCGGTGCCGTGTGCATAATAATGTGGTGCCGTGTGCAGCTTTTTTGCCTCGAAACCGCGAGCAATACGATAACTTAAGAGGCTTGTGCAATGTAATCACTTCGTTGCCGTGTGCAACACAAGTACATGAGCATCGTGAGCAACGCGGCTTTTTGATGCCATACTGAGAATTGAGCAAAAGTATGCTTCCTAAAACTCGTAAATTGAGGTGGCAATATATTACCTATGTCATGAGAACACGACACATAATTTCATATAAGGAACGCAAACTGTACATTCCTATATATTAGATCGAATCTTGTTGCCACAGATTCTCTCTGCGTAGATTGTATTTTCTTTTCACTGTTCTCAAATAATTAATCTTATGAAATTTCAAAAAGATAAACGACACAAGATGGGATCTAATTTCTTGCTGCGTTTTGTATACGGTGTGGAAAGTCATTAAATAATCATGGAAAGAGTAATTAAATTTCTGAAATTTTGCAACCATTCAAATAGTAGCGACGTGTTGCCTAGTCATAAGATCAACAACGGTTCCGTGTGTTTATCATCGAATTATGATTGCTGGTGATAGGTGCCGTGCGCAAAAATGATAACTCTGAAGTAGTCCACAAAACTTGTAAGTTGTTGTAGCTGTAACTCAGAGCAATACAGCAAATATGAACAATGAAAGTGCCGAGGGAAAGCGAATTAACCTATAATGTATTGGTTTCAGTATCAGTAGATTTTGGAAAATGTGTTTAACAGTTAATAAATAAGCTAATATATAAAAAAAACAAGTTTACAAATAAGCACCACGTACTTCCAGCCAATAGCCCTCAGATGTGAAAAAATTATTTTACTGATCATGGGTATGATAGTTTATTGTCCACTTCGTACGTTATTAAACTCGTTCATCGGCCAATTAGTTTTGTTAACCAATATTTAATAATTTCATTGTTTTTCAACTTTTGTTGAAGAATTCGGTAATGCAAAAGTGAAAGTAAATTATTAAAAGTAAAAAATAAAGTAAAAATACCAGTATACGGGAAAGACTTGAAGTTGGAGGTGAATAAAACAAGGTTTCTATGCAGCATATGTATTATCCATTCTTCACACTTACTATAATATTTATTGGAACTTTGCCTACACAATTGGCAGGGAAGGTTCAAGTCATTTACTTGTATTCAATGGTTTAGTGCTCTGTAATTCTACCAACTTGTGTTTGTAGTACAGCGGCTAGATTTTATTGCCTTGGACTGAAAACATTATTTTTGAATGTGAATTTCAAAGCTCATAATGAATGTACGAGGTTGTAACACATTATAAATTTAACATTTGAGGGCCTGAATACATTAAGCGTTTCATATTTTTTAAATAATTACTTAAACCGTGTATTTTGGCTGATCTCAATCACCGACCGAAATGAAACCAAAGTGGTTTTAAAACGCGACGAAATATCTATAATCTTGAGCTACTTAACAGAACATTACGATATACAGTGAAAGGAAGGTTTAATTCGAAGCCTTATTTTTTGTTTTGTTCACTTTTAGCTTTAACATTTATCCCTAGAAAATTATTCGTGTTTATTTGATTGCGTTCTGAATTTGCGTATAAGTTTTCCTAAAGAGTGAATGAGGATTTGACACAATTGTGTTTCAACTTTACTGTAATTCATTCAACTGTGTTTCAATTTGATACTTTGATTGACCGCTTCCAATCGGTAAAAATTTCCTGTGTTGCTTTATGTATCATTTGAGTTTTAACTGGATTAATTTAATTGTGTTTATAGTACCTGAGTCATGTGGGCAAAAAGATTTCCTTTGAAGAGGATCTAAAAGCTTCGTGAATATTCTAATGAGATTGTTCATTAAAAATATTCATTTATTTGCTTATCTCAATGGTATATTTTGAAATTTACGATGTCGGCCAAAAAATAGTAAAATCTTAGAAGTGATCAATGCATGAGAGTTATAAAAAAATGTAATGTTCTATATGTAAGGTTCAGGATCAGGGAAAATACCAGCAAGAAGGAATGAACCTGCCTTTCTCTACTGTTAATTCTTCAACAGTTGGAGACGCAGCAAAACCGCAAGAATATTCTCTTTTTTAAAAAGACGGAAAAAATCTTAATTAGCAATTGATTCAAACTTAACACCCTGATTACTTTTAAACCGAACATGCTGTGATCATGATCATGGCAAAAAAAAGAACTTCTTTTTATTAGCGACTGAGAGTATAAAGGTAAATAATGTTTTTATTAAATAATGCATAAAGCATGCTAACTTTCAGCTTCCATCCCTATACCAAGGAATGTTTTAAACGGCGACATAATTTTCTTAAAAGAGTCCTTGTCATTATTGTCAATCGTAGGGTTGTTCCGCCAGTTATTTATTAATTTGACTGCGTTTTCGTTGTATAGCTTATTGTGTGATTTATTGACTTAATGCCATGTATTAATTATAAGTAAAAAATTGTCACTTGACCAAATGGTAATAATTTGTTTACAGAAACATTGAACATAAAATGGATTGATGCGTGCATTATGGAAACGTGAAGAGTTCCACAACGTAATGTTCAGCAGCTTTAATAAACGGATTATACTTAACAGATTATTTCCAGCACCTTTCAAATTTAAAAACGCCGCTCTCATATAGGGCGCTAATTCCAGCTTTTTATTGTAATTTTCAGATCAGCTGTGAATGTTGATCTTCCCGAATGCGATGAAAATTTGATAAATAGGGACGTGTGTTGGCTCCGCATTCAACTGACTAATGGTCGTGGATTTTCCTAGTGAGCTTAACTACTTATTGTCATGTGTGATGAAATTTTCAAGCACTTTAAATTCAACATTAATGGAAATATTGAACAATCGTATAGAATGCTTTCAATTTAAAAATTTCTACTTGCGAAAAATTTATGATATAATTTCCTAATGTTTTTCTTACTAGGATTGCATTATTGAAACATACGAAAAAGTAACCACAAGAGGGATTTCCAAACAGCAGGATACTCGATTAATACTCCATTTCGTTGGCAAAATTTCTGGACCAGAAAAGCCTGCTTTGAAGTCGAGTGCAGTCAACGCCTGTAGCAAGTCCCATATTTCTTTATACACATCTGAAAAAAGGGAATAATGTGAGACACTTTCTATTAGAGTAATCTGAATGCCTATTAACCGTTTAGGATTAAAGCTACTAAAAGGCTCGCACTAAAATCTTCCGTTAAACAGAGATTCGCTTCGCGTAAATTATTTGTTCTCTATTAGTGTTAGAGTCCAATGTAAAAATACTAAAACGTCAAAGTAGAAATACTAAAACGGCAAAAAACTCAAATTAATATAATGACCTTAATCTCATTAAGGCTTCGATGCACTGTAGTTCAGTGTAAGCAAACGCTTTCAAAAAATTATTAATTGATTGCTAAACACCTGAAAAAATGTTTCCCCTGTCGATCGGCGAAATGTAAACCCATCAGAGGTTTTGCGAGAAACAGGTTCGATGTCAGTGTGAAAAGAATTTGGCTTTGTTCATGACAAAATATGTTGAAGAAATCTATTATTTTGATTTAAGGGTTGATTATAAGAATTTTCCAGCAAATGAGCTTCATATCTTTGAATTTGTCTGTGACACTACAAGATACTGGAATCTCTTCAAAATAATTAAAATTGCTATTGCCGCACAACTTTCTGAATAAGATAATTTGGTAAATAAGTGATGGTAAATAAATAATCTTTGCTCAAGGAACGGTATGCAGAGAGGCATGCCAGAGAACTGAAATTACAAACCATAGACTTCAGTAAACTCTGGCGAGAATGGGTGGAATGTGGCGCGGCTTAACAGAGCGTGTGGCACTGTATGGGGTGCAGCTTGCCTCCTTGTATACAGTTCTTAATGCAGCTGTAGTGCTTGCTCTCTGGTGCTCCTGAAAGAGTATAAGTGTAAATAATTTTAGCAAACCTTTGTTAGCTTAGTTTTAATAGTCTATTTTTATGCGCTCCTATGATTTACTTGTATATCCAACCTTTAGAGTGTGAAGATGGCCGACAACGTAACACTAGTTTCATGCTAGCTCAGTTCGTAGTCCGCGTCAAAACTGCTCACAATATTTCGGTGCACTTTCGATAAAGTGCACTACAGTGCACTTTATCAAAATTTTTCAATTAAATGGAACTTTTTTCATCCATAGATAACAGTTTTTGAATTCATCGATAACAGTTTTTCTATATTGTTCTGCTCGGAAATTTGGCAGTCTCGTCATCTTAACACGTTGAAGTTTAACATCTCTTTCGGTGAACATCTAAACGGTTTTATATTGCCTTTAAAGACCGGACACTCTGATGTCGATTGTAGATTTATTTTCTAAATGGCATAAGAAAATGGTCCTCATGATATTTTACTGAGGTGACGCTGGTGTGGTTGACCATTGAAGTTTCTGAACTTCCTGGTTGACAAGCGTTGAAATTTCTTGTGCTCAGTCTAATTTACTGTAAGGCAAACTAAGATGCATCACATACTTATTAAGATGCAAACTCAACTGCAATTGTGGTGAAAACTGCAGTTAAGTTTGCTCTTGTTAACTGCAGTTAAGTTTTGTTTTGTTTGTTAATAGTCATGTTCCCTGTAATCATTTGATCGTTACGCTATCAGCAGAGCTGGGCAGCGCTACTTTGAAATGTAGCGGCGCTATCGCTACCGTTACATGCTCCAAATGTAGCGGGCGCTACTGCTACCGCTACATCCACTAGATTGTAGCGAGCGCTACCGCTACAGTAAAATGTAGCGCCGCTACATTAGCCGCTACAATGGCGAAAATTATTGAAAATCTCTGAATATTTATTGTTCTGATATTGGGATTTACTCATAAACCTTTAATCAGTGGTTCCCAAACTTTTTCAGGCTGGCGCCCCCTTTCGCTCCCTAGTGAATTTCTAGCGCCCCCCACAGTCACATATAAAATCATGCGCCTCTTGCTATAAAATTTAGTTCGCTGCAATTTTAAAAGATAAAGGCTAAACACAAATGTGTATTTCACACATAGGACCCTTTTAGTGAACCAATGTGTTTTTCAGCTGTTTTAACCGTTTCAACACTAGAAACCTAGGACGTCTCGGGCAAATTTACGGCCGGACTCGTGGCCAGTCGCACGACCAATCTCCAAATTCAATTATCAAGTAATATCACCCAAACTAATGAACGCAACTCAATAAAACTTGGAACATGTATTCATCAGAACTTAACGATGACGTTTAGCTAGCAAAAAATTTTTAAATATCACCTTCGTTCGTGAGTTATATTGCGATACAGGCCGAAATTCGCAATGATCAAAGAATTTCTTCCAAACTACCGGTACCAAACAGATTTGAACGAAATTTTGAATATACATTCCTAACCACCAAATGGTGTTTTTTAGATTGAAAAAATATATTTTACCGTCGTTTGCGAGATTTTTTCATTTTAACGTCATTCTTGGTTTTGCACTTCCTTATTCGCTTTCGTTCGCAAGTTATACAGATATAGGACAAATGATCGGCCTTTCTACCGGTTGGTTTAACCAAGAGCCGTTTACTGATAGCCGTATAACTCACAAACGAAGGCAAAACGAAAAAATTGTAACGAGCTAAACATCACCGATGCTGAGGTCAGGTATTAAAATACTAAATTTCGTTCAAATCTGTTCAGTAGTTTGCAAGAAATTTCTTGCATACTGCGAATTTAAGCACGTATTGCTGTTTAAATCACGAATGAAACTCGCGAACGAAGGCACAATCGAAAAATTTTTCATGAGCTAAACATCACCGTTCGGTAGTTAGGACTGTAAATTCAAAATTTCGTCCGAATCTGTTTAGGAATTTGGAAGAAATTCCTTGATCACTGTGAATTCGGCCATATAAGTATGGCAAAAACAATTGAAGGCAAGATTAAAAAAATTTTCACGAGCTTTACATTACCGTTAGGTCCTAATGAATACGTGTAACAAGTTTCATGGAGTTAAGTTCATTAGTTTGATCCCCTCTTCTTCTTTACCGCCCCCCCAAAATCTTTCCATCGCCCCTAGGGGGGCGATATCGCCCACTTTGGGAACCACTGCCTTTAATGAACATTTTCAAAACATATCAATGTAACTTTATTGCAATTAACCTAACTGAACTAGTACGGGTAAGATACAGAAAATAAAAGTTACAGTTATTTCTATGTTTTACCTTCCCTACATGGATGTGTAATTTAATCTACAAATCTAAAAAATTATCCACCTATACATATAAAAAATCAGTCATTTATTTATATATATATATATAGGTGGATTATTTTTGAGATTGGTAGATTAAAGTAGACATCCATGTAGGGAAGGTGAAACATAAAAATAACTGTGTAAAAATAACTGTATGCAAACTGAAACATGAAAAAATACCTGCAAGTGGCAACTGGTAACAACTTAACAAGTAACAACTAACATGTTGACACTAGTGACAGGCTGAGGTTGACAACATTACACCGAAAACCTTCGTACAGTTTTATTCTGTAATTTATATTATGTATGTATCATGCTGGTTTTTAAATAATATTTAATACTATTAGGTAAAATCTAAAGGCTTTATCTATAAATGTAGCGGGCGCTAACGCAACCGCTACATTCCCCTTAATGTAGCGCCGCTACCGCTACCGCTACATGTAGCGCGCTACTGCCCACCTCTGGCTATCAGGCACAAAGAAGTGAAAATTTTTATTTATTTTACATTTCTTATGACGATTACAACGACTTAATTTTCGATTTTCAAAATATATTTTGATGGACGATTCTGGTGACAAACCGAATCTCTTAACTACTGCAAAGATACTGAACTTCAGTTTCAAGCTGTAATTAAAATCTAGATGTCAGAAAAGACGAATGGTGAATAAAGGAACTACATAAATTCATTTTGTCCAAATTGTTCATTCATAGATTGTGGCTGTTAATTCAGCGCACATGAACCATATATATAAATCGTGTTATTTCTACATAGCCTATATATAACTTGGCAGAATTTTCACAAAAACCATGAGGCTTCTACATGTCACTTCTACACGTGGCCAATATTGTTACGCCACCTTGGACCAAAATGGGCCCCTTAAAAAATTGTTACTAGGGATATTAATCTTTAGAAATCCTAATGATATTGAAATTGAAAGCTAAAGAAATAAGTTTGCGATCCTTTTTTTTAATATTTCGTTTTTTTTTGGTAAAAGTTGGACATAATTCTTTAGGGAATTCTTAGTAACTACGGTCAAATAATAAAATTTGTAGTTTGCATTAAATGTTTTACATATATTACTGTCAAAGTTTGTGATGTGTGTTTGTTTGTGTTCCCATCGTTAAAATATATAGAGGCTGATCAATCGTGTCAGGATATTAAATGAAAATTTATTTTTTGATGGTGGAATCTTGCAAAATTGAAAAACGGGGAAAAATTGAATCTTGATTGAAATTTTTTTTTCGCTAAGGGAAGTGTACACTTCAATCAAAAAAAGGAAAAATTAAATTATTAATTTAAGTTTCAAAAGAAGATTTGAATGGGAAGTTCGTGCCGGATGTTGGTTTAGCTCATTCTTTCTTTAATTACTGGATTATTTTGTTTTAAAAGTTATAAATTCCAGGCAACGCCAGACTTACCTGCTACTTTTTCATAATTTGATAGAGTAAAGCACAAATAAATACAATCATTCGCAGTGTAATCACTAAGTCATTAATCAAATCTTTGTAATGTCAAAAATCAATATTATGGCTTGAGGCAAATGAAACATTCCTTAGATGAAACTCACTGCGGTTGACAACCGGTCTGTGGCGCAGATGGTTGTTGTTGCCAAACCAATTCTTCACGCCTGCAATTGTGTCGTAGAAACCACGCTTGACACTCGGCTCCTCGAGCTGCTTCAGCGGCTCCATCTGCTCAAGATTGTGTTCTGCTAGCTGAGCCTTCTGGAACGAGCCCGCCGTTTGGAAGGATTTGTAATCGCTTGACTGAAGTTTTGGCTGAATTTGGTTCGATTCTTCGTTGTTGGGATACCGGCTTGGTTGTTGTTCGTCTTCGTTCATCTCAGTGGAGTCCAAGCCTTGCTCATTTGCATTTGAAGTTCCCCTTTAAAATCAATAAGGATATTAAAACCATGAATATTATCGTAATATGTTGTGAATAAAATGAAGTATCCGAATTTGATCACAAGTCAATTTTATCAGCGAAAAAAAAACTAGAGAAAGTTAATGGAACATGGCTAACATAAAATTCACCATAAATGGGTATTTATGCCTAATCGTTAATTCCTTACTTATCTTTAATAACCTCTATATTTTGTCGAGGAGATAGAAGTTGAATGACACTTAGTAGTTTTAAATAACTTGCATTCTTCATAATAACAATTCGCCTTTTGAAGAAGTTATTTAGGAAATCATATAACACAAGATTGAATTATATAGAAAAAACACAATTTTTTATGAGCTAGAGCCGCTGATCATGACTCTAGCACAATTTTTTCTCGTTTTTAAGACGTGATATTTCTTTCAAGGCAGAAGCCGAATTTGTCAGCTTTTCGATATTTCTACGGCAAATTACTCAATTTTCTCGATGATTGGAGAGGAGCAGACAATGACTGCAAAATAGAATGACGAGGGAAAAAATGACGAGGAAAAATGACGAGGTTATTACATCAGAGACTCAACGTAAAATCAAAAAGGAAATTCTCAAAATAAATATTCTTTTCCAACAGCATTAAAACATTTTCTGGTAATTTATTATCTACTTGTGGGTGATAGTGTACATTCATATCGTTACAAGTTCTAGTTTTAAGAGACGCGTTTCGGTCAAAAAAAATTTTTATTCAATGACGGATCACTTTGAAGCTTGGTACACATCTAAGACTTTTTTGGTCATGTAAATTTTTCGAAAAAATTTATGAAAACGTGAAATTCATAGAAAACGGCAAAAAAGGGGTACTGTAGAAATCAATCTCCTCCTAGGATTTTCAAGCTACAACATCGTACTACATATAATTTGATGCGTAAAAACTATATCTAGGGATTCGTCGTAGCTTTTTTCGAAATTCTTATATTTAATTGGGGCTGGGGGTGTGGATTTTTCGTCCGTTTTTCGGTTCCCTTTCCCTTACCCCCTTTGTGCAAATATTATCCAAACTATAGCGAAATTAAAAAAAACTACAATCATTCTCTATAGATCTTTTTTTCTTTTGCAAATCGAATGGTATATCTCTCAATGTTGTAGCTTGTAAATCATAGGAGGAGATAGGTTTTTGAGATTGAAATTTTCACTTTTCAGGAGAGCCAAAAAACTGAAATTTGTGATCATTGAAGGTATAGGTTTTACTTGCGCTTCGACGGCTGTGGTGAACGAACAAAAGAACGCACAAACATGGCTTTGGGCTCTTTAGATGCACAATTTTGGCCCTTTAAATGATACTAAAAACCGGGAAAGCCAAAATTTTCAATTTTAGACCGAGACGGTCAAAAATAAATCTCCGTAGCGCTAGAAATCAACTGCGAGACGCAACCTAAACAGAGATAAAAAACTATGATGTGTGAAAAAATGTAAAGAATACAACAAAACGAGCTATTTCATTAAAAAATTTGCAACCCCAGTTCTTGATATTCATTCGTGTTCACATGTGATACTCAGCCCACCGATATTCAACAAATTATCCGATAGGGTAAAATTATTATATAAATAATCAACCATCTCACCCTTGCGCTGCCTGCTCTCTGGATTCCATAAACTCTTCGTCATTTGCCAATGGGAAAACACGCAGCAGAGCTTTCAGAAGCCGAACACCTTCGGGTCCCGTAGACCAATCTTCGGCTCTGGAGCCCATGCGGCTCGGTAAACCTACTCGTGAAAAGCCAAAATCTTCGCCATTTCCAAATGGTGCCACTCCTCTCTCCCCGTAATGCCTGAAGCCTTCTACCCCTCCACTTGCGTATGGACTGCCAATTTCTTCTACGTTGGGTCCTCTTTCACCTTTCAGTTCTTCTTCTCCTCCACCTCCGCCGTACGTACTTCCACTTATCCCTCCTCCTTCACCAACTCCAGCCATCCCGCCATTTCTAACGACTAAGCTCCCTGCGTCGCCTGCTTCTTCGCCCTGGAAATACCCAGGAGGCCAGATATGTGTCCCGCCTGTGTACTTGAACAAAGTCGTATCAAATGGTGACGACCTCGACCCAGACGCAATGGAAGTCAGTGCGTACGGTCGCGATGAGCCATCTGTAAAATTCACGCTTGATTTGACAACACAGCCATTTCGAACAGTTCTATCATCTTCACTGGACTGGAGAGATGTACAAGATAGCATATGACAGTAATGCTTGATACTCGTATTTAGAAACAATGGGACCCTTAATTGACTGAAACCTGATGCCATGGAAGTACTCGTAAATGATTATTTTGATCAGGCCCCTTCAGTGGCTGTACATTAGATACACTTTATTTTCGGGCTTCAAGTGTAAAAATGTTTGAAGGGAGCAATTTTATTTTTATTTTTATGCACCATTGAGAATCCTAATGCATAATCTACATAAAATGCGCGGTTTGAATTAGTATTGCAGTACTAATATGACTTTATAAATGAGAACGACTTCTTGACAGATCTACTAAATTGCGATTATAAACCAAAAAAATTAAGCCAGCTCGAAAAATACACAGTAGGTTATTTCCTTGCTCATTGACCAATAAAAAATAATAAAATATATACATTTTGACTACGAAAAAGAACAATCATCTCATCAACAGCGCTGTTTTATCTTCTCCCACGTTATTCATATACATGTCTCGCTAAAATTACAAAAATATGATACATCCGTGCTATATGGCGCCCGTTTTCAAAAATATCAGTGCATAAAAAGTGATCCCATTGTTGCGACTGCCATCACGATCCATTAGCAAGAGTCGAGAACTGCACTTTAAGAGGAAACCAGTTGTGAACTTGCATCAAGAAAAACCGAAATTAGGGAACTTCCCTGTTATCCTACCTCTCAAGGGTGCTGGTGGAGGCAGCAGCGCTGTGATGGGTGCGTGCTGGACACCTCCAACTCCGTCTGTTTATTATCAAATGGAAAATTAACCTGTTTATAATGAGCAACAGACGGAATCAATACGATTATTTTTATCAGTAACTACAGGGTTGGCCCCACGTTACCGTGATCGATAATCTTTGCAATTTAAAAATCGTGCACAACCGAAGTAACAATAAATTTATGAATGCTTACAACAGAATTACCCATTTAATTCAAGGTTATAAATTGAACTATCATTTGGATATTGTTTAAATATGTGAAGAAATTATTTGGCGCGATGAAATTTAATTTTAATATCTGAATTTAAACATTAAATATCAATTTTTACCACGGGTAGGCAATACGCCTTGATACGAACATTCTACCATGATACGTACATTCAACCATGATACGAACATTCAACCATGATACGTACATTCTACCATGATACGAACATTCAACCATGATACGAACATTCAACCATGATATGAACATTCAACCATGATATGAACATTCAACCATGATATGAACATTCAACCATGATATGAACATTCAACCATGATACGAACATTCAACCGTGATATGAACATTCAACCATGATATGAACATTCAACCATGATACGTACATTCAACCATGATACGAACATTCAACCATGATATGAACATTCAACCATGATACGTACATTCAACCATGATACGTACATTCAACCAGGATACGATCATTCAACCGTGATACATTCAACCATGATACGTACATTCAACCAGGATACGATCATTCAACCATGATACTCACGAACAGCTCCCATATGAATCCTTTTAACCTACAGCTGTACATACTATATACATGTAGCCTTTCAAAATCTAGTTTTTTGTTCATGTATGAAGCTCATTTGTTCAATTGAATAAATAAATCGCCTTTAATAATTGTACTATGACCAGGTAGACATTTTTGTCGCCTGTCAAATTTATTTCAATGAATAAACTTCAGAATGGGTGGATGCAATGATGTGTTTTGCATTCGAAAGAAAATTGATGGCTAATTGAAAATTTGAGGTAGCAGGCTTCAAGCAAACAGACCCAAACGCAAAAACAATTTTGGCTATATCTTTTCTGATTGATGAACCCTAATCGTAAAAAGAATTTACACTGGTAAAAAAGAACGTCTATAGGTATAGTGATCTAGTATACACCTCCACATTTATTCTGTATAATTATCACAATTTCAAAACGATTCCATTTATCAATAAATTAGTTCAATTTTTTGATGAAATTTATCCATAATAAGGAAAAATAGGATCAACGACGAGAAAAAAATGTACTAAAAAACATGTAGTAGTGAAAAAAAAGTTCAAACCATTCACTGACCCTGCGTTCATATTAATGTTATTAATATTAGTTTTTTTTTAATATTATTTTGTTTATAATATTAACTCATTTTTTATTATTCCATATCTAATATTATTTTCAAATAAAAATTTTTATTTTTATTTGATATTACTCGAAGCTGCTCTTTCATTCACTCCAAAATTTTTTTGTTTGTATTGTAATCTTAGCGAGATCAAGACGATTTCACTCAACCTATACCGAATAGAACAACTTACTCTGTAAGTTATTCTACTCTACATACATTCTACATTATTCCACTACCTCCACTCTACTCCATTTACTCTACATCCACTCTAATGCCTTGATGATATTAGAGTGGAAGCTTAACCAACAATACGAAACAGCACAACGAAATGATGGAGTTAAACAAAGAATGTGCAAGCACGACTGTCTTATTCATTTTTTCACAGTTATTTGGGGGATATGTTTTGAAAGCTCAGAGTAGTTTTATTTTGATCAATCTACTAATTGTTTACCAAAATTGGATATTTGTAGAGTGTAATACTAACTCTCGGTCAGAAAACGGAATTTTGTAATATTATATTTTTCGAAGGCATATAGAATTTTTTAGATAGGTTGATTTTATATATAACTTTTAGAATGATGTTAAATGGAGAACTACATCGTAAATAAAAAAATTTTAAGGTTTCCAGTTCTGTCTGAATACATTTACTTTCTCTATCCATAGTCTTGTAATTGTACCAGTAATGCATTTAATTTCAAATGGGGTTGTTTACAGTGGTAACTTACAAATCTTGCCCTCTCATTCCTTGAACGCCGAAACGAAAGTCAGCAAAATTTGTTTTACGTGAAGGAAAGTTGCATTTTCCAATCTTCTCGAGTCTAATTTTGGAGCGTGCCGAGAAACGAAACATGCGGTTGCTTTTCCGTCACTGAAGCTTAATGCGTGCACACTGAAATGCCGACCATGAACTGGGATATTTTTGGAAGTAGATGTAGCGCACAGACTACAAAAATCTCTTATGTTGATTTCCAGAAGCGCCACCCTGGCCATAAAACACTCCAAAAAGAATTGGATATGACCGCGAATCTTATGTTCTGGGATACTTTATTCGCAGGTATTCGCTGCGTCATTCTTCCGTGAAAAATGTTCGTCAGTTCAGGCTGACCATCCCATCCCATGAATTGATTGCCAGATTTATCATATCTATATACGCTTTCTCTCAGCAATATTTTCTTCAGGAACTTATTTCAGTGCTATCAGCATAGAAAAAAGTAAATGAATACAAAATTTGCAAAATTTTATCTGCAAATTAGTTAATATTTTTATAGTCTGAAACATGTCGGTGAAAATTTAAATATTGTAAAACAAAATCAACATGATGCACACCCAGCAAGTATGAGCGTCATTATACGTTTCAGTAATTATTGAAAGGGAGCCCAATATACTGAGCTAAAAATATTTAATGCTACTCCAAAAATATTCTAATAAGAGATCTTCAGTAAGCAGCACATTGCTAAGCAATTGTCACGGCCTAACTAATTGTCTTTTGTCATGTGGTTGTATAGATTCTAATGAAACACGCTACGAAAAACATGAAAGCAAATCAAAGATCCTTGAAGTTAATCAAAATCATTGAAAATTTCAGTAAACCTGATACATTTTTGAAAATTATCTTTAATGATAGAAAGCTAAAATTGCCAAGTAAGCTTTAGAATTGTAGCCTCAATTGCACACAATTATTCTGTTGAGTAGGGAATAAATTGGAAGAACTTACTTGTCGCCGAGGCGGTATTCAAGATGATTCCCGCCGCGCATAAGTAGAGGATCGGTCGCACGAACTGAACAGGAGAGTGAGTCACTCTGCAGTTCAATGTCATCATTCTGTGCTCTCTTGACTGAAGTTTCAAATAATTAGCTATAGTCTGTTTTCTTGTTTGAATGTATCAACATAAATTAATCTTTAACTGAATTGGCAGGAAGAAGATTATTGGTTTTTAATCGAAAATACTGTGTTTCGCTTCAAGGAAAATATTTCGATATAAATAGTCGAAATGATCAAATTAAAATAATTTTTGTATGTTCATCAAAGCATAGTTTCTGGAAAACGAGAAACAATTTCATTACTTTATTGCAAAAGGATAAAAAATGATTAAATAATCAAAAGTTGAATGAAATCGAGAGACATGAAATTAATAAAATTGCCAAGTAAACAAAATTAAAGTATAGTTCTGGAGAACAGTGGTAGGGAACAAAGGTTAGGATAACCAATTTACACCAGCAGTCTTGCACTGGCGGATTGCGCCCGAACTTTTCGGCTAAAATAACAAGCTCTGTTCGTCGTGGCTTGCACTCCCTCTTGTCTGCGGGAAAAAATATTAATCATAATATAAAAATAGTAATATTTTCATGTATTAAGATTTTTTGCATTGCTAATCATAAGCTAAGTTCATTAGATGGAAAAAGGGCTATATAGAAAGAAAGGGCACTATAACATCCTAAATCTTCAACTAATCACGTTAGCCTAGTAAAAGTACAACTAACGATTTCTAATTTGCAGAAATTTTCTCGATACCCTCCGTTCAATTCGCACTATTTATGAATTAGATTCAGCGCAATGCGCTTTTCTTCTCACTTTACATAATAGTTTGTCGAGGTTCGGGACAAATCAGGTACAGTTAGATTGAGGTTTAAGATTTAGAACAGGCAAACTCCGCGGGGCGCTTGCGGCTAACCGTAAGCTGGGAGCTTTAGAGGCTCAGGCGGCAATGTTTACGTGCGGTAGCCCGACAGCGCGCGACGCAAGGTTCCATATAACATAATAGGAGCCCTTATTGCGGGAACATGCAACGTACAGCGGTAATGCCAAGAAAGTGGCACGTGTCAGACTTTGATTTACTATGGCAGAAAGAAATGTAACCAAACAATTAAAAAAGTCCTTTTTGTAGGCTACGGGTTTGGTGTGACAGTGCCCATGAAATGGATTATGATAGTATAACTATGGAAGGTATTTTCAGTCAAGCCATATCAACCATGCGCCATAAATTGTTAGCGCACTATTTATTTACGATAAATGCTAAAATATATATTGCCATATGGGTTCATTGACAAATAATATAGCGTCTCAACTTATTTCCGGTGAGATCCGAATACAACCGCAAGTTTTACAAATATTGCTTGTCTATGGATGTTTTTTGTTTGCGTCTGAAAGTATTTTTGTTTCAAGTTTCATCATTCATAAATTGCAACCAATAAATTTTCGAAAATCTGATAAATTTTTATTTGAATTTAATATATTTAAATAAATAAAATATTTATTAGAATACAAGTTTTGCCATACTCTGAATTTGAATGGATCTTGAGTCACAAATTTTTTGACCGTGAACCGTGGCATGGAATTGATGAACTGTGATATGTTTGCTTAAAACTTTACTACTGAAAGATTAAAATGGAACATGCATAGTAGTACAACATGCCTTAAATTATACTGATCTTTCAAACGTTCAGTGAAATAGATTTACTCGTACTTCAGATCTTATCTGCTCAGCTTACAAATTAAATTTTTTCAAATTCATGAATGACAAACAAATCTTTTTGCTCATTCATGGATGCTTGTGTCATTTCATGGTTTTGGTGTAGTCAGTTCCCCCAAAAAACTTCAAATGCTCCATGAACTTGACAGTGAGCAGACATTCTTCCTGCTCTCCCTTTCATGATTCTAAATTGCACGGTGGACAGCAGAGAAAATCCCTTGAGCACTTGATAAAAATGGAAGTGTTTCATCACAATTCAAAAGAAAGATGAACTTCACTCACAACAACATTTGCCAGAGAAAAGCTTACTCTAAACTCGCCAGAACATTTGGTGGCCGTCTAAAAACACTTTAACGGGAATGGATACGAAGAGGTCTCCAAATTGCTGCACACGCCTGTGAAATTTCAGTGTAAATAAAAAAATTTAGTGTTTTTTCTCTGGAAGGAAGATCGCTGATTTGCTGGGAATCTTCTGTGCTTATGACATAACAAATCCATATCAATTTTGAGTAACCCACTTTTGAGCTGCAAGTCACACTTTGGTAAGATTATTTTCAACTTTTTGAGATAGCAATTTGCAGCCAAGTCAGTAACGCGTGCAAGAAAAATATTCGATGAATTTTGCAATTTATTCTTTTTCATTTTACAATTAGCCTCTGCAGAGAGAACATCATCTAAAATGTTCAAAAACACATGTTTACCAGTCAAGCCTCACTACAGTTACACAAATATAATGCCACAATTTTGAGTGCATATGTTTCTACAACCAACACTACAATTAAATAATAATAACGATCAGAAATATCTTATTTCCTCTTCGTTGTATAGGAGCAACGAACTATGACGTAGAGAGCAAGATTTATTGATCCCATATTAGGTAATCTCTAAATGGCTACGTTTATGCATGTTCACCAGCTTAGAGCAATTAGAATCATATTATAGAATTATATCAGAGATTAGATTTGAGTTCACATAATTATCAAAAAAATCTTTGCATTGAGCATTTGTATAGCTAGTGTCATTTTGGTGCTTGATTGCAATGGACGGAAATAAAAGAAGATAACACAGTTATATATTAGAAAGTTCACCACATGAAAATAAGGGAAGATAACACAGTTATATATTAGAAAGTTCACCACATGAAAATAAGTGAAGCAAATCTGTAACCTCCTGCCACGAGTCTGTACGACAAACAGCCTACAGTTTGAACTCATAGTGTGCCACTGTGCCAAGCTCGTTTATAATTATACGTCGATATTAGAGTGTTTAATGTACATATAAACCATCGATTGGTCGCCAAACAAAGTCTGGCCTCACGCTAACATTAATAATTTTGTTTAATTATCCTTCGTGAGAACTACTCTTTAACTGTAATAACTTCTCCTCAGTTGATGAAAACAGAACGTATTGAGAAGCAAACGAAAACAAACTTTAAAAAATGCAAAATGCCTTCGCTGACGCCTAAATCCTGTACGTTAGCAACGTTGCAGAATAAATTTTTTCGCTGTAACTCAGAGGAGAAGAAATGCTCTATTAATTTTATAAATTATTTTGGATAACATGCATTAATGGATTTCAACAAAACGCACAAAAAGAAGTAATACTACATTCCTTATTTCCGATTTTGCTTCTAATATCAACTAATTAATAAATTTTTAAACTTTAAAAATTTACCGAAACCAAAACAGAATTTAGTAATGGCATATTTTAAACCGTAAAAAAATGTTGGGTGAAAAATATAAATGAGTTCATGCGGCTGCTCTCCGCAAGCTTTAGAAATTTTGAATAGTTCCATAGAAATTAGCCTCTTGGTCAATGCTAACACTTCCAAATGAATGAAATGATCGTGTCAATAAACGTCTGTAATTTGCCAGCACCTAGAATCATTGCAGAATTTTGGGCTGTGTGGCCTTCAAGGAATGTTTTTTTTTGCAACGACCCTCGTTTGTGTGTCTTTTAACCCTGCGCTCCTCCCTCGATTTGCAAATCCCCGATATCGACTTATTTAGGCCTGCCAAATTTCTCTAGCAAACAGCGATTGAATTTAAGGAGGATTTTCGGCTTGGGCTAGAACTCGAAGGTCTACGCGATGTTTTGGAACTAAACTCTATGAAATTATGAACGGAAAGGAACTCAATGTCTAATAAATTAATTTTGCGTATGTGTCTGCTTAATTTCAAATGTTTACAATTGTCTTAGCTTCTTTACTTTTTTTAAGAGCCATGGTAAAATTTTTTGGTGCCTTTTGTGCTGCAGTCTGACCACAGCAGACTTCCTTTCATTATAGAAAGAATTGAGGAAAAACTCTACGGTAAATTTTCTCGTATTTCAGTTATTATACACAGAAACGTCGTCAGTGCAAACGCATGTTCTTGATTCGTCTTATATTTCATAAATTATGTTTATATTCAATAATGGATAAATTCCCATACTTAAAAGTTAAACCACCCGAATGGAATCTATTACTAGCAAAACGCCATTATTTTCATATTGAAGCCGCGGAAAAATCTACTTATTATGTAAAAACGCTCATACCTACAAATTAAAGCCGCTGTGCAGTTCTCAACATTAAATAGAAAAAAAGCATGCGTCGATTTTAAGGCGGTGAAATAAATGAAAAATGCTCGCGCTTACAAATTAGAACCGCAAAAAAAATATTTCCCTACTATAAGAAAACATGTTCATGCTTACAAATTAAAACCGTAAAGCAGATCTCCTAATATGAAAAAAGCTGTGGATGACTGACAGTCATTGTACAGGCGGCGAGTTCTGGACAATGGAAGCCACTGCAGATTCCAATGACCATTTCCGAACACGACACAATTGGAAATATAAGACAAGTGGGAACTGAAACCAAATCGTCTATTTTTGTTCTTCAGAAGTTCTATATCATCTATTTAATATGAACAGCATTTAGAGAACCATCAATGCAGAATATTACCCAGAAAACTTACGAATCTATTATTTAGTTAGCTAAGTAATATGCAACTATCAACGACATCAATACTGCAGAGGAATAGCTGAAGCATTTTATTAACCAAATTTTTTGGCAAGAAAAAAATTTAGACTGGTAATATGTCACTACATTGCTGAGTATTCAGGATAGCAGTCTGGCTCTGAATTATAGCGAAAATTTCCATTACTCTTTCATTTTTTAATTTAAGGGTAAAAAGATTTTTATATTTTCGAAAAATAAATATTTAAGATTACTTTTTAAGATTTTATTCCTGTATAGTTCTGACTTTAAATCTGTTACACGCCGGAGTGCATCTCCGGAGTTTAGCTTGAAGCAAATTAATCGTTCGTTACACGATACACGAATTGAACAATGTAATACAACACGAGCAAAAAAAGAACCTGGACAAAAGAATGGAAGTAAAACTAGGCGTTCGATTGTCTCTTCAATATTAATTGAACAGATAATATTTGAATGATATACGTTTTTCGTCATCTGTTTAACTTCACGGCAAAATGACAGTATTTGATGCATAATTTGCTACGAAATAATTTTCTCAGTTTAAGCTCATAAGAAACCAGAAAAATAAATCGGTTGGATTTACTTGATCG